GTTAGGATACCAAGCAACCTCTCCTCCCCTAATATTTCATAATACTAAGAGACAAGGAGTGACACTGGAGGGCTGGGTTCTTTCCATTTAATACAGAACACGCGGAGCAATCTAATTAACAGACACGTGATATTCGTTGCCAGTAATTACTCTTCTGTTCCGATGGTATTTCACAGAACAGTGGGGAACAGAAATCCATGTTATCTGATGTAATAAATGGATGTTTACTCAATCCAATTAACCTTTTACAATATAAAATAAATATTCAACAAAATTGTTGTGTCATTTCATGTAATATCTAACCTATATATAATACGGCAATCTACTTTCTAAATCTCAGGAGTGATGGATTTTGATGAATGATGTATCAAACGAATGGGAATTTCATGGAAAAGTGACGAATCCCGATTTTAAAACATAGCATTGAAAAAATCAAGGAGCTTTAAAACCCAAATGGTTTTAAAAGTCGATGGATCGAGACAAGGTAAATTGTGTTGTAATAATACCGAGGCGGGCATAAGATCCTTTTGAACTATACCAGGTCTGGCATTTCAAAGCCCGAAAATGTACCGTAATTCTTGCCGAATTACGGTTTGTTATGAGATACTTATCACATATTTAGGATTTAAAAATTAAAATACTTAATGCCCCATGTTTTTTAACAAATAAAGAATGGTGAGAACAAAGAAAGAAACCATCCATAAAGATCTTAATGTTCCATGTCGCTAATTTAGCCCTGGCAAGATATCTATCCTTACATGATAAACCCCATTCCCATCTGAATCCAGCCTTGCTTCTTCCTCAATTCCTGATAATCCTCCTAGGTGTGTGAAAAGAAGATAGCCTTATGATGTTCTTACTTAGAACTATTTAGGAAGTGCTATCATTGGGTAGTGTCTCCACAAGTCTGTCCAAGTCATTACTCTTGATTTGCTCAAGAGTAATGACTTGAATTGAGAGCAGTGGCTGCTCGAATCAGAAAAAATCCTATTCGAAAACATTCGGAGTTTGCCTTGATGGCATCACAAAGCTCCATTTTTGTGAAAAAAGAGTAATAAATACAGTCGTTAAAAACTATCAGAACGATATTTTGGAACCTGTTGTCAAGCCTCTAAACGATACTCTGTAAAATCCTCAATGCTCCTTACTTTGTCACTAATAAAATCATCCATAAAGACCTTAATGTTGCTTATGTTTCCGAATTGGCCCAATCCAGACACCAATCCTTCCATAATAAACTTCAGAACCATCCGAACCCTCTCGTTTCTAACCTTGCTTCCTATTCGATCCCTGATAACCCTCAGAGGGGTCTGAAAAGAAGATGGCCTCGAGATCTTCTATGTTAAATACATCTTTTTTTTAGAGTGCTCCAGTGGATAGATTCTCAAGAAGTGTTTTCATGTTTTTATTTTCTGTTATCACATTTACTTAATGTATTCTTTCTTAATACAGTTGTAAATATCATAAACAAAAAATAAAAAAATATATACTGTAAAGACCAACATTAAAACAGTTTTTTCTGGTGGCAACATAAAAGTTGATCTAATGGTAAAAATGGGGAAAAATCATCTCACAAATAATATTAAAAGCACATATATATACTGTATTGTTAAACAATTCCAATCCTCCCCTCCTACGTTCTTTGATAGAGGAAAAGTTTAACTGCTCGATTTATTAAGACTGACAGAAAAGAATAGGACCTTTATTGGTAGCTAAAGGTCAACAGAATGCAGTGAGGGTTTCACATTGCCTCTTCTTAACAGGAAACAATAGATACAGGTTTATGAGTCAGTGAAGCTACATCATTTTCCAACGCTCAGTAATTACAATATGCATTCAAATAAAGAACATAGTTATTTCATTCAGCATCTTAAACCAAGTATGGTGTATACCATAACAAAGAAAAGAAAACATAAATTTCATTCGTTTCTTGATTCAGTTACACACCCTGAAAAAAAGTATGAGTGCCTACGAGTAATCAAAAACATGATGTAAAAAAAAAATTATTTTTTTTATATTCTATTGATCTCTAGAAGGAATTAAGAAAATATCACCATTAGACGAAATAAACTGCGTATTTCTTATATAATGAACTAGATTTTCGGTCCAAATTTTACTCCATATGTAAGACAAAATATGTCGATAGCCAACAATGAAAAAACGCTGCAAATTATTTCACAATGGTTTATTATTTCCAAACAATTATACATCTAAAGTAAAATTACCTTCCGAGTTACAAAGAAAAAAAACAAAAGCTGATTCCAATTATTAGACTAAACCGTTTTTCTTTAATCATTAGTAATATGCTAAAAAAAAATAACATTAGTTCAGTAACACATTCAAAATTTAAAAACCAAACCAAGGATATGACATTTGGAGTAGAACATATAAAAAAACCTGGAGAACATATCTTTGCTCCTAATTGTCCGATTTTAACGATTTTTTTTTTTTTTTTTTTGTTTTTTAGGGAATTTCGTAAACTTTTAAAAAACTATATACAATATCAACAAAAAAGTAAAAACTTTTCGAGTTATTCGGAAACCTCTTAATATTTTTTTCAGCTTCTTTTCGTTGAAGTATGTTATATAGATAAATTTAAAGGGCGTCGAGAAAATTACTTTAGCGAAGTTTCATTGAAATCTGTACATCCAGTTAGGAGCTACAGTCTATAGCAACGCAGGTTTTTCGGCCGCCATTTTGAAAGTTAAAGGCGGAGAGTAATGTCGATGAAGGAGGATCATCCTCGAGTGACCTCTGATTTTATATCAAAATTTGAAAAAAAAATTGGTCCAGTAGTTTAGGAGAAAATGCGCGGACGGCAGACGGACAAAATAATTTTTATTCGTTTTTCGAATTCTACGCGTCCTAATACGTGAAACCTCAAATTTTGAGAGGGGGTTAAGTTTTTGAATTTTTTGGTCGATCACAATGGTTAATTATCAAAAATAATAAACCAAAACTCCAAAAAAGTACAATTTAATTACGCCACTTGCCATCAGAAATCTTGCAGTACCACTTCGATTGGGACGATGTGGTATATTTTATGTTCAACAAACGCGAACATTCACCTAAAGGTGCTGCGTCCATTATGTACTACCTGTTCAATCTTGACCTCAAGTATATTCAGAAATAAAACCGAAAACATTTTGAATATTATTCTAGAGCAATCATTAATTAAAAGAAAACTGCGTTCATAAAATTAAAAAGATACGGTTTATTTCTTCTTATGAATAATTTTGGTTTTCGAACTTACTAGCTTTTGCAGTGTCAAAGAAAAGTTTTAAACAAAGTTTTTTTTTTTTGTGGTCCTGAATAAATTGGGTGCCACCAACATTTACCAGAAAAATTCATAATCGCACTCTATAATAAAATTGTATTTACATACAGATTTTTTCCGTGACAACATGGTGTCGTATACTCTGTCAATTACAATACACTAGACATTTGTCACACATTCAGAAAAACAAACAATATATAATAGACATAATAGACCAAGACACATAATAATTGATAAAAAGAACTATCAAGTAATTTCAAGAACTCATGATTCATTAGTCGGACAAAGCAGATAAGAGGCAAGGAGTGGGTGAATAGAAACACTCGCCTCCCACACACCCGCTACAAAAGAAAGATAAATAAGAGAAGTGAGGCAAACTGAGGTTAACCAATAATGGAAAAGGTTTGGACCAGCAAAAACAACAATATATAATTACAACTATAGAACTTTAAAGCATTTGTTTTTAATTTAAAAAAAAAAAAAAATATATATATATATGATACATAACATTAACATTACAATAATATTTCAAGAGTAAAAAAAATTTTAAATGTTTTTTTTATAGTATTTATAACAATTCAGTTATATAAAAAATAATATATTTTTATATTTTAAAATTATTATTAAAAAATTTGTAATGTTGTAGTACATTTTTATGGATTTTTTTTTTCCGCATCTCCTGTTTTATATTTTTCCTTGGCTTCTGGTAAATTTTCTGCCACCTTTACTACTAAAAGTATTTTAAGGTGTATTGTAGACGTATTTCTGTATTGGTGATTTTCCCATAATCTGATATATATATCGATGATGGGGGTCACCTTTGACTTGCAGAACGAAAAATATATATTAAAGTGAATTTATTGATTACAACTAAACTGTATTTAAATTAATAAAAAGTTAAAAAAAAAAACTGTGGTGTAGATATCCAACACAAACAGAGGAGAGGATCTTTTTAATTTTCATTTTTTATATTACAAACAAAAAAATTATTCTTATCTTCAAGTTTAATTTTTAATGTTTCAAGTTAATTAATAATGGATAACTATTGCTCTGTTCTTTGTTCACCTGTTTTTCCATAGCATAAACAGTCACCTACATCCTTTTTCGATAATGCGAAATGTTCTTCAAAAATATTGACTAGGCGATCCACAAAATGCTTTTGTAAATTAAGAAATATTTATTTATACAAGAAAACCCATGACTATAGCTCATTAAATAAAAACATAAATATTAAGGCAATATTAAGGGGTTTAAGGGGAGATAAAGGGTTTTGAAAAATAACCAAGGCATGTCGGTTTCCTTTAAGAGTCATTCATATAATTTTAGGTTAGTGTATTATTATAATACTTTTTATATTCTATAATTCAAGGCAGAATTTGAACTATTCGTTCATGTATTATGTTTAAAGAAAAAAAAAGGATTAAAAAAATGCTTTAACATATAAAGCACACCTTTTCTGAGTAAACTGATAACACGAGATAGGGAGGGGATACCTTTGAACCAAAGACCGTGCAATTAGCGTTGGTCCGAATCGATGAGCTTATACAGCCTCAGATATTAAACCACGGCCGATCCTCTTGGTGGGAGAAGATTAAGAGGAAATTGGTATCGGCAAAGAGCAGATTGGAATATAATGAGAAAATTGCTATAAGGTTCCTTATACTCGCTTAACCATTAACAATAAGGAAAATATATCGTAATAAAATGCGATTTGTATCAACAGGAACCCGGGACTTTGACCCGAGGAAACACCTGTTCAACGTTGAAACGACGAAAGGGTCTCCCAAAGAAGAACAAAAGAGGACCCACCTCGCCGTGTTGATCACCGTGTCGGTACTCATCCTGGCCATCTGTGTTATCAATAACGTAAGGATTGAAGGTCTTCGTCATGAGCTGGCCGTTATCAACCAGGAACACGACTTCCTCCGGGAAAAATTAGGTAAGGCAAGCTATAGTTTAATCAATACGTGTATGTAAGGGATGGATCTTAAGCTGGCTTTATACTAGAGTATGTAACTGTTGCCTAATGTAAATCACATTTAATACTTGAAAATAGGTCAGCTGATTATTACCAAAAATGAAAATAATAATTACAATCCTCAAACTTTGTCACCTCACTATACTTGCTACAAAAAAAAATTAATAAATCGAATAAAACTCCGGTGCAATAAAACTCACCCCGAGCAGAAATAGAAGAAAATAAAAATTGTAGACGAAGCAACATATTAATTTAAAACAATTAATTACCATGCATTTTTCCATTATGTCTAATCTCGTAGATTCATTCTTTTTTCATCACTGTCCATTTCCTTCTACGATTATATTTTTTATAATTAATTTAACAACAGTGATCAAGTTGAGAAAAACAAACCGCAGTCTTTTTATCCAATAAAGAGATCTTTTTGCATCATTAGCCACACTAATAATATTAAAGAGAAAAATGATGAAAAATGAAAATAAAAATAGTATAAAATCTAGAACTTGGCCTATGTTATATTATGTATGACAAAACATACCTTTCTCATATAATACTTACAAAGTCCGATTGACCAAAGCTCACATTGATCGATTTCTCAAACACCCCGAGATAATAATTCCTTGACCATGGAACGAATTTCCGAAGATTCGCCTACTTCAGACAAAGCACGATTTATGAATTAGAAAGCTGGTCGGAAATACCAAAGGCGATTTCGAAAGAATCCAACATTCATGAGAGCAAATAAATGATGAAAGTTGTACAGATGAAAATAATCATGTAACTAATACAAAATATAGTCTTATGTTATACTTCCTATCAAACTCAAAAGGTTATCGATGGTGTTCAAAATGCTATCCTTCACACGTCGCGCGTTTAACATCTATATCATTAATTTTATTTGGCAACCTTACAATATGTTTCTTAACATTTACATAATTGCTTTACATAATTAAACTTTTCTATGAAATTCTCATATTTTATAAACAAAGTTGTATTAACAACAAACCAATAGCTGTCCTTCAATTTATTAGAAATTTGTAATTTAAATTTATAGATATTTAATTTTTTTTACGTTGGATGAGGCTTGGCCCATGCATATTTTGCAGGTCCAGTAGACATCCTGAATTTATTAAACATAAAATAATAAAATAGATTATTGTCCGATTTATTTTGTTAAGCAATTAACTCTCGACATTTAATTTAATATTCTTCAAAATATTCACTGAGTAAATTTGTTAGTATTACAACCATTATATTTTTATGTTTCATAACTTTTGATGAAGTTCTTTCCATTTTTTTTTTTTTAAATCAATATATAACAGATGGGCTCTTGGGATTGAAAAATGCTTTCTAATGGTTCGACACTGAAGAAGGCAAGTAAATCAACACTTTACCGAGAAACTTATATCATAACCTGAAATAAAAAGTTATTTTTTCGGCTAGTAGACTGACAAATATGATGGTAAGGCTTAAGATGATTTCTGCAATCGGAATAAAACGTTCATGATTGAATCTAAGTTGAATAGGGATCCTAAAGAAAATATTATATGTTAGATAAAATTAAAGAAACGTGGATGTGCATCTAATAATTAAATTTCTAAAAAAAAATAAATTGAATACAGGTGCCATGATGGAAAAAGTGGACATGCTACCAGAGGTTCATCGAAAACAGAACAAGCTCCTCATTGAAGAAATGCGGAAGGAGATACGCTACATTTTTCATATTAGCTCAAGAGAAACCAGGGTAATGTCATTAGTTATGTTAGTTGATCCCCATCTACAACTGATAACTTTGATATCATATTACGGCTTCGAGGGAGAGTTTTACCAAGTCTGATAAGAATAAAATTAAAAATCTCGCGAGATAAATATTGAACGAATGCTCACAATTTTAAATTCAGGGATATTTTAAGTTTTTTAAAAACTATAAAATGTTTATTAATTGCTTTAATGTCTTGCAGTCTTATAAAAAGTAAATCCTGATAAGGAATGGTCCAACAGAGCTAGGAAGGGGGTGTGGTTGGAAAGGACACAACTCATCTGTCCCATGTCAGGCCAGCCTGTGCCATTTTCAAAATGAAATTACGATTATATTATGAATTATAATAATATAAAATATTGAATAACTTAATCACAGTTTAAAAAATAACAACTATGGTTAAGTTAGAAGTTAAGCTCTCCTTCAGGTTGGCTTGTTTCGTTCGGTCAAAGTATTTCTATTTTGTTTCAGTGTAAAATAAATTAAATGAGTTTATAATTATTTTAATTAAAGTTTGTTCTAATACTTTGCAACCAATAAGGAGACTTATGAAAACTTTTCTCGTTCATATTTCAGTTCAATATATATCTTCAGTTATGCATCTATGTTGGATAAAAGTAAAAGATAAATTTTAATTATCAAGCAAACAAATATTTTAATTTTTACAGAGTAGAAATGGAACTACTTGGGCTGAACGAAACAAGACACAACCTGAAAGAGGTTAAAAACCTGTTCGGCATTTCCCCTGTAATTCCATCTCTACGGCACCCAACTCGCTGTTTCTCGTTTTATTCAACCAAATTTCAAATAATTATTACAGAAAATATTTCGGTGAAAAAATCTGTCTATATTTTTATCAACAATAACATCACGTAACAATAGTGCATTCGTAATTGGATACTGGTATGAATGTACAATACTATATATTTATATGGTTTCAAATTTCACAAAACCACTTAATTGTAACTTGATATTTTGATAAAATTGAAATAAGGGCGAGAATGTAAATTAAATTAAATCATAAGTCTTAGTTTACAGTAAAATATAGGAAAAAAAGAGAAAAAAAAAAAAAGAGTTTATGAAATAGAATATGCTACAAATGATATTGCAATTTGATATATGATATTTTTCAACAATTTTTTTTTTTTTTGCAGGTTCTGTAAGTACCCAATTTAATCTGATATCGACCGAGATCTGCAACAGTGAAATATAATTTGAAGTCAATTTTAATAAAAATAAATTAAATATTATTTTTTCGATTTTTACATTGTTAAATAAGACCTACAAGTATTGTAAAAAAATTATGAAATAAAACGATGGTACAATTAAGAAGACCGGTCTGTCAGACTCCATGTTATTAATTGAGATGAAGAGGTGGACCGTTGTAAAAGCCAATTGCACACAACCAATTTGACTTAAGATTTGTTAAGAGCCTCGGAACTCCAACATAACTAGAAAAATATGCAACGGAATCGTATATATTCAAGAATTTAGATGACTAACCGTTGACCTTGGAGAGGATTTCTCCAGAGTTCAGAGTAGAGTACGCTGATGCCAGAAAAAGACAGTCATATTTTGTAGAAACTACAGAGATAATTTTAATAATGTTGTAACCTCAATTTATAATAAATTAAGTAATTAAATTGTATTAAGTTTACTCTGTTAACTTTTATTTCAATAACTTCAATAAAAAACAAATTCCGAAAGTGAAAGTTTTATTTTTTTTTTATTATTATTATTTATTTATTTTGTTTTTTTGGAGGGATTGACAGCAACGAATAACAATCATTCGAACTATTTCAATTGAAAAGTGTTGATGTTAGGGACCATAATGTCTCGATGGAGTTTATAACTGTGGTTCCCTACTATATCCTATTTATAATTTAAATGGCCATAAATGTTATAGAAAAATAAATTTTGACAGATGAACGTAGACTACGCAGGGTTTCTGGGGCATCGATCTCTGATGCTGACGTCAGCCGAGAGCCCTTTCTTACGAAGACAATTCTCAGTTTCAGATCAAATTTCATAACTGAACAATCAAGGTCCACCTGTTGTTTAAAATTAGTCATCTAAGGTTCAAGGGTCACCTTAAGTCCAACATTCATTGCAACGATCCAAATCTGACATTTCCCTTCGAGAGTAATGTCATGACATTCATTCTTCCACTTGTCAGGTATAACATGCAATACTCCGGAAAAATATTACACTGATTAATAAAAGAGGTTAATATGTACTTAAATGTTTTCCTTCATAATTCATGAATGCGTTATTATATAATAAAGTGTCTTCATGAATGAACACTAAATAGAAAATAAATAAAATCATATTTCATAAATGAATAATGTTTTTATTGTATTTTGACTGATAAGAGTACTTTTGGAAATAAATGTACACAATAAAATAATTAATTAATGTAATAAAGACTTGTTGAAACAACATGTCAAATACACAAAATGATGATAAGAAATATAATAAAACTGTCAAAGATACAGAATGAAATAGGCAAACACTAACAGGTTATACCTACACTATTAAACGAGATACACAACAATAATCAATTAATTAAGACTACTTACAGTCAAGATGTTTCTTCTTAGGTCCAATCAGTTCTTCCGTTGTCGCCTTGCAGACAGATTTCGCCAAACCTTGCCCGGCTATACTGTGCCGAGCGGCAAGTAAGCGGTCTGTCATGGTTTGCCCAGCCATTTTTACACTCATAACTTAATCTAGAGTAACTACTATAATCGGGGTGGTGCACCACCCAACACAATTTCACAAACTTTTGAATTTATTGAAAAGCCAGGACACTAAACCCTATCTGATTTTGAAGAGATCTCAACACCTCGAAGTGAAGATGGCGACTACCCCCTCCTCTCGATATCCACAGCCCGGACTAGACCTTCTATGTTATCTTAATAACTGTGATTATACTATTTCCAATATACAAATATTTCCTTGATCAATATTAATTACAGAAACGAAGGGAACATTTTAAATAATAATATAACAATTAACAAAAGGATACTTTTAATGCAATCAAGTAATATTCAATTCTATGAAATTAATGAGCAGGTTTATTTGTTTTTTCATTCATGAATATCATATATTAATATTTAATTGAATATATTTTTAACTCAACGGAGACAAAGTAAAACAATTTGTTTTGTTAAGAACAAAACATTGACGAATCGGACTGTTAACTTCTAGTAAGGTTATAATGTCGGTCATGTTTAGGGATGGGTTGATACTAAAATTTTTGTATCTAGATACAACTGATACGGGTACTTTTTTGTATCTGATACTTTTATCTGATACTTTTGTATCTGATACAAATGGGTCAGTAGTTGGTCATGACCTTCCTACTACTTTGTATCTGATACTAGTATCAGATATTTTTATCTGATACTGGCATCAGATACTTTTATCTGATATTTGTATCAGATATTTTTATCTGATATTTGTATCGGATATTTTTATCTGATATTTGTATCAGATATTTTTATCTGATACCCGCATCGGATACTTTTATCTGATATTTTTATCTGATACCTGGACTAGATACCCAGCGGTATGCATACTGGCGCTTGGTATCTAGTCTAGTCTTGGGCTTATTAGTTAATATATAATAGTTCTAATGACTTTATAGTTATGTCAGATACTATGAAGATATTCACACAGTTTTTTAAACAAAATGTGATTCATATTAGACTAAAGAATGGAATATATTAAATAAAATATAACAAATTCATGCAGAGAAAAAATTTTCCTAATACAACGTTCTTAAGAATTTTGTAAAAATTCTTAATAGCTACGTTTAACATACTCACACACACATATATATTTTTTATTTTCACTGATCAATCTACATCTTGGGATTTAGATTATATAGGACTTGTATAATGTTTACAATACTATTATTGTATTCTTTGAACATATTAAATTACATATGTAAATCATTTAAAGTAAATATTAATCCACTCTTTTATTATTCTTTTTTTTCATTAATACAATGGTATGACAACAAAAGTAATTTGTCGTTCATTTCAAATTTCTGTTAAAATTCCATAGTTTATTGTTTTTAGTAACTATCTTGCTGTATTGGGACCTTATTGCTCATATTATGTCTTTAATATATCAGTATAGTTATGTAAATCCTTCTGTTATTACTTATTTTTAAGTTTTTTTGTGTTTTTTTTTATTGTAATATGCATTTTGGCAAGTTGTTATGTTAATTTTTATGTACAATATTTTTATTCTCAAGGGACTTTGTCCCAGAATAAAGTTGATTCTTCTATTCTATTCTATATATTTATTTATTTTTTCTGTTTGCATTACAGACCATGTAGATCTTTTGCCACCTTAACAAGTATGCTCAATCTCTACCTGTCTTGGGCTATTTTTATTATAGTAGGCAAAAGACCACGTCGGAGGCCAAAAAGCAAATGGATAGATAGAATCAACAAAGATACAATAGAGCTGCGTGCAGATAAATGGCAAAAAATAGCCCAAGACAGGCAGAGATTGAGCATACTTGTTAAGGTGGCAAAAGATCTACATGGTCTGTAATGCAAACAGAAAAAATAAATATATATAGAATAGAATAATCACCTTTATTCTGGGACAAAGTCTCTTGAGAATAACAATATTGTACATAAAGATTAACATAACAACTTGCCAAAATGCATATTACAATAAAAAAACAAAACAAAAAAAAAAACTAAAAAATAAGTAATAACAGAAGGATTTACATAACTATACTGATATATTAAAGACATAATATGAGCAATAAGGTCCCAATACAGCAAGATAGTTACTAAAAACAATAAACTATGGAATTTTAACTGAAATTTGAAATGAACGACAAATTACTTTTGTTGTCATAACATTGTATTAATGAAAAAAATAATATTAAAAGAGTGGATAAATATTTACTTTAAATGACTTGCATATGTAATTTAATATGTTCAAAGAATACAATAATAGTATTGTAAGCATTATACAAGTCCTATATAATCTAAATCCCAAGATGTAGATTGATCGGTGAAAATAAAAGAAATATATGTGTGTGTGAGTATGTTAAACTTAGCTATCGTATAGTGAATATCTTCATAGTACCTGACATAACTATAAAGACATTAGAAAAATGGTGTAAAATATTTATTACAGGGACAAATTTAATAATAAAGGAATAAAATATATATAGGTACATATTTAATATATGTTTTATTAGGTATCAAATAGGTATTAAAATATCAAACCCGATCAATAATCAATTACAGTTGGATTAAAATATCTGATACAATTATTGAGATATCAAGCCCAAGTGCCAGTATGCATACCGCTGGGTATCTAGTCCAGGTATCAGATAAAAATATCGGATACAAATATCAGATAATGGAAAGAAATAGCCCAAGAGAGGTAGAGATTGAGCATACTTGTTAAGGTGGCAAAAGATCTACATGGTCTGTAAAAAAAATATATATATATATATATATATATATATATATATATATATATATATGTGTGTGTGTATGTTAAACTTAACTATAAAGAATTTTTTTAATTGTTACAAAATTCTTAAGAACGTTGTATTAGGAAAATATTTCCTCTCCATGAATTTGTTATATTTTTATTTAATATATTCCATTCTTTTGTCAAATATGAAGCATATTTTGTTTAAAAAATTGTGTAAATATTTCCTTAGTACCTGACATAACTATACAGTCATTAGAACTATTATATATTAACTAATAAGCCCAAGCGCCAGTATGTATACCGCTGGGTATCTAGTCCAGATATCAGATAAAAGTATCCGATGCAGGTATCAGATAAAAATATCTGATACAAATATCAGATAAAAATATCCGATACAAATATCAGATAAAAATATCTGATACAAATATCAGATAAAAGTATCTGATACTAGTATCAGATAAAAATATCCGATAGCAGTATCAGATAAAAATATCTGAAATTACATTACATAAAAAAAAAAAATAAGCGTGAATATATTTATCTACAAATAAATATTTAATTAAATTAAACTAAATGAATAGATAGTTCTAAAAAAATTGTGCACAACTAAAATTATAACTAAACATTTCTCTTATATCAATGTGGCATGTCTGGACAACCATTTTGTATCCATGTGAGCATCAGATACTTTTGTATCAGATACTTTTTGGTTGTATCTACTGGTTGTATCAGATACTTTTTTAGTATCAGATAAAAGTATCTGATACATACAATCCGACCCATCCCTAGTCATGTTTAGTTTAGTGGTGTGTTGATGTGGGATTTAGTGAGCTGTTTATATTACCACAAATACGATGCCTTGCTGGTATTTTGACAAAAAGGATTTGCGGAATACTCCCTCCGCTCTAGACAACATAGACTATGAAACGGAACTCAGATATAGGAAAGAAGGTGCTAGGTTCATCATTGATACAGGTACGAAAATGGACTTGGGCTACAATACGATGGCAACGGGGGTAGTATATTTTCATAGATTCTACATGTTCCATTCGTTCAGAAATTTCCCTCGCTATGTAAGTTTCATTTTTGGTTTTGTCTATTTCGGTGTTTCATAACCTTATCACTTTGAACTAATTGTTATGTAAAGGTAACGGCTTGCTGCTGCCTTTTTCTTGCTGGTAAAGTTGAAGAAACTCCAAAGAAATGCAAAGACATAATCAAAGCAGCCAAGACTTACCTGTCTGATCAAAAATTTGCAACCTTTGGTGATGATCCCAAGGTATGTATCATTATTTCTTTACTTATTTTTAGTGTATGAATATCAACTTGGAAATGTGACAATCATGTTTATTATTTATTTATTATTTTCTATGCTGTACTCCCATGAGAATTCTTAGTAATCCACTTGATTACCTTAATATACTTACTGATTACCATCAATAGAGGATGGGATGGCTCAGTACTTCAGGGTGTGAGTTCCAGAGTTTCCGGTTCTGAATGTTGTGGGTTCAATTTCCTTCTGGGTCAGTTAATTTTCATTTCTCGGCAACCCTGGAAAATGAATCTTGACATTCCGACTGTCGTAATTATACTAATCAGCTGACTGTGAGGAATAAGTTAAGGTTTGGGCTCTCTGAAGCAATGAGAAAAGGATGTTTCTGATTATGTCAGTTACGAGATCTTGTGTCACCTCCCTCCTCCCTCCCCCCTCCATCAAAGCGGGAAAAAACTTTGCAAACTGAGGGTTATATTTTAATTATATGGTAAAGAGAGGTTGTTTAACAGCATGCAAACTTAGATACATGAACATATCCACGGTGGAGGGGCCAGTATCATCCTTCTATCATGGAAAAAAATTTGAAATGAAGTACCAATAAATATTTAAAAAAAATTCTGAACGCTTTATTTACAGCAATAGATTGATTGTTTGTATTTCAACAACTGTCAAACAGAAACTAATTACGAAACAAATGCTTATTTCTCCACACTTAAATTAATAATATGGGTGATAAATATTCAGGACGCAGTCTTTTTTAAAATTTTTATTTTTGCCAACATTTCAACCCAAACATGTGGGTCATCTTCAGGGCGTGGTATGAGCACTGAGGGTGTTGAGTACTTGAACACCCTCAGTGCTCATACCACGCCCTGAAGATGACCCACATGTTTGGGTTGAAATGTTGGCAAAAATAAAAATTTAAAAAAAGACTGCATACTGAATATTTATTACCCATGATATGTAGAACAGTCAACTAATTTCTATCATAAATTAATAATAGGGTGTACAAAAAAAAAAAAAAAAAAAATGACCATTATATCAAATTCCAGATTTCAAAGGTTGTAAATATTTTAATCCTATTTAATACTTACCTATACTTAATAATCATTTTAGAGCATTCTCTACGCTTGTTTAATCCCATTAGACTTCTTTACCAAAAAGCCTCAGTTTAGTTATTTGTTTCAAAGAAGAAACATGACAGTGTCCCACAAAATTCTCATCATTTTAAGGCATTACTGAAAAAAACAATTCACAGCCGCTCAAGCAACTCCTGAAATTATTAAATATGAAGAGGAAGGTGTCATTGATCAGCGCTCTGCACGGTGTTGGTTTGAATAAGTTAGCAGTGGAGATACAAAATTGGAAAGGAAGAAGGGCTCCGGGCGAATATTAATGGATATTGATGATGTTCTGCAGGAAGCTGTCGAGTCAAATCCATCCACAAGTACTCGCGAATTTGCCAGGGAGTATGGTGTGTCGAAAGATAGTCACCTTCTACTCTCCATGAGGAAGGGGAAAAAGGGCAGTAGACTGGTTCCTTATGAAATTACTCCTCAGCAATCAGCTACGAGGGCTAGAAATTAGTGAATATTTATTGAAAAACCCTTTTGATATGAGATTTTCCCGGAAGATTGTCACCTGTGATGGAAAGTGGGTATACTGGCGAATACCCGTGAGAATTTTGAAGGTATTATTCATCACCAACTTGTTCCTCATAGATACTCTATAAATCCTAAACTCTACTGCAAACAACTGGAAAGATTGTACGCAAAGTTGTCAGTGCTTTGATCAACCGTAAAGGAATTTTATTTCAACAAGATAATGCTTGTCCTAACACTTCCAGTTGAACCAAAGAAAAGTTTAAAGAGCTTCATGGACTCGAACTCCTGCCTCATCCACCATATTGTTCAGACCTCACACCATCAGATTACTACTTATTTAGATCCATGGCCCATTTTCTTCAAGGAAAAATCAAGATAATTTTGTGGAAGTTGAAATTGCGGTCCGAGAGTTCTTTGACAGCCATCCCAAAGAATGTTATCTGTGCGGTATATTAACTTTCCTGTTTAATGATTTCTCCCCATTCTTGCTAAAGTATTTTATAATATCTTTACCAATATATAAAATTTTAAATATTTTATCAATTATATAAAATTAGATTACCTAAAAAAATGAGTTTAAAACACAATTTTTTTTTCTACTTCATGATATATAAAAATGTATTATATACATTGACAGTAGGTCGTAAAGATTCTACAAAGTGATTTTCTTTGTTTTTAGCTCATAATGTTTAACAGCAGGAAAAATAATTAAATTATTAAAATGGTTTTAATAACCTGGAAAAATTGAAAGTTGGAAATTCTGCAATAAGATTTTGGTAGACATCCTATTTTTAACATCTCATTTGTCTTTCTTTCAAAATAGTTTTATTTTGTTTCGTTAGGAAGAAGTAATGACGTTAGAACGTATTCTCTTACAAACAATTAAATTTGATCTGCAAGTGGAGCATCCTTATCACTTCCTTTTAAAATATGCTAAATGTTTAAAAGGAGATAAAGCTAAATTACAAAAAATGGTTCAGATGGCATGGACCTTTGTGAATGACAGGTATGTTTTAAAATGATACATAACTTTTTATATTTAGTGTATAAATGGAAAAAAAAAAAAAGTATAATTATATTTCAGTTTATGTACAACACTGTGCCTTCAGTGGGAACCAGAAATAATCGCTGTAGCCTTGATGTACTTAGCTGGAAAGCTTAGTAAATTTGAAGTTGTTGATTGGACTGGTCGTGCATCAAAGCATTTAAGATGGTGGGATATGTTCATTGAAGATGTAACCATGGATTTACTAGAAGGTATCTTAAATTTTGCTTATAAGTTTATTATAATATTGCTGTATAACTTTATTATTGCAATAATACATAACTATCTACTATAGTTTTTTTCTAAAAAAATTATTTTATCTTGTTATATAAAAACTTTTTATGAGGATTTGTGAATATGTGGATTTTTAAATATTGTTTTGAAAATGGGTCAAAACATCCATTAAAATTCAATAAAATTCTGAGCAGATATATGTCATCAAGTTTTGGATCTGTACTCCCAAACCCAGACAGGTATGCCTCCTGATTCACCACCAGCTCCGAGGCATCCAGCTCTGGAAAATTCGACAGCTGAAAGGTCGCCAAACACAATACCACCATCTCCAGGTATTCTTTAATGTTTCACAACACAATAATACGTTTAATTAATGTGTTACTTATAATCTATTGGATATTTGATCGTTTAAATAATGAATGAAAAGATGATCTCTTCCTTCATTAATTGTAATTTAATATATTACACCTCATTTATGTTATAAAATTATTTTCTATCAATTTAAACTAATTATTAGGACCGTTTTACATGGCCGAATTTCTAGACCAAATCTTTGTCCTAGATATTGTAGTTTAATACTGTGGTTTTGAACACCTAGGATTACCACAGACTTTATAGACCCCATTACATTGTCGGCATATTTTTCCACTCAGTATGCCATTCAGGAATGTGAGAATTAAACAATTTAAACCTCTCCTACACCAGGAAAATAACTTTACTTATCAACTGTACTTTAAGTGTTGTTTGTAATCATGTTAAAAAATTGAAGAATGAATTACCATTTCCATTACTTTAAGAGCATAAGATAGTTTGAATTTTTAGTTGATATGAATATAATATAATACATATTTGAACAAGTTTATTGCAAAATTAAAAACAAAATACATGGTAGAAAATAATTTTCTTTTATTTATATTTTAGTTATACCTTCTGCAAAGATGCCTCCAAAAGCAGAGACAATCAAACCACCGCCAATGATATCTAGAAACAATGGCGAGCCAGCTAAGCCTATCGTGGATCCTACTAAACCACCACCTGCTCTTGATTATACCTTTCCGCCCTATTCTGCTGCACCACCTCCATTATATGCCCCTACATTCCACCCTCCTCCACCAGCTGGCACTGCACCATCAGCGCAACAGTTTTTTTTGCCGCAAACAGTTCCCCCTCGACCACCATACTTTCCTCCAGCAAGTTAGCTAGTTATGATAAAAAAGAAAAAGTGTATGTAAAAAGTTTATTTATGATTTATCTACATAACTTGTTGTGTATTCTTGCTTATTATTTCTGTTCCTATGAATTTTTGTTTCATATTTATATGATTAAGTTTTAGTAAATAATTGTATTCATAGTTCTATGTTTACTGACTGTAATTTCTCAAAGTTGTTTCTGTGTAACAAGTTAGTTAACTCATTCAACTTGTGATATTTATTTATGTATTAAATTTGTTCTATTTGTTTATTTTATTATGATTTAATAGTTAAAATAGAGCTGTTAGCATAAGCAAGCTGTTGAACATGTCTGGCAGTGGAAACAGTAATTTTGGCTTGCATTATTTTTTTTATTTTGAGATTTTCTAAATCATTATATAACCAAATATGTTAAAAATAAAGTTTTATCTTTTTTTTAACAAACAAGCTAATATAAATTAATAGTTTTTGTCAACTACTGTGATATATAAGATAAATTGTTCAGGTCAAGTTTTTGCTCAAAAATAAAGTTGGTGGTCATTTATTAGTAATTCCTCTATTATAGATAATTTTGAAACTACTAATCTACTAATATTTATTAATCTCGAGCAGAACTTTGTCAGGAAGATGAAATAAAGCTATTTCATTTTTGATATTTAAAAAAATTTGTGTTCTTAAAGGTTTAATCCTTTTTGTATTCTTTGAGCATTGATAAATTTTATTTCATAGAAGATTCACATTTATTTTTTTAAGGACTTGTGAAAAAAACAAACAAGATAAATTTTTTATCTTTGTAAATATATGTATAAAATGGAATGTATGTTTACATTAAATATATATTTCTTTGAGAATTTTGTTCCAATTTATTTTTCCTAGGGTATATATTATTCCAACCTTTTTTATTTTTAAAAAATATTACCCTTCTTATGTTATTTCTTCACTTATTGGTTTATGTTTCATTCATGGTCTTTTATTTAAAATAATTTTATAAAAATTCTTCAACTTAATGTTGGTTTACGATTTTGCACTACTTTTTTTTTAATTTTAAATATTTATACATGATTATTGTAATTAAAATATTTCTAAATTTAGTGTTAAGTTCTTATTTTTTTTTAAATTTACTTAAATGAAAAAAATAAAATAAAAAGCCAAAAGACATCAAATTTGTTTAAAGTATATAGGTAATCCTACCGTACATAGACCTCTACACTTTCTATGAAAATTTCTTGATATTTTATTATTAAATTGTTTGATTTAAACTTGGTTAAAAAACTAAAATCAATTACTTTACTTTGAATCAGCTCATGTATTCTTATCAGACATGCATCCCAGACTATGCCCCTCACTTTATGTTTATTATAATTATAAACATATTTAGTATTTTAGGTGTTATTTCTATTTTTTTCTTTTAATAATTAACAGAGCTTTCTCTTTTATTATCTTTTTATCAAGTTTTTCCCTGACAAAATGACTATAACATTAATATATAATTGATTGGCAGAAACTTCACACACTCAATTGTATTTTGAGACATCAATAGTGAAAAAAATAGACATGAGTTCATATATCTTATTATAGATTAGAGAAGTATCAACAGATTACTCCCATTTCAGCATTTAATTTATCCCTCTTTTCGAATTTTTGTATTTATAAAAATTAAGAACAAAACATATTAAACATATTAAGAACAAAAAATATTAAGAACAAGACATTTCTATAAGTAAGCTCTTGCTGATTTTCCATTGGACATTTAATATTTTTCATGAACTTTTATAAAAACTAAGCATTGACGGCTGAGTACTCTTCATTGATTAATTTGAAAAATTAAGAAAATGCTCACAAAATAAAACCATTTGTGATGCAATGGAATATAGGGGAAAAGTTATATGCACTAAATAGCAATAGCAAACACTTGGTTAAGTAAAAATATCCAATTTTAACAAACTTTATTTTAAATAACAATTATTTTCATATATAAATAAATATTCTGTTAATTAAAGGCACACCTTCTTGTCAAATTTTAATTTTTAACAGTAAACAACAAACAAAATTTATGGACATGAAAGCCTCATTAGAAAGCATAATAAAAACCTGTACAATTATCTTATAAATAATTATCTTATTAAAATTATAAACACTTAAAACAAAAAAAAAATTAAATTTTACATAACCATTCATATGTAAGAAAATATACAAATAAAAAAATATAAAAGTTTTAATAATAACAACATTTGAGGTGGGCTACCTTGGTAATAATGAAAAATAAAGAATATGCCAGTGATGAATGTCCATTTGTACACGGTCAATAGTTGAAAAGGCACACAATTAGTCAAAATTCCTGATTATCACTTTTTTTTCTTATATTAAGTATAGAAACAGTGCATTAAATTTTTTGAAAAAGACTAGAAAATAAACAGTACTGCCCTCCATGAAAAAAAAAAAATCTTAACTCTCCAAACATTCTATACATTAGTACACCTAAAACATAACTACAAATACAAAATACTGATTTGAAACACAGTTGAGTATTAAAATATGTCTAACATATAGACAAAATAAATTCTAAATTTATTGAAATATATTTTTAAAAGAAAAATACATAGATAGAATCTATAAATATATTGATATAATTATTAGCTTACAATGATGATGTTAAATGCTTGAGAACAAACTGAAATTTAAAAAAAAAAATTACTCTATATGTTACTATTTTCCAGTGAAGTTCCACAAGCAAAAAACAAATACAAAACATTCCGAATAGAATATAAAATCAAGAAATATATAATAAAAATTTTAGATATGATGATTCTGATTGCATCCCTATTAACAAAAACAGTTTAGAACTAACAATCCATCGAACTTTAAATATATACATACCAATTTTAAACTTAAAAAAAGTTTAGAGGTAACAAATAGAAATGTTTGGCATGGAAAGTGACTACAAAACATAATTATATTATAAATAGGAATTTTTTTTACAATCTAAATAACTTTTTTTGTAACAGTTGCATTCTCAGAATTTTAAAACATAATCTAACTACTTATGTTAAATATTTGATAAGAATACGCCAATTTGGCAATTGCACACTGTTTCTATTATGAATGAGCAATTTAAGTAATTATGACCAAACGAAACTACAAATATTATGGGTGTATTGAGTTTATTCCAGTAATCAAAGCATTTACATGTTCAATTTAAAAGAATAGATCTATTTATAGTAATTTCATATTTTACAAATTTTAGATTGTTATAATTAATTAAACATTGACTTCATTGGAATAAATGTTCTAGAATAGTTTAGAAATGAAGAGAATTAGCCAAATGTTTTTGAGCCAAGTAAAATTTCTGACGAGAGCTTATCGCCTAGCCTCAAGAAACCTCATTCCGATCTTCATTTATCTTGTTTTAGCTGATGGCTGATACATTATATTGTAAGTGAGAGAGAAAACATAACCTATGAGGAAATAGGAATGATATATGAGAAAGACCATAACGTTACACCGAATAGAAAGAAGTTTTAGCAAGTAATGAGAACTCAATAAACCCACAATATACGTACAAATAAATTCCTGCAACCAAAAAAAAAATGAATAACAGTTGCACAAGCTTTTTTGATTGAGCAAAATTTTAAATTAAAAATAAACATACCATCAACATAAAAACTAAAGGCACAATGACATAAATGTTAAAATGCAGAGATTCAATAGAACTTCATTATTACTATTAATAAGTAGATTTAAATAGTTCAAAAATATTTTTCAGCATCTAAAAATATTTAAAATATTTTTTTTTTGTCTTGATGAGTTCATTAAATAGTTACATAAATTAATGTCTAAATATCAAAACATTATAGTCGTTTCATAATACAAAATAATCAGTAATCTTTATCAGTTAATGAGGCACTTTTAACAGCCAATAATTTACTTATAATATGACTGCCACAAGCAGGTTATATTTCCACTGATCAATTCCTCAGCAAACCCCTCGGATCGCTACTACCACTTATAACTTCCTACCCCTACTTCATATTACTGCCTACTGCTATATCTTTACAGTAAAGTTATCTCCATTTTATTTAGAAGTTTATTAGAATTAGTTTTATTTTAGTTTCGTTTATTTTAATGGGTACACATAGATTTTCGGCTCAATTTTTTTTGTTTAATTGAATTATTTCAGTAAATTTATAACTTGATAAGGCAATTAGAGAGTAGAAGGGGAACAGATAGATTTAGAATCTCTCTTCCCTTATTATAACGTATAATGCATTTACATAGATTACTTTAATGAATACCAATTCGAAAAATGGTTTTAACATATTAATAAATCGAGATCAGTCCAACAACAGAATCCCCATTACTTGAACCATGAAATGGCGAATCTCAAGTATACTAATCGATAAAGGCTCTGGATGACTATAAAAGTTATGTCAATGCATTGTGAAGTAAAGCATGCATGCCTGTTCATTTCTAATAACCCAACTTTGACCCACCATTCAGTCAATAACAATTCAAACCATCAAAATAAATAAATAGCAGCTTGCATGCTATATTAATTGCTAACAAGACATTTTATGTTTGCATCATTCTAGCCTGTAAGCCTAAAAACTATAGTGTAAAATAATAATCTTGGTCAACAATCAAATGTGAGCAAAAAATCTTGTTCAAAACAGGTCTCATTTAGATAAAAAATTAATATAATAGGTCCTTATAGCAATAAGACTCAACTTTACTATTTAATACTGAATAAAAAAGTTTTTATTTTGGTGCACAGCTTTTGCAAAAGGCCAAAGGGGGGGAAAAAAAGTTAGTTGATAGTAATATTACAAAAGTTTGTAATAACATCATATTACAACTCTATAATAAATGTGTAATGTATTCTAAAACCAGACAGATCGATTATATCCTATATCCATATGGTTTTAAAGTTAAAACGGATTCTACAAGAAAAAAAGTTATACAAATTACACACATCAAATAAATGCTGTTATTAACGAAAGGAAACCGATTGCAGCCTGATAGAACAAACAGATGGATTTTTCAATTTTAACCAAATTAGAAATTAGTTTCCAAAGCTGAAAACAAATTACAATGAAACTGAAAAGTGTACTGAAAAACTAATTTTAATCATTAAAATCACTAGTTTCACTAACAAAAAAAATTTAAATCCTAGATTCATAAACCACAATCCAATCATTTTCTAAACTGATATAAAAATAATATATACAATTAATATTGGTTTGCATTATTTTTTTTTTCTTTTCAGTTTGCAGATGCCAGAACATAAAAATTATTTAATTCAGCATCCAATTTCTTATAAGATAGCAAAGTGTGGCCAACTATTTGGTGACTCATTTACATCAGTAAAGTAATCCAATGTATTTTATAAATAAAAGTTTAATTATTTTCATGAAATTAGTATGATGTTCATTAAATATTAATATCATAATAAAAAAAAAGATAAATAAATAATAAATATTTTTATATGAAGTAATATTAAAAAGGCAAAGAAAAAATATATTTATAATGGCAGTATCAAATAATTGATGAATTTTTCGTTAAAAAAAAAATAAGCTTAACTTTTAACTGCCAAACATGGCACGATGTTTGAAAAACTAATATTTGTTAACTGCTAATATTTATTAAGTAGTAAAAAAATAACAATAAAGAATTTACAAATAGATTCTACTCTCTCTTTTATTTTGAGCTTGATTGGAGGATACATACATACTCAGATATAATTAAAGTTCACTGCAAGTAAGTTCATTATAATTACTTTTATTCAAATAATAATACTTTAAATATATAAAAGAAAAATAAATTTTGTTATAAGGATATTGCTTAAAAAAAAAAAAAAATTTTGTAGGTTAATAATTCAAGATAACCGAACTTGAACATGAAACAAAACCAAATATAATGAAATGAATAAAATGAAATGAAATAATAAATAAATAAAAACAATTATCATTCTAGAAAAATATTAATAAATTAGAATGTTTAATGAACTTGTAAAATATTATTCATGATTATATAAAATTATATATAATACAAATTGGAAATGTGAGAATTAAAGAGCAAGGGTTATGTAAGAAATAGCAAATAGTTATGTAAGAATGAGCATGCGTATTAATACTTCCCTCACAATAATCCAAAAAATCTATGTTGATAGCCATGTTTTTTATATAGATAGATAGAATTGCACATATTCCAGAAGTTTTTTTTAAAAACTTTCAATGATCAGTTATTTCAGCAACAGGGTGCTGAAATTGACCAATATAAATATTTATATTAACATGAATTACAATATAATACAATAATAATCACATTTCTAACTGATTAAGTTCAATAACCCATCAGTATAAATGGCAGTCGAAATAAACGTAGACTAAAGCCATTTCGACTAAATTAAAACTAAATAAATCATCATCTGGGACATGATCATTGCCAATCAATAATTCAAAGATAAATCACTCCAATATCTTTATCATGCATTACAATTAAGTGTAAATTGGTTAGGACATATAAATATATCTCTCTTTTATACAAATATGAAATAAATTATAGGAATAAATAATAGTATAAAAAAAAAAGCAGAGAGAATAAAGACATGTATGAAAAAAAAACTATCGCCACATGAAATATTCAGTGCATCAAAAACAAATTGGATTGCTATTAATGTAAATTCCAGTCCTCAATTGGTCATCCTATTCAATAGATTCTTTAATTATTATTATTATTATTAAAAGGCAGTCATATATAAATTGTTTCCTTTTTGTATAGATAAAAAAAATAAATAAAAATATTAATATAAAAATCTCACAAAAAAATGAATAACCTAAATAAGGTTGTTTATCATAACAATATTAGTCTTATATAATGGTTGACTGTCATTATTAACAGTCTAGCTATACATTTTAATGCTATGCCACTCATTTCTTAAATATAACAAAACCTAAACTTAGATAAGCCTTGAATTTTTCAAATAGTATATCAATAGTCTATGTACAAAACTGTATTGTGATATATTCTGTATCATTAACATCCTTTGCTGACGCAGGAGGTGCACAACTCTTGGGATATCGAGTTCCTGAAATCAATTGAAATCATTATTACTATTGAATAATTTCTTGGATAATAGTAAAAAAAGTAACCAAAAAAAAGTTCCAAAAAACTTTTGGAATGGTATTCCATGTTTTTTTTTATTTTTACTTTCCTATGTATGACATATATAATAAGAGAAAGTACTGCAATTACGAAACATTTAGAATCTGAGTTTTTAACAGAATTTCTTGTTCAAAAATCAGAACCATTCAATTGTCGTATGTATAATTCCAAACCATGAATTGTATATTTCTGTAGATTACATGAACTTTATGTGATCTATTAAATAAATTTTTCTTTTCTTCATCATTTTTCTCCTGCTTTTTCCAGGGAGCACCTTATTCCCTGGTAAATGAATCCACAAAAACACTTGGAAGTCCCCGAATGGTAAAATATTCAACCAAATTGACCACCTGCTCGTATCGTCTCACCACAATTCCAACCTCATTAGCAGCAGAATCTTTCGTGGCGCTAACATGGATTCAAACCATTACTTTTTAATATCCAGAGTATGAGCTAGAATCTCCAATAGCCACACTGTAAGGAGGAAGACAACTAAAAAGATCAACGCAAGCAAGTTGAAGGACCCTGAAACTCGCCAAAGATATGAAGAACAGTACAGCGATCTGATGAAGAACATAATGAAACAAATGGGCAACGATCCTGAATTAGAAGATGAATGAAGGATTCTGAAAGAAGCTGTAATGAAGACTGCAGAAGAAGAGTTGAGAAACGAATCGAGAAATTCTAGAGATGCGTGGTTTGATTCAGAATGCCAGGCAGCAACAGATGCAAAAAACCGAGCTTACAAATCAATGGTGCACAAGGGATATACCTGGTTAGCATTGGGAGAATATAGGAATTTGCAACAAATGGAGAAAAACTTCATAGAAAAAAGAAGAAAACCTAGAAAAGGAGAAAATATGAAGAAATCGAGGAACTACGAAAAGTATATGACAGGAGACTTTTTTATCGTAGGGTCAATCAGGAAAGAGACGATTTCAAACTAACTTCTATTCCATGTAAGAGTAAGAATGGTTCGCTGCTCACGAAGAAAAAAGAAATTCTACAAAGATAGGTGCGTCACTTTGAAGCTCTACTAAATGACTCAACAGTGGAAGATGCAGAAGTTGCTAGACATGAAAATCGAAACGAGAACACAGAGGAAGAGAATGAAACCCCTCCAGATTTCGAAGATGTTATGGAAGTAATCCACAGAATAAAAAAATAACAAAAGTTCAGGTTTAGATGGCCTTACAGTAGAACTCCTTAAATACAGAAGTGAAAACATGCATAAGGACCTTCATAATTTGAAGGTCGAAATTTGGGTTGATGAAAAGATGCCAACGGAGTGGAAAAAGGGAATAATTTGCCTAATCTACAAAAAGGGTAATATGCTTGATTGCAAAAATTATAGAGGAATATCGCTCTTACCAGCATCATAAAAAATTCTTCCTGAAATTCTCTTCAATCGATTGTGTCCCTAAGCCAAACAAATAGTAGGAAAGTACCAGACTGGCTTTAGAAGTGAGAAATCTACAGTGGACCAGATCTTTTCCCTGAGGACTGTCTTGGAGAGGGGGATTGAATATGATATAACAACCTACAATCTTTTCGTAGATTTCAAGAATGCGTACGATAGCATCAATCGCTCCAAAATTTACAGGGAACTTGAAGTGTGACAACTTTTCACCTATCTATTGCAGGCAACACAAATCTCGTAATTCCATTTTAGTAAACTTTGCAACAGAAAAAACAGTTTAATAATTAACAGTCGTACATCCATAATCAACCATTGATATAATAAATAGGATTTTTGTTTCTTTAATGGTATTTATAATTTGTTAACTGTAAGCTTTAAGCTTTAACTCGATTAAAAATTCTCTTCAGAAATTTAATAGTAGCACAACATTGCCTGAAAATAATTTATATTCAAGTTGAGCGGTAAATGAAAGTTGTGTGTTGCGGGTATCAGATTTTTAATTTTATAGAAGATAAGACTGTTTTGAAAAAAAAAAATTATTTTAAGTTGATATTGATATATTCCCAAAAGATTATAATTAGGTTTCAGTATTCACAAAAACTGAATTGGAAAGAACAAAATTTACTTTGTACCAAAGGAGACACAATTAACAGTAATTAAAGCACTTAATTAATCCTCAATCTTTTACAACCCGGTTTTCGTTCCCTATACTCCACCCAATCTGCCTTGTTAAAGATTACCTAAGACCTCCGATCATCAATAGATAAACAGAAAATTTATATCCTAGTACTTTTCTACTTCTCAAAAGCTTTTGATTCAGTCAATCATAATATCATCCTTTCCAAACCCCAAAGCCTCCCCATATCGAATAGCGTCCTAAAATGGTTCCTCTCCTTTTTATCCCATCGTTCCCAGACAGTTGTTATTCCAAACAAATCTCCTTCCTCATCCCTTCAATTATCCCGAGTTTCTCAGGGTTCCTCACTCTCTCCAACCCTTTTCTCCATTTATATTAGTGACCTTCTTGACTCCATTCTTCACTCCCGATATCACTTATATGCAGGCGATCTCCAAATTTACTTATCGTTCCAACCTTCTGAGAGGCTAACCAAAAACTGCTAGAGGATATTGACTGTACCCACAGGTGGGCAGAAAAAAATGAACTGAAGCTGAACCTAGATACAACTAAGGTAATCCTCATCGGTTCCAAGCAACTCATTAGTTCCCTTCCGTTCTCTCATTAACTTTACCTAAATAACCGTCTCATCCATTTCTTTCCAACAGTCAAAAATCTCGGAGTAATCTTTGATCAGAACGTCTCTTGGAATAACCATATTTCCCAGGTTCCCCAATAATCCATAACTATCCTTAAACAGTTCCTATGATTCTTTGAATTTATTCTGAGAAACATCAGACAGCTCCTTGTAGCATCCCTTGTTTTAAGTCACTTGGACTATAGTTGCTTGGAGTATGGAGGTCTGTCGAGAAGACTGGAGGAGAGACTGAAGAGAATCATGAACTGCTTCATAAGATTCATCTTTGGGATCTTCAGGCGTTCCCATGTTTCCTGCTTATACACTGAGTTGAAGTGGCTCTACCCTACTTTCCGAAGGCAATTCCTTCTAGGTATTTTTCTTTTCCAAGTCCTCAGAACCAAATATCCTCCCTACATCCTAGAACTCCTTAATCTACGTTCCTGTATCCATGCTCTTAATACCAGATCTCAACCTATAGATCTGTATATCTCCTCCCATAAAACCACTTTCTTCAGCAAATCCTTCATCATCCGTGCTACATCCTTTTGGAACTCCGTATGCATTTCCAAACGTCAAACCACGTCCATAATTCCTTCAAACAATTCTAGGTACTTTTTGTCTAGGGGCCGGACTGAAACCTCACTTCTTATCTATCTTATCTAACGTCACGTCATACAACCTCCCTCTTCTTATCCTGCCAAACCTTTGAGTTATTGCTATTATTTAGTTTTCAGTTATTCCCTTATTATGTTCAATTATTAAATTCTTTACTTTTGGCCCGTTTGTGTTTATTTTTTATTATTTTTAGTTTTTGACCCATTTGTGTTTATTTTACTTTTTTTTTAGTTTGTGGCCCCTTTGTGTTTATTTTTCATTTTTTTTTTTTTATTTTCGTCATATTATGGATCTTCTTAGAATATGGGATTTGCCGCCTTCAGAAAAACAGGCAATTCAATATTTTCAAAATGTTGAGGTACTTGCAGACGTGAAATTGTGTGAACGAGGCCATCAAATGAAGTAAACCAGGAAGACCAAATGGAGATGCTTTCGTAGGGCTTATGACACAAAACTTTCAATAAGGAAAGGAACATAGTTGGAGGGCTAGAAGATTTCGTTTTTAACAGGTTTAAAATTGATTTATGTGTGGTCCCATAGCTTGACAACGATGAAGTGGGGCAAAGAGCAGCTGAAACTATCCTATGGAGCTATGGTAACGTGGAACAAATGTCTAAGAGAGGTTTGTGCCCATGACATGTTATACAGGCCAAGAAAAAAAATTGGAGGACCTGGCAAAGTGGTTGAAGTAGACGAAAGTCTTTTTTCTAAACGAAAAAATCATGTGGGGAGTTTTACCTCAGCAGTGGATGTTTGGTGGAGTTTGCCGAGAAACAGATGAATGTTTTATCTTTTTATAAAACAGATTTTATGTTTTATATTTTTTCTTTTCTATGTAAATATGTTCTTTTAAATGTGTTTTTTTTATTATTTCATTTTGATGTTTTATATGTACATATCTTCTTAAAGTGTTTTTTTATTATTTCATTAATATATGTGTCGTCAAATAAAAGTTTTTTTGTTTTGTTATTACATTTGTTTTTGTATCTGTTTACACTTTCAATAATACGAATTTAATACAATAATATGAAGATATGAAGTAGGAGAAGGCTTATCACTGCGTTATGGGAGTTATCAGTGTTCAGGTTATAAACATTGGCAGATAGCAGTCAGTAGAGGCCCCCCTAGACAAAAAGTACTCAATTCTATTACTCCACCTACAACACATTCAAACTTCCGCAAGCTTGTAAGAATTTTTAGATTATATAATTGTAATTGTTTGCCAACAGTTAATTGATAAGAGCCATTTTATTTTTCTCAGTATTTTTTTGTAAATAATTGTATTTTTCTTAGAATTCTTAGTATATATTTGTATTTTAACTACATGCCAGATCGATGTGAACGTTTTTTGAACTTGGCTGTTATTCTAAGGGGATTTTAGTCCCAGAATAAAATAATTTTTCATTCATTCATTCATTCATTCCATCCATTCATTCATCATTCAATAATTAGAGAACAAGTACTCGAATATGAACTGACCTGATTGTGGTCTATTGTAAAGAGAAGCAGGTCGCTGAGTATGGTGACAGCCGTGGGACCGACACCACTGCTGCAGTGAACCAGGGCCGGTGGGTTTCTGTTATGACCACCAGGTATCTCAGTCATAGTGTGCTGTCTCACAGAGCTTACCTCCTCCAAGAAACCTGTTTTATAAAAAGGTAATTTACAAATGAAATAATTTATATATTTATTGAAATTTACAATTGTACTAAATAAATACAACTAGTAAATATGAAAAAATCAAGAGTAATGACATGAAAAGACTTGTGGAGACACTATACCATGATAGCACTCTCTATAAATAAAATAATAATTTAAATAATGGCAATAACATATGTAACAAAGCCGTGTATATTAACAGAATACATTTTAATGTTTATTAACACTTCAATCCATTTTCCAAGTTATCATCAGAGCTACAAAAATATAAGAGCAATGACTATCATGAATATAATCATGATAAATATATTCATGATTACTTATATCATTCATCCTCTTTATTGCATTAAGTTTTTTATAATCTACAATTATTGTTACCAATTTTATTTACTTTATTTTAGTATCTAGTTACTTAGTTTTATACTTGAATGTTCTTAATACTGCATTTGCTCCGTTTATATATTTTAATGTTCTTAGTACTTTTATATACTTTATATTTACACTGTTTATAATTTTTATGTTATATACTTTATAATTGATATAAAATATTAAAAAATGATAATAATATTGAGGTCAATTACTGGCTCATCAAAGGCACTTTTTTTTTTCATTTCATTTACTCAAGAGCCTCTGATTCCAAATAACTGTCTTGCGAAATGGTGAGTCTGTGTACGCATGAGTGTATGTGTGCAAATAGCAGAGGCTCATTAAGGAGACAAAGACTCTCCCTTTCCCTGTGTTGTAGTGGCAAGGAGATAGATAGAATTCTTTACTGGGGGTTGATGGTTGAATGTCACGAATAATGAAGAGAAGGATAGTTTGGGGTGATCAGTCAGAAATAAAAAGGCAACAATAAATCATAATATTTATTTTAACATTTGCCGACGTTTCGACCTGAAGTTCAGGCCTACATCAGGGCTAAGAAAAGAGCCAGAGAACAAGGTAGAAAAAACATAAACAATGTATGTAAAAAGATTAAAAAGAGATAGATAGAAGTCTAAAATACCAGAAAATAACCAATACTGTAAATCAATGCAATTTTCAATTCAGACGTTTTCAAAATAGAAAAAATAGGACCACATAAATGCAGACAAAAGACGGAATATCAAATATCAACAGTCTAAAAAAGAGTCAACTATAAAAAGTAATTGACCCCAAGATATCTTGACATGTTATCAAAACTTTTAAATAGAAAAATTAGCAAAAGAGAACTATTTTGAATTATATTATTGCCTTGAAACTTCATCTGATCCGAATAACATCTCAATTATTCTGTATTAATCCGAATAACAGGTCAATTATTAGGTATGATTCCTTTGCTTGGCATTAAAAGGTTTACGTTATAAAAAAATAAAGCTCTGATCAGTGATATGATAAAGGATACTCCGTAGGATGTGATAAAATAATAAATCCTGCCTTGGAAGAATGTCGTTTTTCATAATCTATGAGTAACGTAACATAGACAAATTAAAAGGAGATTACCTAAGAAATGTGGGACAGCATTAGGGCACCCCTGATGGCCCCACTCAGTGTACTGAAGGTGCCAAATACCTCTGAAAGACTTGCTGTCCACATCCTGAATTCTCAATTTACTTGTCGCACAATGTCCAGTCGCTTGAGAAAATTGGCACATAACCTCGAACTAAAACATAATTGTAGAGAAAACATTTAAATGAAATTGTAAAACATTGTACAGAACATTATAATTTTAAGTCATTAAACACGTTAACTGCGGTTATGGTCCCCGGGTTCCGATATCCATCTCGACTTCGGCTGGGATTGTTTCGAATTTTGCATATTTTAAGAAGTCTCTAAAATAGTCGTCTAGATACAAACGTACATAATCATAATATTTGATATAAATCTATAGGAAGCCGGGGATCGTAACCGCAGCGAACATGTTAAAACAAAATTATTTTTTAAAAGTTTTGTTCAGGTCACCAGATCTTCAGGTGATTTTGTTTTGATCAAAAACAACAAGTTAATTAAAAAATTACATAGTTATTAAAGTGATGCCTTAACACTCTAGACCACCATGGCCTCCTTTTACTATTAACCTAATTAATTATTGGTTAAAATCATTTTATCTTGCTTCAATGGGCCAAAAGGCTTGAATGTGGTGGCATATCACACTAATAAAATGTGCATATCATTCTTCAAGTCAGTAAAAAATTGAAAATTTTTCACAGAAACTTCTTCTTAGTCAGGGCTGTGGTCCTCTGCAAGCAAAGGAAGGTGTTCCATCCTTTACAATATAGCAGCCTTCCAGAAACAGGTATTTTTCCAAGATTGAAATGGGTTGGACTGACAGCTGTTTTCCACCTCTACGGCTGGTTGGCTGATGTTACAAGCTGTAGGCACTTTCTTTCACTTAAAACATCGAGTTTCTCATTGCAGCTTAGCTCTCAACACTTCACAGACATTGCAGGTAATGACAATATGTTCGGAAGTTTCTGACACACTACAACTAGGATGGAGATACATATTGGGTCAATGTCTTCACTATGTTTCTGGAGCTGGGCACGAAATCCCCCATGTCATGTGAAGAGCTCAGATTCAATAGCCAGGTAAGACCCATTTCACTTCTAAATATGATTTGACAATGGGAAAGTTCTTCGGTAGAGTAGTCCCTTTAGGAGTCGCCACTCACCACCGGTTGCATTCTGCTATAGTGTACTCCTAGATAATCTTTTTCCAATTCCTGGGATCCTCATAACATCTCACTCACATATTTGCTGGTAGACCCTCCGAATCTTCTCGTTTCAATTCAAATTTGTTACCATCTTCATACAGGAGATCAAAAGGTATGCCTCCCGCTAAGTCATATACTGCCTCATGAGACACACATCTGTATGCCCCGGTGACTTACAGTAGAGCTAACCATTGAATTATCTTAAACCTGTTCTTTAGTCAACATGAGAGGGGACCCATACTTTAGCATACCCAATAGAATAATTTTGTAAATTGTCATAATTTTTGACTATTTAAAATACCACATGACTAAGTTCTCTAAAACAATATGATCACTCTATTATACTAACCAACTAACTTAAAGCCTACCAACTCTAAACTGGAGGCTTAAATAGCCCATGGACGTTCTAGGTCGGGACAAAACAATTCAATGAAAATCCACTTGTCGGAACTGACATATTGGATCTTTCCAATAATTTCCCTATCATATAATATTTGACATCCAAAATCATTATAATATTAAATTTAACAAATTATGAGTTGATGTTTTAGGAGAAATTATATTTTACTATATAAATAAAGGCATGAATGTGAAATAATTAAATGTGGTGAAAAATATAGCCTTTTTTATATAAAAAATTATGATTATTATTATATGATTTTATTATTGCTTAATATTACAAATAATCAATTTTCAATAAACATTTGCAAAACCAGAGCAAGGTTCTATTCACCTTTCCTGCGTGGAGAATCCTATCTGGGGTAGGGAGATACGGTGCAATCTCTTCTCCTGGAGCAGGCAAGGACACAACCAGGTACACTTCACATTCCCAAATCATCTGCCAAAACTCTCTGATGGTAGAAGTCAGCGGGCTCTGAGCAGCAATGTAAAACCTTTGCTGTGTTCCAACTGTAGCCTGGGAGATAATACCAGATATTTTAAAATGTAACTATATTTTACTTACAAAACAATGATATAAAAAGCTCATCTTACAGTGATGTGTGAAGCGTTTATGTAACCATATTTGTTTTCTTTACTGGGAGATAACCTCACTCGGGTCTCTTCATAAGGAAGAACATCATTGAATCTTAAAAAAATATATAATAAAATTAAAAAAAAAAAAAAGCTAATACAACTGAAAATATAACTACAAATTAATATAGAGTCAAATCTAATAACTAACAACCTAAAATAATAAATTACCTGTTCCTCGCAATATTCTCGGATAAAGAGGCAGTGGCAAAATCACAGTTATTTTTCTGTTTTCCAATTTTTTCAAACTCTAAGAATAGTGTACTACGAGGATAATCTAAAAGTTTTTTTTCCAGCAATTGACACTAAAAAATAAAAATATCTATACAATAAAACAAAAATTAACTAAGCAAAACCTAAATAATTATAAATCATGCTGTAATCTAATTTAGTTTAAAATGGATAAATTGTGTATGTAAACACAAATATACACAAAAAGTGGTGAAATATTTTTTTCCTCTTTTCCTCCTGATATACAGGTTTTTAAAAAGTTTTTTTATATTTTTCCTACCAATGTATTTGGTTTTCACTCACTATAATGACTGAAACAAAGTAAAATATTAAAATATTAATTTTATTACTTTTTCTTTATATTTATAACAATCAGTTAAATCTATAATTTAAAAAACATTTACTATTTAAAATTGAACAGAAAATTATTTTTACTATTAACAATCATAGTGTGGCGTGTCTTCGACCACTGAAGGTATTACAAGTACTTCAATACCTAACGTCAGCACGAATAAATGATGTGTCCTGAATATTTATCACCCATGATATGTATAACAGTCGACTAACTACCTTCGAAAATGTTATTATTTAACCTATTAAAAGAAATATTCAGTAAATCTTGGAGCCACATTCCCAACATACACAGAGTGATTAATTTTTAAACTATAAGAAATCTTTATTTCTGAGGATCCGAAAAAAACAAAATAGGACCAACATAAATAAAATTTTGTGTGCTGGTTTGATGGAGATTCAGTTAGTTTGCTATTCTAAGAGCACTAGAAGTTGGCTTCTGTATGGTTTCACTATAAAAAAACACCAGAGTCAGAGTCAAGAAAAAAAAATGGGGCTAGGAAATTCGAAATATAGTATACAAATTCACAAAAAAATGAAGAAAAAAATGCAGGATAGTTTTCTCATTTTAGATGAGAAACCAGAAGAATATTGGGACAGATTCAGCTTTATTTAGTATATAGCAAATAAATTCAAGTATAGGATAAAAGTAGGGGCTCAGTACATCATAGCAGTAATTTATATAATTATTAATTCTCTAAAAGAAAATAGAAGGAACTTGATGGAAAAACAAAAAGTAAATGGTTTATTTTATGAACCATGTGCCTATATGAATAGATTTATGTACTTAAGAACCATTAAGTTAATACCTTACAAGAATCATGTTTCTAATTATTTTATTTCAAAAAATAAAACACAATAAAATTTTAAAATTTTAGAAAGAAAATCTGATCTAAAGAAATTATATGAACCATAGTTATAATAATAGTGGTTATGATAATGATTATGATAATAGTGGTTGTCATTATTAAGATCCGTCTAAAACTTTGTAAATAGCTTCATCTCATCATAACATAGAAATATTTTATTTACAAAAATTCTCGGAATTGGGGCATTTTCAATTTTGGAGGACGGCAAACTTTGTCTATTTAATTAGGTACTAAAAACTCACAAATACCCATTTGCTTTCCACTTGAATCGTAAGATAACTTGAACACAAAGTCGGGAAAAAAGGCGACCTTCAAAAATATTGAGCCATTTGGCGTGACCCACACCCCCAAAATGTCAAAATAACAAGGTTATATAGGCTAAACGGTCCAATATTTTTGTAGGCCATCTTTTTTTATCGATTTTGTGATCAAATTATATTACGATCCAAGTGGAAAGCAAATGGGTATTTATGAGTTTTTAGTACCTAATTAAATAGACAAAGTTTGCGCACCTCCAGATTGAAAACTCCCCAATTCCGAAAATTTTCGTAAATAAAATATTTCTATATTACGATGAGATGAAGTTTCAGATGGATCTTAATAATTTGATAAAAAGGTGTACCATGGACTATAGTGAATACTACCTTCATAATGAGAACCACTATTATCAACTATGCATCCATTAACAACATTGACAAATTGCAGTACCACTTGAACATTGACCCTTAAAATTACAACAGTACTTGAAAGAAGAAAGAAAGCTAATCACACAAAACTTTAATCAACAGAATTTCACAAAGAAAATAATGAATCACAGATAGTCAGAAAACTACAGATAAGAAAACACGATAAGTTGGGTACTTCTATTAAGGTCAGTCCACACAACAACCGATTTGAAGATTTACAAGACAAGCATATTTTAATAACATGGATATAATCAAAAGTGCACAAGTTTTTAAACTAAGCATGAAGTTTGGAGAAGTGTGCTGGTAAGCATAATTTCTTTCTAACAATTGCACTAATAAACAGGATAGCTTTAGGGAGCTCTTGTAATGCTAAACTCAGTTTTCAGTTTTGACCAATGAGACAGTTGATATGTACAATTTTGTAAGAATAGTTCATTGAACAATAGGAATGACTGTGTTTTTTTTGTTTTTTTTTAAGAGAAATAACTTTGTTCCAGGACTTCAGTTTTCCCATTTTCTTAGTTCAGCTTAGATCGTCCACAAAATAGGAAAAACAATATTTTCATTAGTATAATTTTTTTCCAATAATAATCAGATATTCATAAATGATAATGATTACAATACTGCAAAGTGCTGAGCAATGACTAGTTTCTGAGTTTCTTTTAGATCAGTAAAAACAGATGGTTCTTATAAGAACTAACAATGGAACACAAAATATTGAATACAAAATTTTCATTTTTCAATTTGAAAATTCTTATTCAAGGGTTTTTTAAAGTGCGAAAACCCAATTCGAGGGGACTTTTACCTTTGACATTAATCCCCCTCCATCACCCCTGGCCCAGTAAAATCCCCATATAGCTGAAAAGGCAAGGAAAGCGAAGGAAAAAAAGGCTATCCTTCTCCCTGATGCATTTGACTTTAAGTGACTTCAGCAAAACATGTTTATTTTAATATAAGATATAATATTATCAAGATAATCTCTTTAACACATAATAGGTGAAGCTCCATACTTCACCATGACTATTAAAGTAAAAATTTACTTAATAAGTGATTAGCTTGTACCACTTGAAAATATTCCTTCTGTTTAATTGTAGAACTATAATACAAAGCTATCTATAAACTTATACTAATCTATTTTTGTATCCATTCAAGACATAGTAATTGGTAATTGGTTGACTGTCGTGGATAATGAAGAGAAGAATAGTTGGGGAGGTCAGTCAAAAAGGAAGGCAAAAATAAATGATAATATTTATTTTTACATATGCCGATGTTTCGACCTGAAGTTCAGGCCTTCATCAGGGCTAAGAAAATAACCAGATAACAAGGTATGAGAAACATAAGTAGTGATAGTAAAAAAAATAATAATAAGATAATAAAAATTAATAATAAAAAATCAAATAATAAAATAATCAAATAATAAAAAATAAAATAAATAAATATAAAGTAAAATGAAATTGTTAGAATAATGACTAAGAACTAAGAGATAAATAATAATAACCGTTATTTATTTTTTATTATTTTTTTTTTTACTATCACTACTTATGTTTCTCATACCTTGTTATCTGGTTATTTTCTTAGCCCTGATGAAGGCCTGAACTTCAGGTCGAAACGTCGGCATATGTAAAAATAAATATTATCATTTATTTTTGCCTTCCTTTTTGACTGACCACCCCAACTATTCTTCTCTTCAAGACATAGTAGTTTGAAGAGCCTTGGTTTGTAGTTATCTCACTGACTAAGAGTAAAGAAGTCTATTACTGACAGTATAGAAACTATACCTGAATATATATTTTTTTTATTTATTAAAAATATCATAACGTTTCTTTCTATATTATCTGAAGTGCTCTTGGGATCTTAGAGCTATTCTCCAACAATTTTTTTTTTCCTTCTCCCCTTTCAGCTATATATCTTGGGGTTTTCGAAAGCCAGAGGAGAGGGCGGGGGAATAACATTAGAGTTAAGTCCATCTGGCACCTTAATGGTAAATTTTTGATTTTTCAGGTTACCGGGCTAGCCAGCTTAGCAACTCAGCCCCTTTATTCTCCTCCATTTGCTTTTTCAATAGTTTTTATTAAATTGAAGACCATCATAAACGGCAATATTTTGATTTTTAAAACCTAAGTGTGATAAGTATTCCATTAGGGCTTTTGGCAAGAATTAGGGTTTTTATCGAAAATTGTACATTTTAGGGTTTTAAACAGTGGGAAGCTTTGGAAGAACTTTACCGGGTCTTAATTATGTCCAAATCTTTAAAAAACAATTTATCCCGTCTTGAACCATTAAGTCTTGGGTTCAGAGGTTCAGTACAATGTGAGGAAGTACTATTGCGCAGGGAGGTGAAGGGCCAATATCACACTTAGCTGCCAGGTTTTCCACCTTAATTAATTACTTAATTAAGAGTATCCACATTATAGAGGCTGGGTGTGCCCCAGGAGGGTCCCCAGACTCCAGGGTCGACCCACAGATGATGAAAAATTACTATTCATCAGCCGGATTCGAACTGGGATCTTGAACTCTGGAAGTCAGTGCTCACCCACTGATCTACCCCTGAATCTATCATACTGTATTATAAATATTGTATATGATAACACTACCTATCAGTCTAGGGATGAAAAAAAAATTGAACAATTAAAATAGCTGCTTTATTGGAACAGTAATAATTCTTTATTCAACTAAATTTTAATTTGGAACGTTGTCTATAGTCTACTTAGTTTTGTATCCATTGTTAAATTTTTGTATTAAATAACTGACAAGAGAAGGAAAAAATAACTTTCCATCATCAAATCAATCTTTCCTGTAAATAAAACATTTAATTTACTGACTAAAATCAGACAGTTACCATATTATAGACTAAGAAGAGTTAAGATACCTCTTAACTGCAAAAATAGATACTTTACAACAGAAAAAAAAAAAACTGTTTTAAAACAACTAATTTCAAAATCGTTCAATTTTTTGTGTATTTTACATGATTCTAGAGAGGCATATCAAAATATAATAATATTTTTTAGTAATCTTATACTGTAATAAATAATGTAGTTATGATTTCTTTTCTTATAAGGGAATTGTTTTACTGCTTGTACAGCTAGAATAATAACTTCTTATTCATGTATATAATTATTTTTTATTTAATTAAAATGTAAAATGGTATAGATACCATCAGACTTACAAAGCATTTTTTCCATGACAAATAAATAATACCTTCAAAATAAAAATCCACATGCTCTTATACAAAAACTAACTTTGTATTTTTATTTAGTGAGTTTTTTGTTTTGTTTTAAAGAGTTGAAGGGTATAAAACACCTTGGTCTTCAAGCCCATACATATCTTATTTTTGATTGATCAGAATACTATTTAAGTCAAGGCCTCAATAAAGTTGAATACTCACTTTAAATGTTCAACAAAGTATAAATTAAAGACTATGCCTCAATTATTTAATTAATCAATCAAGTGCATTTACTTGATTAGTCTGTTATTGCTAATAAGGCCCTCTGATTTATATTTATTATACATGTTATTGTATTTATTTCAACTGTTGAGCCAGATTAAACAATGTAGAATTCAAACAAATTGCATTCATTACTCTGATAAAACTCAAGTCTTGTAACAATTTTTTTCTTAATTTCTTTCATTTTTTTTTTTTTCAAAAATCTTTTGTTTCAAACAGTATTAATTCTCAAGTCAATAATCGCATAACATAATATAAACATGATGATATACTAGCAAACCTCAAGGTGATAGCATAAATTATAAAAATAAATATCAATAAAACATACTGATATCTTGTATACACATTTTTAAAGCAAATATGTTTAAAACAGTTTCGTAACACTTTCATAAAATAAAATGTCAAATATTAAAATGAAAATATTTGGATGGGAATATAAATCTTAATATAATCTAAAAATAAAATTAATTATAAGTACTATAATCAAATTAAAATAATGTTTGACTTTTTAAGGACATACCATGGCCTCTTTGGTTATCGTCGTAGGGAGTGGAACCCTGATGGACTCACTCTGCTTGGGTAACGTTGCCTGTTTGTTCTTCCCACCAGAGCCAAGTAAGTTTGCCCATTTCCTCCCCTTGCCCTTCCCAGTCTTCCCGAGAGTGCCACTCTGCGAACCATCGCTGCTCCTCGTTGAAGAATCTGAAATGCATGGTATCTTGAGGATTTTCAGGACCATTGTGTTACGTACTAGGCACTACATTGAACTTTTGTTCCAACTGATAAGATAATGTCAAACCCGGGAACAGAAAAAAAGTGTGATTCAGCCATGTGCTGTTTTTCAAGTATTAGATAAAAAGCTCAATGTAAACAATTAAAAAAAAATTCTAGCTCAAGAGAATAAACCTAGAGATTAGAAGAAATGATATTTGGAACATATTAAGTTTTAATATATTTATTTTTTCTATAGACCAAATTTATTATATTCCTTATAATTTCAATTAACCAAATTTGAATTTATTCATTAATTTTTAGCATTATTTTTTTTTTTTAATTTAAAGTAATCAATTTATATTTTAAAGTAAAATTGTTTATAAGCTGACAATTTATTATTAATATGAAAATGTAAAATTAATAACACTTATTAAAAACCTTATTAATCCAAAATCATTTTTTTCTAAAAATGTTAATTAATTAATTATCAATACATAGGACACTTTATTATTCCCTACCAAAAACAAAGACATAAAACAATAATGCTTTTTATTAACAATAAAAACCTTAAATAAGTTACATTACATTTTTTATTCTCTGTATTTGTAATTTCTTGGACTTATTTTTGCCATTTTTAAACATATTATCTTTATATACTGTTTTCCATCCAATCATAAATTTTTTATTTTTGGTCCTATATTTAAAAAATATATTCATTTTTTCTTTTAGACAAAAATCTTCTTTTGTCACCCAGTTTTTTTGTGTTGTATTTTTATTCTAAAAACAGAAACTTCTTATATTACTGAATATATATTATATACTTTAAAATTAAGTTAAAAACAAAAATTAAACAGCAAATAGAAAAATATTTCTCAATTGAATAAAAATATATGTCATGGTTATCTAGGTTTTTGAGCATTTCTTTTCTATTAAAACAAATATTAATATGGACTTCAAGAAGGAAATCCAACATCATCATGGATCAACAAAACACTTACAATCTAATCTGAGAAATGTTAAAAATTTATAAAAATGTTGTGGAAGTAAAAAAAAAAAAATAAATAAACTTTTGATTGTTATACTGGAATAACTGCATATCATTAAAAAGCATCATTATTTCTAGTGCAATAGCTTATCAAATTTAAAAAAAAAAAAAGAATAATTATTACAACATTTTGAGTAAATATTCTTATCAATTTAGTTTCTCCCAAATTAAAACAATAAATTACATCCTCTTATCTCATAAAAAAAAAATATATATATCCTCTCTTAAGATGATATACTAATCAAATATTTGAAGTGAAGGACTCAACAAATCTAAGATCTAGTTTATTTATATATTTTATATTTTTAAGATCAATAAATCCCAGTTTGATTTGTTTTTTTTAATATGCTTCAAAAAATTTAAATCTTATTTCAACTCATTAATAATCATATGAATATAATATCTTAAAGAAATAAGCTATGATTGTCATATCATTGTTTAATAATTTTTTGTGCTTTACTAATCATCATTATTTTACTTTGGGTTGTTCTAGACAGTGATAAATTTTTAATCTTAAAATTTAATCAACTATTGAGGTATTTCAGATACTTTGTACAAGTGTTGACAATTTTAATGAAAACGACTGCCATCTTGAATCTGAGTTAAAAAATAGTTATCTCTAAATAATATATCTTTTTTCCTAAATTTCAGGAACATTTAGACAAAAAGGACAGGACAAAGTGTTGAATTATCGAGTTAAAACAGAATTTCACTTATGTTCAGTCAATGAAAAATACTACTATCAGAAGTAGTAGTACTCTTTAGTAAACAAAAGGTCATTGGTAATTTAGCCACAAATGTCATTCAAAAATTATTTTAACAAGAGTTGATTTAAAATTCAAATTACTAAAACATTTGAAAATAGTGACTAGTTGAAACTTATCATATTTTTTAAAAATTAAAATTGTTAATAAGATCGGAGTACCTCTTTTATTTTTTGCTTAATTAGCCATGTAATAATAATCAAAAGATTTCTTTACCATAGATTTAGATTTTTGTATAAAATAAAACAAAAAAAAAAACATATAACAAAATCTTTATTTTTTAAGATGATTTTTCTAGCACTCAGGATAAATAACTGTTAAGTAAATACATTAAAACTTAGATTATTATGATTAGTATGTTAGTTGTATGAAATAAAGAAAACATGGTGATTATTATTTAATTGTCTCTTCATGAGAAATATTAAATAACTGTACCAGACTGTTATTAAAGTTTTAATTGCTAATTTCAGCTAAAAGTTTCCATCATTCCTATTAACTACTGACTGAAAATTCTTTTGAAAACTATTCAATATTTGTATTCATTATTTTATTTATGTCATTTATTCTCTTTTTTTTTAACTTAAAAGTGTCACTGTTTATATTTGTTAAGAGTCAATATCTTGAAAACATGATTCATAATGAAGTAGAGTGCCATTTGGAGAGAATACTGCAGAAATGAAATCATTAACTGAATCACTTGTGACGTAACGGATCACCCAAGTGGGCCATCTTAAGCTTGTAATACTTCATAAGTTTGATATGATATGACATTGTTTTAATTAATGATGACAAAAAAGAAAACGCTTGGCAAATCCATTCAACTTTACTCAATTAAATAAAAAAAATAATAAACACATAAATGAATTTACATCACCAATTTTATCAGAAACATTTTTTTTTTTTTTTTAATCTTTCAACAAATTGTGAACTTTAAGCATTATATAAAAATAATTATTTTTTTATGTATGCATGTACAACATTTAATATTGTTAAAAAAGTATCATTTTTTTACTTTTAAAAAAACTTATAATTTTTTTTCTTCAAAACAGAATATATGTGAATGAAATATTATAAAGAGAATGGTGTTGCAATAATTCACAAAATGAAAACTATAAAAGAAAGGATATTGTTAAAAAAGAAAAGGCTTGGCAAATCCATTCAACTTTACTCAATTAAATAAATAAAATAATAAACACATAAATGTGTGTTTACATCACCAATTTTATTAGAAACATTTTTTTTTTTAAATCTTTGGACAAATTGTGAACTTTAAGCATTATATAAAAATAATTATTTTTTTATGTATGTATGATTGCATTTACAACATTTAATATTGTTAAAAAAATATTATTTTCCTACTTAAAAAAAAACTTATAATTTTATTTCTTCAAAACAGAAAATATGTGAATCAAATATTATAAAGAGAATGGTGTTGCAATAATTCACAAAATGAAAACTATAAAAGAAAGGATATTGTTTTGCTTTGTCGATAAAAAAAATAAATATTTTATCTTTAATAAACATTTATGAGTAAAGATTAAAACAAATAAAGAGTTCTTCATAACATTTATTCAATATAACTTGAGAAGAGAAAAGTAGTATTAAAAATATAACATAGATTTAAAGCGATTAGATATTTTTAAAAAAAGTAAATTCATTGTTTACTAGCCACTTGACACAATTTTATCCAGATTCGATTATCAATATTCAAGGATATTCTTATATTTGGTTTCAAATAATTAAGAAGACCTTTGAAAGTTTTTTTCCAACCTGAAATAGCCTCCAATGAAAAAACTAAAATGTTAATAAGACTAAAGATTAAAAATTAAATTGTTTTTCATTTTTTTAAAACTTTTTTGCCATAGACTTTTTCTGTGCAGGCGTAAAATCTAAATATTTCTGCTGTTCATTTATCCTAATTTTGGTGTCTTGAGGTTTTATATTTATATAAATTAGGCCAATTATCACCAAACATTTTATTGATATGCTATTTAATTCGACGTTTCGACCATACTAAGGGTCATTTTCAAGTCCTTGATCAATCCTCCGTTATATATTCATCATTAATGTCGCAAATAACATGTTCAGTGAACATTAAATTGTCATGGTCTATAGGGGTTTCATCTACGTCATTTCAGTCCCTCCTGAAATGACATAGGTGAAACCCCTACAGACCATGACAATTTAATGTTCACTGAACATGTTATTTGCGACATTAATGATGAATATATAACGGAGGACTCATCAAGGACTTGAAAATGACCCTTAGTATGGTCGATACGTCGAATTAAATAGCGTATCAATAAAATGTTTGGTGATAATTGCCCTAATTTATACAAATATAAAATCTAAATATGTTATATTATGAACGTACCAACAGAAACATTGAAGCCATGAATCCTGTCGTGGCTGGGTGACGACCCCTGCTGCTGGGATGGCTGGAGCGCAACAAGCTGATGCGATTGCTGGTTGAGCTGTGTTTGGGACTGGTGGTTATGCTGCATGGCCTGCTGCGACTGAGGCTGGTGGTTGTTCTGGATATTTTGTTGGGGCGACTGGTGGTTGTGTTGGGGTTGATGGTTGTGCTGAGGAGGCTGATGGTTTTGATGCTGGTTCGCTTTGAACTGCTCTTGAGGTATTCTCATTTCAGGTGCGGACTGTATGCTGGCAGCACGGCTTCTTGGTTCATTGCCTTCAGGAGTCCAATTGAGGGGGATGTTCTCATAAATCGGTTCTAAAATGTAAGTAATACACTTAATTAAGTTTATAAATCTTAATGACAAGTTAATGTTGAACCATTATAAGTAAAACTAAAAAATTAAATATGTAACAGCAAACAATCAAATGCCATGTCGAATATCACACAATTTGAAAACAAAATTTTATTTCATTAATACAGCTTTATTAATATTTTCCAGTCAACCAACAAAGTTTTGTATGTTTTTAATGTTAAAATAGTATATATTAATATTCAAAACAGTTTGTTATATATATTTTTTTCTTTTCCCACAGAGTTTCAGCAAGGGACGAGTATGACATATATTCCCCATCCGTTTACCCCCACCTTAAAGGCAGAACATTTTTTTTCATCAATTTTCTAGGTTGGTGTGGGGATAAATAAGTTAGAAAATATCTGAAAAATCTTTGTTTTTATCTAGAAAAAGTTATCATTCTCAGAAGGTTGAGCTTTCAACAGATCTTTATAGGCAGACTAGTTGGGAGAAATGAGATTCTATGGAGTCTATAACTTTATACCTCAAACGTATAATGTAAAGTTCACATTTCAATTTGAAGTTCAAGAATGCCAAAGAAGAAATTAAATTAATGCTTTTTCTTAAAATCAAGTTCTTTCTTCATAAATTATTCGTTTAAAAATAATTCTATCTAATTTAATAAAGGAATTAAATCTAATTTAATAAAGGAATTAATCAAATTTACAATTGACTAATAAATTATTGCATATGATACAAAAAAATTAGAACACATTTCAAAATATTAAAACCATTATCAAGCACAGTACACGGTGGGCCAGACCCCCTTACCGTGCACCTCCCTCCCCCACATCCCTATAAATTGCATATCGTTGTGTTCCTTGTAACTATTTATTAAAAAAAAGCCAATGTTCCCACCAAAAAAAGTGAACGGACTGCCCCAAAATGGCGTCCAAAGATGGCAGATTGACGATTTTCACTTTAGTTAGTTTTTTGGTCACTGAGAATCAGCATTTGACTTAATTTCCTCATAGTTGGTCTTTTATTAAAGCTGAATAGTCATAGAATAATAAAACTTGAAGAAATATTAAAAAATAATTGGCTTAGGCTATGAAAAACACCAGTAAAGTCAATTTTTTTAACAAAAAAATTTTCAAGTTACAAATCAAGCGTCATTTGTAATTAAACGGCCTACAATAACGCAAAACATACTGAAATAAATCATCTGGAGAATATATATCTCTTTCTAAAACGCTGATTATTTTTTTAAAATGTTTAAGCAGTTCCGTAGGAAATGAACTTATGCGGCAGAAAAGCGGTACTGGCATGGGTGCCCACAGGCCTCTACCACACCATTCAGTACACATAAATGGCTTAGTTATAGAGATATAATAACATTTTTGATACATTATATTGATTTTATTAACGAACAAATATTAATGCAATAATTTAATTGTAAAAAAAAAAAAATTAAAATTTTTAAATATAATTAAGAATATTTGGTTCACCACATACACATTTTAAATGAGAAACGCTAGCTAATTCAGAACATCCACTTTTAAAAAATGTAGAAATGGTAATTGACCACAGGTTTTTCTTTAAATATTTTTTTTACTTTAAAATTTTTCATGTAGCTATTAGGTAAAACAGGTAAAAATTGTTAAAATAAATACAATAATAAAACATAAAGCAGGATCCTACCTTGCCTGTGAGAGAACTGCCTCATTGCTGGCTGAGGCTGCCCGGAAGGTTGATGGAGTACAGCATTCCCTCTTCCCATGTAGTAGACGATATTGTTTCCACCAACATCGTCCAAGTGCTTCAAAATCACTTCATGTTAGTACATTTATATTTTTAGGATACAAATAAAAATGACCAATTAATATAATTATACAAAATCAAATGAGTTTCTTTTATTTTTTCAATAAGTAGGTAAATTTAGATTTTGATTTTCCTCAGATGACAAATTAAAAGATCATAAGTTGCAATTCGAGAAATCAAAATAACTCATCATGGATACTTATTTTAAATAAAAACCTTTATTCAAAAAAAAAAAAAAGAAAAAATTGTTAATAGTTAATAATTCTGAAAGTAGAAAGTTAATAATTTTATTTTAACAAACTATCTCCAACTGACAAAAATTGACAACTGAATCCAAAAATAATAATTTGATAAAGAAAAAAACAAAATTATGGACACAACCATTTGGTGAGACCATATCAAATGTCAATTTCTTCAAATAACATTAAACATAAAGAGAAGGAATATAATTTTGAAAATTCAAATATGAAATTGGTTTCTATAAAATTCTTATAAGCAAAATCTTTTCAGTCTCTGTTCCCAAAAACATGGATCCTGATAGGAAAGAAATTTCTCAAAGGTATTACGCATTAAACTATCAGTTATAAACAATTAGATTTTTGAAACATCTTGAAAAGAGGTTATTGAGTATTGATGAACATTAATTTAATTTTTAAAGTTTTAATACAAGCAATTAAAAAAAAAAAAAAAGTGTAGAATATCTATATGAAGTAAAATTTTGCGAAGACATAATCTTAATTTGGATGATTTTGATTTTGTTTCTAATTCACTTATTCTAACAAACTATAACTCCACTATTAATTTAAGATCTTTTAGAATGTCTATTAATCGAATTAAGAATGATTTTACTTAAATTATAATAATTTATTTATTTTTATTTATATCAAAATCAAAATAAAATTAACGATTGTAATCTTCAATATTAAAATTACTAAGCAGGCTTGGCATACGCTTGCAGCACCCAGTTTGAAAACACATGGTGTAGGAGAACATGACCATACACTTAAACTTCAAAATAAAGTTCTGGACCTCATTTATAACTAATTCAATACAAGCCAAGTAATATTAAGGTCACTCAAATTTGAATAGTCTTAACTATAAAACAGACATTTCATGAAATACAACAAAATATATTATTTTAAACCACCACCAAAGAGTACTATTAGAAGCTGTAAAACGTATGAAAAAAAAAAAAAAAATATATATATATATATATATATATATATATATATATATATATAAAGTTTAATATACAGCAAAGTACAAAGGGGTTAAGATAATGAGCTATTTCGGAGCATAAAATCTATAAAAATACAAACCTATCATAAGATTATTAAGAAAAGAACAAAAATAGATAAATCATAATTAAATTGATGGAACATAGACAAGAAAACTAAGATAACCAGCATAAAAGAAAAAAATCAAATATTTTAATTCTTTCATATTAAAAAAAGCCATACTCAAAATTTAAAACAATATTTTTTAAAGTAATAAATTTTAAAAATCTTAGGTCAACTTGATTATGTTTTTTTCAAATAATAAAACCAATTCAATGAATCACAAAATAAAGACAGAACTATTTCTTCTTAGAAAGGAAGGAGATGGTCTAGGGTGGCAGTCATAAATAGGCTGAATAGTGGCAAAACTATTTTATTAAAAGCCAACGTTTCGACCCGACTTTGCAGGTCTTCTTCAGGGAGGTGTGTTCAGCTAGAAGTTTAACTTAGAACTCAAGTTAGAAACTCACTTAGAAACTCCTAGCTGAACACCCCTCCCTGAAAAAGACCTGCAAAGTCAGGTCGAAATGTTGGCTTTTAATAAAATAGTTTTGCCACTATTCAGAGTGCCACCCTAGACCATGTCCTTCCTTTATAATGCAACGGTCAACTATTAAATATTCAATATTTCTTCTTAGCAATCTGCATACAAAAACGCCATGAATTTAAACTCTTGTTCGAGAATGTTTCAATAAAGCCGGAGATATTAATAAGTTTCTGGCAACAAGATCCTGAATGCACACTCAAAATGAGTATGCAACTTTCCATAAGTTTGAAGAAGTTATTAAAATGTCAATTTTTTTTTTTAAATTAATATTAAATCCATATAACACAATGAATAGTTCTAGAAATCATCTGTGAATGATATTGGTTCAAAAAAGAACAAAATTGTGCTGCTAAGTATTTGTTTTGATAAAACTACAATCAAATCAAATGTGCCCCGAATTTGAACCCAATTCTAAGTTAAATGGCTTGAAAAATACAAAAACTTTCAAATAAGCATATTTTATTTTTTGTTACAAGCCCAATTTCGTTCTAAATTTTATTTATCCCAAAATTTCACTATTATATTAATAGTTCGATCAAAAATTAATTTTATTGTGGCTTCATTCCTTTATATATAAATAAATATATATATGATAAGTAGTGCATTGAAAAGTAGTTTAGTATTAGTGAATTTTGTGTTCAAACATTGTAGAGACTATTACAGACCCTGAGACACAAAAAGAAATAGTAAAAGTTTATCACCAAAGGAAAACCAACCATCGTGGAGCTCCCGAAACCCGTGCTGCATTACGCCGTAGATATTACTGGCACCACATGCGCCGATCAATTCGCGAGCACGTAAGGTGTGCCATCATGCGAAGTATGACAGACATCCAATCACTGTCCCATACTCCTAATACACCATTATTGGACATTCAGGTAGATATTTATACTAGGGAAGGGTCGCACTGGCTTACCATCCTTGACAACTTCAGCAAATTAACAATGGCATATCCGTATAAAACGAAAGAGGCTGTCTGGGATGACATGTTCAGCTTCAAAATTATATATAAAGTGACATTTCAATTCCCCCGATAATCCCCAAGGACGTGAGGCCATTGAACGCCTCCATAACACCTTGGGGGAACATCTTCGATTGTTCCAATTACATAGAGGACTAGGAGCGAACACGGCAATGCTTGAACGGTACTGGCATACAACAATACCATCCATTCTGCTAAAGGTTTTAAGCCGGTAAGAGTAGTGTTCGGTCATCCACTATGGAATTGGGGAGACTTAATAATTACTATGTACACACATCTACGAGATGCTGTAATTCACAAACGTAAACAACTCGCCGATATATCCCAGTGAGTGTACAATACACTTTTTCAAGACAAAATCTCTAGGGCGAACCGATTCTGCTTGGACATATCGGACGAAATCCACAAGATTTCATTAGGCATGACAGTATACTACCAACCACCGTCCACTTGTTGAAAAGGGGATCAACGATATGAAGGGCCATTCAAAATGGTAGCGCTGCGAGAACTTAACATTATGTCTATTCAAGAGCTAGCGGGATCTCAGAGAGAGGCATACCCATATACGGCACCTTTGTATCCCTCTAAATATAAGTTGTTGCGTTCTTCTTTTTAAATCTTGTTAGATAATCTCCATATGTTTTATAATTTTTGTAACCTTTGTTTTTTAGATAAGGATCTATTACTTATTTTTATGTAATTTTTTTCTTTTAGCTTTTAAGGTTTTATTACTTTTTGTATTCAGTTCTATTTTAAGTTTTGTACCAAAGAACCCGAAGTTCACTTCGTGAACTGGAGTGGGAATGATAGGTACCGCATTTATAACTAGTTTATAAATGAATTCATTCAGATTTATAAAAGAAAATAAAAAACACATGTTTCAATTAGCATTGTTTTTCAAAACACAAATTCGTAAGTAAAGTTAGTATTGTTCAAACAGTCACATTGTTCACTTCATTATCTTTTATTTTAATTATTATCTCCTATAATACTAAATAAGGGAGCGGGGTAGCTCAGTGGTAGGGCACTGAGCTTCCAATGCAAAGGTCCCGAGTTCGAACCCCGGCTCATGGCAGAAAATTTATTTATCTGTTTCATTGGCCGTGGGGCGACCTTGGGTCAGAAGTCCCTCCTGGGGCACACCCAGCCTCTATAAAGTGGGTACCCTTAATTAAATAATTAATTAAGGGGGAAAACCTGGCGGTTGAGCGTGAACTCGGTCAAATCACCTCCTTGCACAACCGTTGACCTAGAAACAGTGCTTTCCCTAAATAGTACTGAACCCCAGACCCTTCATGGGCTGTAGTGGTACAGGTTTTTTTTATAATACTAAATAACTTAACATATATATATATTAACTAAAACGTTACCATTTTATTTCCAAAATTTTTATAATTTCAATTTTTTATTGAATACATCTGAACCATGAAATGATTATTTTATGTTGAAAATAATAAGAACTGGTTCCATATGTGCTCTTCTGTTAATACTGTAGTATTAATTTCAATATATCAAAACAACAACATGGCAATTAAAATATTATATTGTAAACACAGAGACATTATTAGAATCAATTATTTATGTTTTATTTTTTTATATTTTTTTTAGTATAGTATACACATTTCAGTAAAAAAAAAGTTAAGAACACTTTGTGAAATTAAGTTACATTCTTACAATCAATACAATATGAATAAATAATGATTTTAAACCATAGAATACTTGGTGGTTGACTGTTTTATATTTTAGAGGTAGAAGATGGTCTGGGGTGGCGATCAAAAAAATACTAAAATAGCGAAAAAACTATTTTATTTCAAGCCAACATTTCTAACTGACTTTGCAGGTCTTCTGCAAATTGAAGTTTTGACCAAAACTCCATGCAGCATACCCCGCCCCTGAAGAAGACCTGCAAAGTCGAGATGAAACATGGTTTGAAATAAAATATTTGTTTCACTATTTTAGTGAGCCATGACCATTTCCTTCCTCTAAGATTTTAAACCATGTATGAACAGTCCTTATTAGTTAGGTGAATATATATGTTATGTATGTTTCCAAACAGGATAAAAAACAAAAAACTACTGCTTGTCAAAACAAAAAACTCCTGCTAAAATTATCAACTTTAATTCCTTAAAAAAACCTTCATACTTTGCCAGAATAATTATTTCTTCTGCAAGACGGAAGACAGTTATTAATAGAAAATAGAATATTAATAGATACATGCTAATTAGACTTTTCACCATAAATAGCCCAAAGCTTTGTCATAGTAATATTATTTATGAAAAAATAATTAATATTAAAAGGCTAAATAAGAAGGAACACAGTTAAACAGCTCTATGAAAAGAACCCAACATGTCTACCACAATAAAAATAAAATAATATATATTTTCTAAATCAAGTATGAACTTTTCCAAGTGAAACTTCCTAGTTATTAGCATCCTATTTCAAAATATTTTTCCATAAAAATTAAAACTTTCCCATAAACATTGAGTTTGGTAATTGCATTTGAAAGAAATAAAGGTATGTATTTATACACAACTAAAAGTTAATCCACAGTTCCCATCTAAAAATTATTCCGAATGGTTTATAATAACTTTAGTTCTAACCAACTTCATACTTATTAGTTTTTTCTACTACTTTTATAATGAACTTATCTGACTGAATTTTTGTTTCCCAAAATAAGACACACAACATAAGCCAAAACATAGAATTATTGACTATTTTATTTTGAACTATGCCCCAAATAGTATGATATATTTCTTATTAATGATCAAAACCATCTGTATAATAAATTAATTATAAAACAGTGCATTGAAACAACATACACAAAATCAAACAGTTGATGGGTAAAAAAGGTTTGAGAACATGAAGAAAAACAATTTATTACACACAAAGCACACCAATGGAGCTACAACCCCGGTACTAAGTATATGTAAGTAATTAATTTGATTGGAAAAGCAATATTGTAGGCATGAGAAGTTAAGAAATGCATTATAAATCTAAAACTTTTTCTCTGACCAGAATAAAATAATATATCACCAAAAATTATATCACAGAAAAAAAGTGGATTTCAAAATGATTTGCGAACGGTTACACTTGATTTAGAAAATACAAGACTAGTACAGATTTGTTTTCGCCAGTAAAAATATATATAAGCCTAATAACATATTCTGTTCCAAAATATTTAGCCTTAATCATTATTATGGTCCCAATGTGCTCTGCCACCGCAAGAGGTCTTTAGCTGGCATACTTGATTGTCTATGAGCGCGGCAAGGTTGGTGTAGGTCCGGTGTGCATGGGGGTTCGGGAGTAGATACTGAGGTCCGCCAAACTGACCCCCACCACGCAAGCAAACCAAGTCCGGGCTTGACCCGCTAACCTAAAGGCGTTCAGATGCAAACAATCTTACCAGCTTCCAATAACTTGTTCACGACTTTGAAATTCATTCAAAGACGATGCACATCATTCTTAAAACTAATTTTAAATATAATACAAATAGTTATACATATAAAAATACAAACTTCAACTACACTCTAGAATTAAAAATATACAGATCTATTGAAAGTATAATCGATAAAATAAAAGCAACATTAAACTCAAATAAAAATTTGTAATAACTAGCAAAACACTACCATAACCATTAGCTCAATAATTTAAAGCTAAATGCTACATTACTCTACTGCTGATATGAACAAAAAAATTTAGTTTTTCACTTAAATTATAAAAACAGAAAGAGACAAATTTAAAATGATCAAAAGGATTAGAAAATGCATCATATCAATAGTCTAAAGTTTAATCAAGAATTGAGACTCAATTCTAATCTGATTCCTGACTCAAAATAAAAGTTTTGTGGAAGTGGAATCATAAGAATAAATTATATCTAATTTAAAAACAATAACAGGCATCGTCATAAAATAAAATATATTTATAAGGTTTGTAATAGGTACAAATTATGTATTTATTTCTTGAATTGAAACTATCTACCCATATAATACAAAAAGATTTCGGATTAAAGCGAAATGAGATTTACATTGCAATAAAAAAATATGATAGAGTGAACTGCAGAATCATTTTGGCAGATTTAAGCTTAGCTGTGGAAGAAACTACAATCCTTAAGACATATGTCTAAGCTGATAGTTACACAATAAGTAACAAAGCCCAGTAAGAGGAAGTCCTTTAGAGAACGATAGGTGAAACAACAAATTTATCATCATGGGCAATTTTAATACTTGGACTGAGAACTTCTTAAAGAGTTTTGAATTTAATTTACTTAAAAGGTATGATATGATTGTGATCAGATCAGAAAACTCTTGAACAAATCCAAAAATTAATAATTAACATGTTCCAGTGCTATGGGATGAAGAGAAAAAAATCCTTAAAAACAAAAATAGAGTAGAAAAAAATGATGAGGAAGTTGATCTATTATTGTAACAGATTTTACAAGTTACCCTCAGCAATGGAGTCACGAAACCATGGAAAGGCCCTAGCCAGAGAGTGGGTAAAGCAAATAATTGGACGGGCTGCAGGTTTATTAGCTGTCAATAACTACTCAATATATACTGTCAATAATAGCTGTCAATGATATATACTCGAGAGAAGATTAAGGGGAAAAGTTTAATAAAGAAAGATCAAGCAGCAGAGTATGGAGGAACTTCCCACATCGTATATTCACCTTAATGGCTATTTTTAGGAAATTTAAAAATTAAAGAAAATTACAATATATACACATTAATTTTTGGATTCTACTTTTACCCTTAAAAGCAGTTGAAACTCTGAATTTAACATAAAATATAATCATTTTAAGTGCTAATGAAAATGTTTCTTTTTACTTATTGAAATTAATTTTCTGAAAAAAAAAATATTTATATAGAATATAATATATAAAGTATTTATACATTATATTATATATATATATATATATATTATATTATATATATATATATATATATATATATATATTATATAAAGTCTTTGAACAAGTCAAATTTTTATAAAAATGATTAATCAATTTAAAAGCGTTTTTATCTTTTTAAGTATAAACTGATTTAACCTTGCACAGAATCTAGATGTAATATATAATGAAATTAACATTATTTTCAATTAAAAACAAGTCAAGAGACCAATCTGTTGTGTCGACATTATTTTCAGGGCCTAAAATTGCTACCTCATTGTTTAATTTCACTACTTTGTCATCCACTTCAGTCTTTATTTTTAACGGTGCAGAGATTTGAGTTGGTCGAGGGGTGCGTGCAAATGAATACTATATACCAAAGTAGTATTTTATTGTTTACACCAACGTTTCGACCCATTTTGCAGGTCTTCATCACGACATGGATCGGGCACTGCAGGAAGCAGTTGTTAGACTGGCAGGGGAAACAGGTCTAGTCTGCAGTCTGTAGAGCCCCCGATACTACGCCCTGATGAAGACGTACAAAGTGGATCAAAACGTTGGCATAAACAATAAAATACTATTTTGATATATAGTATTCATTTGACCACACCCCCTGACCAACTACTTCTCACTTTATTTTTAACATCAAGAGCCTTATATAAACTCTAGCAAGCTGAATGTATCTGTAAAAATTGTTCTAATATTGTTATTTTTCAGAAATTTAATTTAACATTTTATTTTTTGTACTTTACTTTAGTTTTTTATTTAATGTTACTTTTCTTTCCGAAAATAGCAAAATATCATATTTTTGATCCACATAACATTATAATTTTATGTCAACAAAAACATTCAATTAGGGAAAATAAAAAAGAAGGTGAAGTTTCTATTTTTGAAAATCACTATGCCATTAATTAAAAAAAAACAAACAAGTAAAATGGAGACTTAAAACGTTCAGACAGATCTAAAATATATAATCCTGCTGTTGAACAACAATTAAAATTATTTGTGATGGTACAGTCGCTAAAAACCTAGCAGAGAACTGACTCAGGAAATAGCTGATGCTACTAGGATCCAAGGAAACTCTTATCATTAGGTCTTAAAGGTTGTGTTCCTAGAAGAAAATTATTTCTTCGGTCTCTTAACCAGCGAAGGCGACTGTTTTTCTAAAGAACACAAAAATTGGATGGAAAAATAATGGAAATTTTAAAACACAGATGCGTCAAAATTTCAAATGTTTGGTTTCGGAAGGAGGCATTATATTAGAGAAGATCTGGAGTGGAATTTTGGAATGAATGTTTGCAACTAACGGTAAAACACGGAGATGGCTTCTTAATGGTTTAGGGGTATGTTTCTTGATCTGGAGTTGGAGACTTCTAGTCATTTTAGTGAATGAAAACTTGATGCAAAATGGTACAACAGTAGCGTTCTTACAAACCATCTGGGTTCTGGGAAAGAAAAGTAACATTAAATAGAAAGTATAAAGAAAGTATGAAAAACAGAATGTTAAATTAAATTTCTGAAAAAAAAAAGGCAGTAACTACCAATATCAGAATAATTTTTACAGATACATTCATCTTCCTTGAGTTTAAAGGCTCTTGATGTTTACAATAAAGAATGAAGTGGATAAACAAAGTAGTGAAATTTTGTTATTCACAGATTATTCAGTCTCTGAAAATATAACGTCAACACAACAGATTGGCCCCTTGGCTTGTTGTTAATTGAAGATAATGCTAATTTAAATATATACTGCATCTAAAATGTCTGAAAGGTAAAATCAGTTTACAAGTAAGAAGAGAAAAACACTTTTAAATTGAAACATTGATCATTTTCATAAAAATTTGGCTTGTTCAAAGACTTTTTCACACCATTGTATATTCAAGTAAAATATCTGTCACTTTAACATTGACTTGCTAAGTTTTCAGTTTGACCAATATAAGTTTAAAAAAAACTATTGATCAAAATACAATGAAGTATATTTACATCAATCAATATTAAAAATTTATTTGTGTTTTATGATACAATTATATGGCGAAAGAAAAAGCAATTCAACATTAGCACAGTTTATACAAACTACAATAGATATCACAAAGACACAAAAGAATTGCAAAATATCACATTAAAAAAAAAAAATTGAAATAAAGATCTTTGAGAGGTGTACCTGCGTGCTGATAAATGTGTGCGTAGGTTGGAGGGGCTGTGAAGCAAGGTCTGGGGTGGAGTTACTGTTTGGTCTGTACGGTGGAGGGGGCTTGTAAAGCTGGACCACCACTCCACCTTCGTTACCGTCCAAATCAGGAGTGCTGCATTAACAAGGATTGATATCGTTAAGCATTAACATTCCAGACACCCGAGCATTATAGTTGACAAATAATTTAATATAATTTAACAAGAATTAATCGAGATCCATTACCTAGAAAGTTAATGGACAACAAATCCTCAGTAGGTAATTGCTGATTTATTTCTATACAAAATTGTCGGTTAATATTTTATTTATATATATATAAATAAATATATGAGTGGCTTCATATCATCTGTCATTTTCGAGAAGTAGAGAAAAATACATTTTTTGTTTTATAGGTTTAATTCAAACTTTGTCAGATGATTTTATTTAAGAATGTTCAAGTTTAATCATGAAATAAAAATTATTATTTAATTAAATTGAAGTTATGTTACAAAAAATGGCTTTATGACAGACATTCCAAATGACGGATGTCCATCTTTGATATAACGCCACTCATATATTTATTAAATTTATCAGATTTCTTAGAAATCTGATTTTTAAGAATAGAAATTTTATTTGGTTTATACTGCATTACTTTTAAGGTAAAAGAATACTTGATTTTGTTTGGTACTATCGATAGATGCACATGACTATCAACTTGAACTGGAGTGCACATGACTAGAAAAGATTTAAGAGGTAGTAGGTTCAGATTCTTAAACTGTCTTATATTAACTGATGTGCAATATGAAACAGTGAATGAAATAGTGTGCAGAGATGATGATCTGCTAGTGAATGTGCTTAAATTAAATTTTAATTAATGAGTGAAATTTTATTTGTGCATCATAACAGAGTAGAAATACAGGGAGTATAGACAAAAATGGCATGGCATAGCATCGTCTAAAAGCTTGATCTTATCAAATAGCAACTCATTTCAATAGATTCTTCAGAACAAGTATTGAATTTATGTTATACTTTCTCATGATAGTTCATGTATATACGAATGCACCGATTTCAATGAAACTTGGCTAAAGTCTTTTCCTCGATCACCTTTAAATATATGTATAGAACATACTTCATCGAAAAGTATTTTACTTTCAAGATGGTGGTCGAAAGACCTGTATCGTATAGAAAGTAGTGCCTAAAGCAAATGAATAGATTTTGATGAAACTTCGCTAAAGTCTCCTTTAAATTGATTTATATAACATACTTCACTGAAATTAAGCTGGAATAAAAGTAACAAGGGGTGGTAAAATTATATTTCCAAACTCTAAGTATACACTTTTTTGTGATTTTTATTATAAGGTTTCTTAAAAAAAAGTTTACTTGAAATTAAAGCACTATTTTAATAAAAAAAAATCAAAAACTTAATCTCCTTCGAAATTTGAGGTGTTTCAGAATACAAACTCGAAAATCGGATAAAAAAAATTTTGTCAGTCTGCCATCCACAGCTTTTTATAAGTAGTATGGTGATCCCAGTTGTGGACAAATTTATTGAACTTTGAAATCATACAAAAAAAAAACAGCCTGCATGACATTAAAAAGATGATGCTATGTAGAAAACTTCAAATCTTAAATTCAGTTTAAATTAAATCTTAAATCTTAAATTTCAGTTAAATTCAGTTTAACTAAAGGCTCATAATATTTATGCCAATATGAACTTTAAAAAAAAAAATTATGATTATTAAATATACTAACCTATATGTGTGCAGAGTAGGTAAGTTATGTGGCCTGTGATTTTCTTCAGGCTGCTCAACATAAACCCTGTCCACTCTAGCAACATCGGGGAAGTGTTTGTAAGCATTTCCGTAAGATCTCATATCAGAAATAATGACATTCTAAAAAACAAAGAAAGTTGATAGCAACAATTAATATTATGTATTATATTAATATTAAATGACCACAAAAATAATTAGTATCAACCCAGGCATAATAGTATAATATTGATGATTTAAGGAGGTTGTTATCTGGTCGTTGGCCCCGTGTATGTAGATTCATAATTGTGGATTGATAGTTCACAGTAGTGAATAATTGAAGAGAAGAATGATTGGGGTAATCAGTAAAAAAATAGTTAAATATTATTTATTTTAACTATTTTATTAATGAGTTACATTTTCAAAAAATATATTCTAAATTAATTCTACTTAATATGAATGCTAGAAATATTAAATCAGAAGTGAAAAAAAAGATTAGCTGCATTCAATTAAAATTCAGGTTTAAAAACAAATTAAATTTCTTTAAAAAAAAACAAACGGAATAAAATTTTTGGAATAATATTTAATTTTATATTTTATTTACTTATTATATTTGTTAATAATAAAATTAAGAGGAAATTATAGTTTCAAAGTTAATTAAGGAGTATTATACTTCAAAAAATAAATAAATAAAAGTTAATCCTTTTTTGGCCACCGATTGATTCAGGTACTCTCTAAATATCTTGATCTAAAGAGAGGGGAACTGGGATTTCCCTTGGATAAAAAGTAAGGAATTCTAGAAAATAAAAGGGTTCTTACTCATATCCATATTATCAATATTTAAAGCTTAAACTAATAATAGTTTAATGGAGGCAGTGTGACCGAGCAGGCCTAGCGTGTGTGCAAAAGACCTGGCAACCTGATAAACTGAAGATTACGAGTTCGATTCCCAGTACCAAAGATTTTAACTCTCGCATTAATCCTCCACACCATCTTCCCAAGCTCAGAAAAAATCCTATATAGCCAGAAGGGCATAGTAGGAGAATTTATATTAATTTCAAATAATTTAATAACAAAATATTCAATGAAAGATATTATATTATATAGGTTAAAAAACAAAATTAATTCCACAACCTAATTATTAGGCAGTAATAGGCTTATAATTTTAATTTTCAACCTTACTGTTAACATAGAAGACAATGAGCTCAGAGCAAGGCTTCAATTGTGCTTGTCTCCTTACTAAGGTCAAAGAGTAAAATGAATTTTGGAAATGTAAGTCGAAATGACCTATTTGAAAACAAATCATTCTAATATTCTAAGTATAGAAAATTTAATATGTTAAGTCCTAATTGGAACCCTTGTCATTCTAATCTAAGAAGACCCATTTGAGTAGAATATTAAAAGATTTTGGATATCCATTTTAAGCTATTTACTTATCACAGTCTACCAGTTTAAGAATATTTAAAACTAGCAAAAATGATAAGGACATGGAATCTAATACTACAAAGGATGACTGACTACATATCAACAGCATTAGAGCAGAAATTATATGCAACTGGAGTATTTCTGGATGTAGCCCAAGCGTTCGACAAAATATGGCATCAGGGACTTCTCTTCATGCTTAATATAACAGAGTACAATACCTAGGCCTGATGTTTGATAGGAGTATGACATGGTGTTTGCATGTAAAGAAAACACAAGTCACATTAAATCAAAGACTAAAATTGTTACACTCACTGTTAAGATGACATTCCAAATTAAAAGCAAGAAAAAGTATTAATACATACCTATTAAAACCCATCTGGACTAACGGACTACAAATATATAGAATTGCAAAACAAACACACGTAAAAAGACTTCAAACTTTTCAGTCTAAGATTCTACGACTAATTACTCAAGCACCATGGAAAGTGAAGAACAATTCTTTGCACACTGACTTACAAATGGCGACAGTCAATGAACCTATACTAACTTACTACAAATGATTCCACAAAAAGTTGAACTGTCACACCAACCAGAGAAGAGAGAGAATCACTATATTTTCATAAAAGGTTGCTGCCCAATTAAAATGAGTTGCTACAGACACAGCATACTTACTATTCATTACTATAAAAGAATTGACCACAGTTATTATACCGAAGAACACCAGAATACAACTGAAAAGGGTCTAGTTGGGGGACCTACTTACATAATTATGCAAGTAAATGAATCCCACGGAATGGGTACTGCTTTTCCTCGTGCAAATCAAGCCTCTCTTATGTTATCCTGATTTATTAATTTTTATTTTATTAATTTATTTTTCTTATCTGATATTTATGCCAGCTTATCTGCTGATTGTTTATCATTGTAATTAAAAGGTTCAGATCGAAAAATAAAAACTTTATATGAATAAATTATATGGGTTAAATGCATTCAAATCAAAATTACCTCATGAAGATTGGTTTGATGTATCTCTGGTTGACTACTATAGAGAACAGCATGACCCCTATACTTCTGTTGTATTGCTGTCTCATAGTCAGGTGCAGGTCGATAAGACGGAAGCATCGCTCTGGAAATAAATAAATACTATAATTTAAGTACTAATTAAATATAGGATATTATCATTTTCACTATTATTTTTGGAACAGAAATATCATTTGCTACTGGACAAAATTCACTGCTGAAAAAAAATGCTAATAGTCCACAGATACAGATACCACTTTTTATCAAATTATTAACAACAATCATCTAAAACTTCATGAATGGCTTCATTTTATTATGATCTACAACATTTTTATTCAGAAAAATTCTCAGAAATGAGGCATTTTCAATCTGAAAATTGGTAAATTTTGTTTATTTAATGAGGTACTAAAAACTCATGAATACTTTTTTGCTGTACACTTGAATCGTAAGATAATTTGATTACAAAATCAATAAAAAAGGTGTCCTACGAAAATATTAGGCCATTTGGCGTGACCTCCACCTCCAATATATAAAAATAGCTAGGTTATATTGTCCAAACAGCAATGTTTTTGTAGATCACACTTTTTCTCAATTTTGTGTGAAATTAACTTGCGATTCAAGTGGTACGAAAATGGGTATTCATGATTTGGACGTATCTTACTAAATTAATTAATTTAACGAGAAAACGCCCTATTTCTACGAATTTTCATAGATAAAAAAGTTGTGAGTAATGGTGAGATAAAGCTTTTTGAACGGATGCTAACAATTTGATAAAAAGGGGTCTATACTACAGTCTATAAGCTCCTATTCTCATGGGCTGTGGTAAATTATTTTTTAAACAAATTATAATCATATGAAAAATAGAGTCAATCTAAAAAAATAAATAAAATAAAGATGGAATCATTACCTAAGCCTGTCAATATCATTCCGACTAGAATGTGCTAAATCTAAACAAGAAGTCGACTGAGCTCTTAGCCTTTCGACAGGTACATTGTCTACTCGATCTAATTCCTCATGACTACTTGCTACTTGCCCATCCTGCAATATACAAATAATTATGATCAATCACATAAAAGAAAAAAAACTTCTATAATTTATTTAAAAAGTGACTTACATCATTTCTTAACTGTGAAAATAAATTTCGTACAGCCTGTGTGGTATTAACTGGTTCAGATGAAGAAGCTGATTCGTTTTGAACAAAGAATGTGTGCTGTAAAAATTGAATTTTTTTTAGAAATATGATCAAATTTAAGACATACTGAGTCATACAGAAAAAAACAGATAAGTACAAAAATTAAAATTATTCATAAGACAAAATAAACTGCATAACTTTTAATTGCAGATAATTTTCACGGCATGCTTAAGATAGAAATAGAATAGAATAGAAAAATAATTTTACTCTGGGACGAAGTCCCTTCAGAATAACAAAAAAGTACAGGAATTAAAATTTTACATCTGGCCAGATAAAAACAAACATGACAAATTAAGATAATGATAGGTCATTAAAGAAAAGAAAAGAAAAAAATATTGGTTATACATACTATATACAAAATAAAATAAAAAAATCTATATAAAAAACTCTTGAAACCATACTAAGATATTTAAAACTATGTACGATGTTAAAATATAAATAAACCCTTTTAGAAAAAATAAAAAATACAGAAAAAATAAATGTATATTCTTCTTAACAGTAAAATCTGTTTCTGTTGAAAAAGAAAAAAAAAAAAAAAAGAGAAAAAGAAAGTCGAATCTATAATAAGTTTTAAGGTAATTAGCTATATGTGAATATGGTCTTATAGATAATGTGTAATTTTACATAAAAGATTAGCTGGTGCCTGACTGTTTTTGGGACAGGAATTGGAATAGGAGGGTTTTGAATGTAGATAAGGATGAAGAATGTCGAATTTTGATAGGAAGGGAATTCCAGAAACTAACAGAACGTGCAATAAAGGAGTTTTGGAACGAGGCAGATCTGTGAGAAGGAATGTAAAGGTCGGAAGGTCGAGATCTTGTGGAGAGGGAATGGACTGAGGACTTGAATTGGAGAAGGTTGTAGGCGTAGGAAGGACGATGATTGTTGATGATATGATAGAGGAATGTACCTAGGAAATATTGTCTTCGAATGGAGTGGAAGAGCCACTCTAACTCAGTGTAATGGTGAGAGACATGGTAGTATCTCGGGGCACCAATTACAAATCTCACGCAACTGTTCATTATTCTTTTCAGTCTGTCGCGGAGCTCCACCGAGAGTCCATCATACACCACACAGCAGTAGTCAAAGTGGGGGAAGATGAGAGAGGAAACGAGGAGTCTGCGCGTATGTTGAGGTAGGAGATGGCGGAAGCAATGGAATAGTTTGAGGGTAGAGACTGTCCGTCGGGAGATGTGAGAAATATGGTGACTCCAGGAGAGGGTTTGATCAATAAATAGTCCTAAATTTTTTACAGAGGAGTAGAAGGAGATTGGCTGGTCACCAAGGTTTAGTATGGGAAAGTCCGTATAGGATCTAAGGAGGGGCTTGGAACCAATGACAATGGCCTGAGTTTTTGAAGCATTTAACCTTAATCCGTTTAATTTTGCCCAGGCACAGATTCGATCTAGGTCTGCTTGGATCTTAGTAAATGCTACCAATAGCTCAGGGGGAGAAAAGGATAGGTATATTTGAGAATCGTCTGCATAAAGGTGGTGGGAACAATGGAGAATTGAGTCATGGAGGTCATTGATATAGGAACTAAAAAGGAGAGGAGATATGCTAGATCCTTGGGCGACTCCAGAGGATAAAGGCAGGTAGGCAGATAGTGGTTGATTAGGAATGGAGACTGCTTGGGTGCGTTGTGATAGGAAAGATTGGAACCAAGAGATGGAGCTATTGGAGAAGGAGAGTGATTTTAGTTTGTTGAAAAGGATGGGATGGTTAATGGAATCAAAGGCTTTAGAGAAGTCAAGAAGTATAAGGACAGTTAGTTGTTTATTATCTATTGCAGTCTGAACATCATTAGTAATTTTGATTAAGGCGGATTGTGTGGAGTAGCCGGGACGGAAACCAGATTGGAGAGGATCGAGTTGGTTAGACTTTTCTAGGAAATTGGAAACTTGGGATTGTACCAATCTTTCTAGGGGTTTTGAGAGATTGGAAAGAATTGAGATTGGGCGAAAGTCTTCGGGAGAGGATGGATTAGGCTTTTTATTTAAAGGGAGTACAATGGCTTTTTTCCAAGAGGAAGGGAATATTGAGTTCTGTAGGGAGAAATTGTAAATGAAAAGGAGAACTGGGAGGATTTCGGGGAGACATAATTTTATCAATTTGACAGGAATGCCATCTGGTCCTATGGAATTGGTGTGGGATTTCATTACTGCGGTTAGTAAGTCAGTCGGGGAAATGTAGGAGAAATAAAAGTCATCATCATTAAATGATGACTCAGGAGCATAGTTGGAAGAGGAGGGAAGAGAAGAGGTAGAGGAGGCAGAAATAAAATGTGAATTTAAATCGTCAGGTGAAACGGAAAAGAACAGTGAGGAAGGGGATCTAGAAGGTTCACAGAGGGAAAGTTTGCGAAGGATTAGCCATTTAGATTTGGGATCTGGGGCAGATGACAGGGCTTCATGGAAGTAGGAAGCTTTAGCTCGCCGAATTCTTGTTTGTGTCAAATTGCGGAGCACCCTAAACGCTTGATAGTCATCTGTAAGCCTAGTACGTCTAAAGCGTCTGCGGGCAGCATCACGCCTCTTCTGCAGATCCTTGATTTCTTGACACATCCAAGGTGCAGGCCGACGGCGAAAGGTTGAGGTTTTTATGGGAGCATGGGTGTTAAGGATATTGAGGAGATTGGAAGTCAGGATCTCAACCATGGAGTCGATGGAGGAGCAGGAATATATTTCGTTCAAGTCTAAGGTTTCAAGGTCAGGTAGTATTTTTTCACGGGTGAGAGTGTCTATCTGACGGAAAGTGAAGGTTCTCGGATGAATCAGAGGGGTTTGGATATTATATGTTATTTGGATCATGTCGTGAGACGATAAGAAGGATACTGGCAGTTGAGAAGAGGAGAGGAGATTTATTTCGGAGTCTATAATGAAGAAGTCTAACCAAGTGTCGGCCTTGTGGGTGTGGTGAGTAGGATAAAAAGGAACAATAAAGAGATGGAGGGAAAAAAATAGGTTTTCTAGATAGGTTTTGTCTTTGGAATTAGAAAGGAAATTGGTATTGAGGTCACCGGCGATGATTATTCTAGGATAGAGGGGAACAAAGTTGAGTAAGGTTGATTCTAAGGACGGATCAAATGGAACAAGGGGAGGACGGTAGATCACTATGTAAAGGAGAGGTGAATTATTACAGGTAATTTCTACTAGAAGGTACTCCACTTGTGGATGTTCGGAGGGTGGGGAGTAATCAAGGATTCGGGACTTCAGGCTATCATGGACAAATATGGCCACTCCACCACCAGTCCGGCTGACCCGGTCGTGGCGGATGAGGGTGTAATTAGGTAAGGAGACAGATGAGGACGGAATATAGGGTTTGAGCCAGGTTTCTGAGATTGCGATGATGTGAAAAAAGTTTTGAGAAAAGTACTGCAGGAATTCATCATAATGGGCGGGAAGGGATTGCGAGTTAACGTGGCAGGTGGTTAGGATGCTAGACATGGGGAGGATTTGATGGGAAACAGTCAGAAATTAGCATAGAGGAAATGAGGCATATATCATATTCTGAAAAAAAATTATGAAAAGTACTGATAAGCAAAATAAAAGTGAATAATGAAAAAATAAGTGAGAAATAAGAGTAAGAAAATAAACAAATTAGTAAACTGGAGCTGTGAGAAATTTTAACCAAAATCTTCAATGTTATTTGGGCACCAATGAAGACAAAAAATACTTTGAAGAACGAGAAGAAGAGATGAAACCTGTGCAGTCAGGCGAAAACTTCTAGATCCGATGCCTGATTAATCAAGATTACTTGATGGCCGTCTTCTTTTCGGCAACGCACAATGCCGGCAGAGAACCATACGTATCTTATCTTCCCGGCAGCTCTCTTCTGCCGGGCTAGCCAGTAGAGGTGCCTGTTTGTTGGGGTCATCTCCTCGCCGAGATAAATTCGGTGGCAGTCGTTTTCCTGCCACCCGATATCACGCGTCGAGAAATCCCTCTTCACTTTCCTTTTCGCTATCAGGTCGTCCCTCACTGACTGCCTGACGAAATGTGCTATTACCGGCGGCGGTCGCGGGTCATCCTTCTTGCTTCTGCGGCGCTGCACGACATCCAAATCCTCCACTCCGAGCTTGATGCCCAGCCCCGCGGCTATACTGGTCACCAGAGCCGCGGGCGTCTCGCCTGCTCGCACTGGGATCCCACGGATCTCCAGCGATCTAGATAATTGACCCTGTTCTGTTTTGTTCAGGCGGATCTCTAAATCGCCCACTCGAGCTTTGAGGGCTTTATTTTCCAAAATGATCTCCTCAAAATGTTTGGCTTGGCCCTCGAGATGTTTTTCTAATTTAGATAACCTCTCATTCAGTTCAAAGCTGAGGTCTCCATATTTATCGAGGGCTGTCTTCATATCCCTTATTTCCTCACTAACATGACTATCCAGTCTATTAACTGCTGCTAATATTTCTGATACAGGCGGTTCATTGTTTAAATTTAGTTTCTTAGTTTGATCGCAATTTAGGCACATCCATGTTTTTTTTGTGCTTCTCTGAGCTTCTATCTCTTTGTCTGTGAGATTAAAACACTTGCCGTGATAAATAACTTTGCACTTGGTACAACATAAATTGTATTTATCTTCACGGGCAATAGCGTTATTACAAATCGTGCACTGGACCATTTTTAATAATAAAAAATAACTTACAGTTAATGTCAAGTGAAGTTAATGTTGTGATCCGCCAAGCAAACAACTGCTAATACTAATAGGATTATTAGCTTAACACTCACAAGGCTCGTAGCACTCTCACTATATTTTCTTTACGTTGAGTAGCGTGAAAATACGTAAATATAAGAAGTTTTAAAGATTACGTTCGATAGTATGACACTGTTAAGAAAAGAAACAACGAGAGAAAAAACCAAAATTGGGCTCAATATATGAAATTGAAAGAAAGCGCTCCATAACAGCTAAGATACAATATTTTAAATAACATTTTTGTTTTGTAATTCTAAATATATACAGGGCTCTAAAATACTCAAAAGTATATTTACAGACTTTATCAGTATGAATGCTGATATACTCATAACAATAAAAAGTGTACTTCAGATATGTTAAATAACTTCATTTATTAATTTTAATTAATAAAAAATAAATAATAGTAAGTTAATCACTTGTGAGGTAATTCAACTAGGGTGTGATGACAGTGTAGTATGGAAGCGAATAGCAGAAACCAGATATTTGAAATATAAAATTACATGATAACCATCACTGTAACAAAAACCACCTATCTCCTCATCATCTGGGCAGAAGAAGCACTGGTTCTAGAGATTTCTCATAAAATGGTGAGCTTCAAGAGACCAAATGGATTCCACAGAAGGGAAAGTTCCTTTGAATCCTTATCTTTATTAATTAGTCTTTCCGCTTTGACCCGATGAAGTAAATTTATACTTTTAGTACGCTACCTCCGACATTTCTCATCCTCCAAGTTTTCTCAAATACCATATGATTTAACTAATCTAATTTTTCTTTTTCTTGCATCCCCTACTTGGATGAGCAGATCTTATTTCTGCCAAGATGAACACAACATGCTTTTGATGGAATTCCAACCATTTAAAATATTACTATTATTTTTTATTAAGTTAGTTTTTGGCCAGATATGTATTTTTTATTTGTCCATTATTGTTATTCTGAAGGGACTTTGTCCCACAATAAAGTTTATTTTTTCTATTCTATTCTATTATTATCAAAATATACATTTTAGTAACACTTAAAATAGACTTACTTGATGGACACACATTCTCCAGATATATTTAGCTGTTTCAATATCGGGCAACTGAAACTGTACAGGGTCAGCTTGTTCATGAAGCTCCATACCGAAATGTCTTTTATGATTAATGACATTTGTGATATCCTTCCACCTAACACATAACAAATTATTTTAGAAACTACAATACCAAATAGAAATGAATGAGAAGAAATTTCCAAAGTATACTACTTACTGGTATATCTTTGGTTGGTGATGGTTGTTATTGTCATACATAACGTATATACCTATGAGGGCAACACCTATAACGACTTCATTTCCACAGTCATCCTGGAAAGTATAAATTAATTTGGAGTATAAAATGTGTATGTATAAGTATAAAAATGTATAAAATGGAATATAAAATTTGGAATATAAAAATAAGAGGCAGGATAGTTTTGATGCTCTTAGTATGATAGATTTAAAGACCAAAGTAGAAAAGATGAATGGAGTTGATATTTAGAGTTTTCTGTACCTTTTCAAATTGGATCCTCAAAATACAAGCAAACATGAAGACATCGAGAGCAATAAATAATAATTTGAAATTTGGAATGTTTAATTTTTATTTTTTTTTATTCACTTACCTTAAGGATAAAAATATTAAAGGTTTTCCTAACCATAGGAAATAAAAAAATTATTGAGTTTGAGCTGAAAAGCTGTCACAATTTTAGGAGCGAACGTGTTACCAACATTTTTATGAGAACTTCAGTAATTTCTTTAGGATGGTTTTATATATTTGATATCAGTAATTAATAAACTAGTAATTGTATTAACACTTTAAAAATGAGGAGGTTGATACCAATATTGCTAGTAATGATATCTAAAAACTCTCCACTAAAATGGCTTTATGTTATTCATCCATCTTGATGCATATTGATAGTTGATAGTTCAACTTCCTCAGCTAAATCAGCAGGCTGAAATTAACAGTTCATTAAAAAACATTGAAAGGAGCTGCTGGCTGATATTAGAGTTAAATTCCACATTCAGGACCTTGTAATAATAATAAAGACTTTTTCCACTTTTGTTATATTTTATTTGTTTTTCTAACTCTTTTCTGCTACGAAATATATTTTATAGTTTCCGAATGCTTCATAAAACTTAGATTTTCTCATAATAATTTTGAATATTTCCTTAATTGGTTCTTAAACAACTATCAAACACCAGAATCTGCTTCCATTATGATATCTAATCTAAGCAGACTTTCTCAACTGACCCACATCACTTAATACAGTTCTTTTTTCTGTACAGATCTTAATATATCATATAATTTTTTAATCTCATAGTATCATTTTCATATGAGAAACCAATGAAATCTCTCCAGTTTTCACATTTGCCATGGTCAATATTTGTCTCAGTAACAGCTAGTCTGTTTTAAATCTGATCTTAAAATGAATTCGCCAAATTAGGCTATTTTTATTCTACCACTGAAACATCACAATCAGCATAAAGTAAAAATAATTTAAGCAAATATTACAACTAAATAAGTAAAAACCTTAGCAAGAAATGTTTCCTGTCCATATCCCTCCAATTGTTGAGCTGCTAAAATATAGTATTCTTCAGCAGTTCCTTGCGGAAGACCAGCTAATTCAGCATGTTGCAATATCACAGCTTTTGTCAATGTTTCCAAATGACCTTCTTGTAGCAAATGCTGTACCAAAATTAAAACATTTATTACATTATTGAATACAAATTAGCAAACAATAAATAGAAAATTATTTGATTTAATTACCGTAGGAAATAGTGCGAAATCTTTAAGATATTCAGCAGTGTGCCTTTCCAGATCATGATTTCCAAATTCAGCTGTAAATCACATAAATATTAAATATCATATATCACAACAATACACATTATAAAACCTGGTCCAATTAAAGATAAAAGATCTACATAAATTTAAAAATTCTGGAAATTATTATACAACAGTTTATTGTTTCCAATAGTTCTATATAAAAAAATAGCTGGTAATTTCCCTGAGAAAACCTTGCTTACTGTTTTGGATTAAAATATATATTCTATATTCTATATGGAAACAAAATTATTTTCTGTATGTTCTGGAACATGAATAGTTGTTAAATTTTCAATAAACTAAACAAAAGAGAAAAAATTCCCAGAACAGAATTCTTTAAAAAATGTAGATGTTTGAAAAACCATATCTTTGCTAATATTGCTTCAATTTAAGAGATTTTTAATGATGTAGAGTTGGTTGACCGTTGATATGATATGAGAAGGAATTAGTCGAGGGTGCGGTCAAAAAAAATAAAAAAATTAAAATATATAAATAATTTTAATTTTTGCCGACGTTTCGACCCACTTTGCAGGTCGTCTTCAGGGCGTTGGATGTGGCACTGCGGGAGGCGGTTGAAACACTCAGTGTTTCAACCGCCTCCCGCAGTGCCACATCCAACGCCCTGAAGACGACCTGCAAAGTGGGTCGAAACGTCGGCAAAAATTAAAATTATTTATATATTTTAATTTTTTTATTTTTTTTGACCGCACCCTCGACTAATTCCTTCTCATAAGAGATTTTTATTATCTTGTAGGGAACTAGGAGGATATTCCCTGTCTGCCTAAGAGTGGATGAGTCCCCATTTTACAAATTAAATAACTGTTCATTTAATTTTACTAATCGTTCCTCAAATTGTATAACTGCAATTTACATTTAGTCTGTACTTCAGATTGTATTATTTTTATCAACATTAAATAAACAGAATAAAACCACAGTTCGGACAAATTTTTGATTTCTTTAAAAATCTATATTAAATATTGCATCTTATTGTCAGTTTATATTACTATACGAGGAGTTGGTCGGGGGAAGAGGGGAGATACAGTCAAATAAATACTAAATTTTAAAAATTAGTATTTTTAATTATTACGCCGACGTTTCGATCCACTTTACAGGTCTTCATCACGGCTACAAAAGATACAAAATATAAAAGGTACAAGATGAAATTAAAATAAATAAATTATAAGTAGATATTAAATAAGAAACAGTTCTCTGATAAAGAAATAATAAAATGACATCAGAGATATAGTGAGTGACAATGTAGTTAAAATATCAAGTATTATATATATATATATATATATATATATATATATATATATATATAGAAGGTAAAAACAAAAATAGAAGACAAGTATGAATACAAATATAAAACAAAGGAGAGTATAGCATGTAAGTTAAATGTAAACAGCTTGTGATCAAAGATAAGAAATGAGTATATAACAAACTGGTAAAGATTACATTTGATAACTGTATCAAACTTTAAATAATAATTGGAACAATCAAAAATGTTAAACAAACGAACTAAAATTCAAAATATCATCTAGTATGAACAACATCAATTTCGTGGTTTGCAGCAATTTTTGTTTAAAGTGGAAATACAATAAATATAATTTCATAAATATATCCGGAACCATTGATTTTATATTACAAAAAAAAAAAAAAAAAAAAAAAAAAAAAAAAAAAAAAAAAAAATGAATAGAATCATTTTTATAGAGGTATTAAAATATTTTAATATTGTACTGAACAATCTTTGCAAAACACCACATAGTTTTTGAGAAATTCTCAAAAAACTAAAAAAATATGAGTTTTCTCTCTTTCTCTCCCTTTCCCCATCTAAACCCGGCACGGGATTCTTTGGTACTTTTTACCAGTTATTATGAGGATGGTGATGAACAATTGCTGACAGCTTTCATCTTTGTTTTTTTAATGTTGGTGTCAACGGCTAGTTTTACTGGTCTATTCTATTAAAAACCATGAAAGAAATGACTAGGATAGGAGAAAAGTTGGATCCACAACAGGCACTTCTTTAATTCAGTTTACTTATATTTCCTATCTCTAAACCCAATTTAGAGAGAGGTAGAGGTGCACCAAACTTTTAAAAACACAAATAAACATTTAGACATGACGAAATTTTGATTGAAATATCTCCCACTTTCATTGTCCTATCTATAAAACAATCATAGCTAATTTTAGCTCATTTTATCTGAACTTATTATATGCTCTTCTATATAATGGATCAGTATTTAACAAATATGATTATTATAAAAGCAAACCTTGCATGCAATAACTTGCTAGTGTAGTGGCTTGTTTCAAAGTACAGTTGATTCTCCCTTCAATTACATCTTTTTTCAGTTGGAGGAAATAATGGTACCTATAAAAAAGTAGATTATAAATATAACATCTTCAGTATTTCACGATTTAAGGAAATAAAAGTTTTCATAAAATACCTGGTCATTTCATCCTGAATTAGACTAATTCCATTTACATAGTACATAACTCGGAGGTATAAATTAGGTTCCTTAGCATATTTATCTAACTGTTTCTTAACTGGTCTCTCCATTTCTACCCACCTCGGGGCTCCATGCCTGTTCACGTAACGAAGTCCAAAAAATTCAGGCTGAAATGTAATATAATAATGTATCTGAATATTATTATTAACTAAAACATCATAAGAATTAAATTTATAATAAATCTGGTTATTATAAAAAAAATACATTCATTCTATTACAACAGAAAAATATAATATATTCTACATTTCCTGAACAGTTTAAGAGTCAAATTTAAATATAACACTTGAGTAAAATTTTCAAATATAGCCTGGCAATCATGTCTGATAAATAGCTACATACATTTTGGGAATTTATAGATGAATATGATCATTTCAGGTTTCCAAAAAGGTACTGATTGAATCAAATATCCCCTCAAATTTATTAATAGCCAAGAATTTAATACAAATACAGATTTGGGAAGGATAAGGTTTCAAATAAATAATCACATTATTTCAGAATCGTAATTATATATAGTGATGATAAAAGAGGATTCTCTTTGCCACCAATGCTAAAATTGTGTACTGCATTAAGATACTATGCAACTGGAACATTTCACGTTGTTTTATTATTATTGTTTTATCATTTTCACACAATTAATTAAGTTGTCACGATAATCAATTATTAACTTATCTTAAATGAAACTACAACAAGCAGTAATGTTTTTTAAAAAAAATAAATAATAAGCTCCTAATTGTCCTAATTGTTTTTACACATTAAAGTCCAGTTTTTCCTTTTTGTAATATACTCTTTCCTATTCTCATTTTCATTAATAAATTATTCTTTGAGATCTTTATCACTTAATGGAAATAATACATAATAACTACCACATGTTAACCAATTTTAGCGCCCTTAAAGCCATGAAGAGCATATGTTCAGATCATCTACGAATGTATAGTATTTGAGGGCTCATAAAACAGCTAAATAACGTTGGAACATTAGTACATTTTTTTATGGTCTCCTGATCATGTAGGCGTTGTTGGGAATGAAATGGCTGATAGAGCAGCAAAAGAAGCTCTTATCCTTCCAGAACGTGATCAAGGATTCTTAACTGGGTCCGAACTGGCGCGACCCTTGAAAGAGGCCATACACCAAGATTGGCAGATATTATGAGACAACAGCCCTTCAAATAAACCAAAAAAACCCATAAAAACTTTAGTGAAGCCATGGAGCAGATCCAGTAATAGTTAACGCAGAGAGGAAGTTGTCCTTACGTGACTAAGAGTAGGTCATACCAGGCTTAAGCACCTTTACTTAATAATAAAAGAAAACCCGCCCATTTGTCGGAGGTTTGGAGAGAGAATGACATTGGACCGTTTCTTTTAGAGTTGTGCCTCTTACATCAACTGCTTTGAGAAATGATGAAAAAATCTTGAGTAAAATCATATGTTTTCACTCTGAAGAAGGATATCTGAATGTCTCACGCAGCACAACCCCTATTTATCCTCCCTCCTATTTATCTTTTATTTTTACTTAACCTGCTAACATTAAACTCAAGTTTAATAACTTTAAACTTCACATACATTTTACGTCTTTTTTATTTTATTTCAATTCTATTATTCACAACAAGGAGATATAATTATATATAATCTTAATTAACAGCCAATTTTCATCTTTAAAGTGAAGTATCATCATCGTCATTTTCGGTGCTACAACCCAATCATTCACCAGTCATTTTTGTTCTGAGCAGATAATTTCCAGTCTCGAATATAAAGGATGGATCTTGCATCAGCCCAACGCAGTTTCTACCAACTGGTTTTCTTCCGAACAACTGTTCAATCAGAAGCTTCTTTGGAATTTGGCTATCAGTTATTCTAGCCACATGGCCGGACTCAATGGAGTCACTCAATCTTAACAAATCTGATCACGTCACTATCATGGAACAGTTTCTGCACTTGTTTTCTCTTTCCACTTTTGGTTCACACAGACCAAGTGAGGTATATATCCATTAAGTAGTATTTTTTTTAAAGTATATGTTTTTTTTTAAACATTATTTAAGCTAAGGCATTTATCAGCTTTGAAACTTAATTTTATTGCTTCATTGAGATTAACACATTTGACAACCAACCAAAACAGAAGTAGCTGTTCTTTTTCTGGAAAGAAAGCTTTTGAATTTTTTTGAAAACTAAAATAACTGTACAACTACAAGCCATGAAGGATCCGTACTTTGTAAGGAAGTAATATTTTAAGGCCAACGGTCGTTGACACACTCAATCGCCAGGTTTTTCCCCTTAATAAATAATTTAATTAAGGGTACCCATTTTGTAAGGAAATACTGTTTCAAGAGCAATGGTTGTGCAGGCAGGTGATAAGTACGAGATCACGCGCAACCGCCACTTTTTTCCCCATAATTAATAATTTAATTAATAGCACTATCTTTATGGATGCTGGGTGTGTCCTAGGAGAGTCTCCTGATCCCCATGTAGATCCACAGCGAATGGAACAAAATTAATAATTACCTGCCATTAGCCGGATTTAAAACTGAGGACTTGAGGTTTGGAAGTAAGTGCCTTACCCATCAAGATATCCTGCTCTATAGTTTATTTTTTTCTACCACAATAAATCAAATGATCAAAAAATTAAATGAAATTGAACTTAAACACAACGCTTGTTGTTATAAGAACTGTAAGAAGTGTTACTACACATGTATAAGTCTACTTTGTCCTCATGTCCCCCTTTTATGATTACTAAATTTTTTAAATTTACAATGCAGGTGTAAAGCGTATTTTATAAGTAATTCTGACAGCATTTTATGAATTCGGTTTTAAGCATTTTTCTCAACAATACATTATTGGATTCAGAAATATTTAAGATTGTCTATCAGTGATAAAATAGTGATTGCAATTTAATAATGATTATTGTAAAAAAAAGTTGTGAAAATTTTGTTAAAAGTTATTAAAAAAGTTAAAGACAAATAATAAAAATGTTGTTGAATTTAATTTAACATAGAGTCACTGGGTTCCCTAGCATTTCCTGTATACCATGACTGATGTCACTTCCTGTGAACTAATCCAGATTCAACAGGTATTGAAATAAAACAGAATGGATTTTAGTAGCCCTAGATAATCATGAAATTAAAATATGTGTAACACAAGAACTTGGGTATGGAAAATTCAAAACTTCTATCTGTTACATTTTTACCAATGGACCAACCAATTCACATGAAAACAGATATACCTGATCCAAATATATAAATTTCAAGTTATCTTCTTATAATAACTAAGTCAATCTCATTAAGACTATCTACTGTTTTTTTTTCCGAAGTAACTTATCATTTCCCTTATCAAACATCTTATAACTATTTCAAAATCTGAGAAGGTTTTTTAATAGTATTTTAATTAGTATTTAATATAATTTTTAAAAAATTTATATTGATTTGATCGCAACCCCCTACCAACTCCTTCTCATATTATATCATGGCCAACCACCTTAACATCATTATGTCAAACTCTATTGAGGTGAATAAATATGGTTAAGCAACAATATCACATCATTATAAATAATATTGTTGGTTTTTAATAAAGAATGCATAATTATGAAACCAAATAATTCATGACTTACCAGAAGAGAGTATTCTTGGTTTATAGCAAGAATTCATTAACTCATATTTCATAAAATTATACCACTAAATACTTAGATGAATTTTCCAACTGTGAAAACAGAAAATTGTAAACTTAGGACGGCACCCACATAAACCGCCTCATCTCGGCCTAATCCTCTATAAAATTTAAATAAGACTGAATAGATAATCCACACTAGACCATCCCACACTGGCCAACATTTTTATCATAGCCCGGGCCAGTCTAAGTGTGTGCTGTGCTTTACAGTAACTGTTAAGGTTTATGTAATTTTGGTAACTTTACAGTATTTATGTATCGACTATGGTATTGAAGTTGAAATTGACAAAAATGAACTTATAGGTTTTCTAACTTGTTGCAATGAATTGATTATATTAAATGGGGTGTTATAAAGTGGATTATCTCCTAAGGGGAAGAACAATATGACACATATTGATTTGCCATTTTTACAAATTAGTAGTTACTCATGCCATAAGTGTAATATGGCAAAGATCCAACAGTAAACAGGTTGTCGAACTCACTCTTTTTAAGCAACATTGAAAATACAACTAAATACCACAAAATTTGAACAGCTTTCTTAATAACAAACTATATGATTGTTATTAAAATGGTAAGGGGTGGGTAGGCAATAATTATAATTAATTGAAGACAAATAAAATAAAACTCTAAAAAAAACTTAATCTTCATTCAAAAAAAGCATTGGTTTAACTGTTTATGAATATTTTCTTTATTCATCAAGCAATTTCATGGAATTAGCATTTTATTCTATTACATATATGCAGCATTCTAAACAATTAATTGCAGTCAGTTCATGGGCTTTATCATGTTTGTTTGCTTAAGGTTTTGTTTACATTCATTAATTGTGCTACAGTTTAAAAATAAACTACAATGAATAGAGAGAAAATATATTAAAAATATCACACAATAGGTTAAGTAAACTTCTCTACCTGCTGAAGTCCCAACCTCTGGCAAACATTGTCAAGACATTCTCTCCCAACACTCTCAGAGGAGAGTGTACACTCAATTGTAGCTCCATCCAACAGTTCAACACAAATGACAAATAAAGATTTGGAAACAACATTGTATTGTCGACTTTTTTTAAGGCGAAACTTGAAAGGCATTGCACTCAACACTGTTATCACAACTTTTTCATATTACTATGAATTTGGCAACTTATGTGAGACATCACAATCTCCTTCATACAATTAATTAACTAAAACAACACTACACTAAACAGATTTCAGAAGAAATCATGTCATTATTCCTCGTAGAGCGTTACATAGGAATTCACAACCCTATTAGTCACTTGGAAAGTATGTGGTAAATACAAGCGTCATTAGTTCATTTGACATTTTAAGCAGGTTCGGCTAGAGCAACAGCGAAACTTTATTCATCAAGAGAAATCGAGCTTGAGACAATTTAACTGGAAAATAATCCGAACTCAACACAATCAAAACAAACTTAAACACATCAATTCCTGTGAAAATTACAACCTTCTCCATGAAATTGTAAATACCTAACATCAATGTTGCCACTAAACACTGAATTACTGAAATAACGGAATAAATACAAACAAAATATTTTATTTTCTCATTATATTGCCCTTAAGAAAAATGCATTACATGAAAGAAACTGTGAAACTGATTAAATAGGTCTTCATTAGAATTCTAAGCGCAAAAACCTAACTAATGTGTTTGCCTTATCGCTTATTTTCTCTTGTGGGAATTTAGATATATTTCAATAGTTTTAATAGTTCGAAAAATGTTAATTATTTCACTGTAAAAAAAAAAACCCTAGATATAATATATATAGCATTATACATTATAGAGTTAAAAGGTTCTATTTAAGTGAAACCTATTTCCTTACTTTTATTAAACTTTAATATAAGGTTGTAAATATTATAAAGAATCATCAATGTTAAATGTACAAAATTTATTTTAGTGAAGATTTTATGGATTGTATCACGGGCGGATCTACGGGGGGCTTTCGGGCTGAAGTCCCCCCCCCCAAAATGGTAAAATATAACCATGTTTTATGGATTTTTTTTTTTTTTAATACCTCTTAAAGTATTATTGTGTAATTAGATTTAAAAGGACTTAAGGAATCACTTAAACACCATTTCATATAGGTAGTTAGTTTCTTTCTGTTCTTCCAAAGTAATTATCGTTATTTTTATGAAAAAAAAAGCTTTCGGGCTGAAGCCCTCCCCAAAATTAAATCCTGGATCCGCTAGTGTATTGTATGTTTCTAGTTTACTAGCTATCATTAATAGTACGGTCACTACAATAAGTTAACTAAACCAACCATTTAATTTTTGTAATTAAAAAAAATTAATTACGAGATATTAAAAATTTAGCGAAAAAATGCTTCTTAATAGTGCAGGAGAGTATTTTGGATGCTTGCCATTTTGAGTTACATAGTTACATGTGCTTATATACTTACAGTCACATTGTTATAATAATGATCTCTTCACTACTTAAAAAATTGTCAAGTATTGTTTAATACTTCACTAGGTAAATATTTGGTGGAGGAGGGGGTTAGGAACGCCATACATGAAGTAGTAGCCCTGCTATCAATTTATTACATGTAATATAATTATTACTTCTTCGGTTCATTGAACTATCCTGTAAATTATTTTTAAGTAAATGACTGAAATATTGGCAGATCTGAGAAACCCGTATCCCTTTCACAAGAATTTGGATACGAATAACCTACTGAATCCAATAAATCTACAGGAATACATTTTCAGAAACCACTCTATCGAATAAAAATTGAGATATTTCTGATGTGTGCGCAATTTGATTGACAGCCTGGTGAGGTGACGTGACATGACAAACCGTAAGATTAATAAAAATGGTCATGATAATAATGTTTTTAATATTACATTAGAAAATCCGTCTATGAGAATGAATGCGCGTCTTCTGGTTCTGGTCTGGCTAGGAGGGACTGACTTACAAGAAAGTGTCCTGGGGTGAGGTAATATAGATTATCCGAAGACTGACTGTTAATATTACAGATAGGATGGGAATTGAGAACGGCTTCAACTTGTACCAGAAGAGTATAAAATTTCTCATATGTCAACGCATGATCCTGTGAACGGCAAGAAGGGGTCTCTTAGAGTATTTAATAGATGCCTTCCAAATACCACCGAAATGAGGAGATGCTGGAGGAGGAAAGGTTCACTTTATACGTGTCCGACTTAAATGGTTAGAAATGGATTCGCTCTGGCCCTTAAAAAATTGATAAAGCTCCTTCAACTTCTTGGATGCTCCAACGAAATGTGTTCCGCAGTCACTATAAATATGCAAAGGCATACCACGTCTGACAATAAATCTATTATATGTGGCAATAATTGAAGGAGTGGATAGGTCTGTCATAAGTTCTAGATGGATGGCCTTGGAGGACATGCACACAAAGAGAGCTAACCAACATTTCGATTTACTAGCATTGCGATTACTGGAAGTCTTCATAATGAAGGAGCCGCCATTGTCTATTCCAACTCGCTGAGAGGATCTACCCTCGGTCACCCTGAAAGTCGATAAGTCACTCATTTTTAGAGCATGCGGGGCTTCGCATTATTTTTGTGACACGTAACACATTTATAAATCCGGCTTTTGACGAGTCTTCTTAGAGAAGGGATCCAAAATTGGCAATGAATGAGCGACTGGACCAACAGGGGCTCACCATGCAAGGAATACCTGTCGTAATGGTCACACAAAAGGACTGATAAATGAGAATCTTTAGGTATCGCCAGCGGATGCTTACTTTTTTCTTCGATTGTGGAATACTTCGATCTACCTCCCACTCCGAGAGCTCCTTTCTTATCCAAAAATGGTATGAGCCTGTTTAAGATCGTCAGCAGTCAAGGTTGAAGCAGCCAAAACATCTTGCTCCCGATCTCGGCAACATTTAATAAATTTTAAAATGTAAGCAAAAACCCTTTGCAGCGTTAAAAGGCTCGAATATTTTTCCAGGCAAATCAACATATCGTTAGATTTTCCAGCCGCTAAAAGAGATATTGTTTTTACTTTAGGCAGAACGGATGGACGTTCAATATGGTAAATAGGCCAGTCAGAAGGAGGTAACGAAATAAATGCCAGGCCGTTCCAATAAAGCTTATGTTAAAGTATCTGGTGTGGTTAGAGGCTTCTCGATAAACAATCGGCTGGATTCTGTTCTGTAGAAATTGGTAGAAATATAGTGCCAAAAACTGGATTCTGTTACTTCCAAAATCTGTACTACGCGATTGGCAACATAATTCTTAAGTTCATGAGGCGTTATCTGTAACCAATAGAGTACGTTACGAGAATCCGAAAAACAATACACTTACTCAATTTGCAAATGACTTTTAAGTTTACCAATACACGCAAGTAGTCTAGAGGCAAGAAGAGCAGCGTTTAATTCCAAACGAGGCACTGATTGAACCTTAAGGGGCCACCTTACTTTTTGCCATTAACAAATGAATTTTGGTAGCTTCTCCTGGGTACCCCACTCTCAGATAGATCGCACACCCGTAACTCCTCTCGGAAGCAAGGTTAAACAATAGCGAGGCAAGCCCGTTTCCCTGCCTAATTCCTCGCGTGGGGACAGGTCCGCCTGTACCCGAACAGTACACCTAGCAACATCCATCGTTATCTTGATGAAGCGGGCAAGTTTCGGGGGAACTCCAAGGTCAAACAGGGCTGTATACAGTTGAGGTCTCTTGATGCTGTCGTATGCACTTCGGAAGTCAATAAACAGGTGATGGGTCCTCATCCTGTACTCTTGAGATTTTTTCTGTATTATACGGAGGCTAAACATCTGATCAACTGTAGATCTTCCTCCTCTGAACCCCGCCTGATACTTACCCATCTCTTTCTCAGCAAATGGGAGGAGTTTGCAGTAGATATGTTTAGGAAGATCTTATATACACACTGAAGAAGTGAGATCCCACGGTAATTGGAGCAGTCGAGGATATTACTCTTCTTGTATAGTAAATAAATTATTCCGTTCTTCCACTGATCTGGCATTTACTCTTCAATCCAGATGATGAGGATGATATCGTAGAGGACTCTCTGGAATTCCTCGCCACCATGCATGAGAAGCTCAGAAGGAATTCCATCCTCTCCAGGGGCTTTGTTTTTGTTCAGCCTGTTGACTGCTTCAAGAAAATCCTCATACGTCGGTGGGTCTGGGGAGTCCAGGTCATGCTCAGCACTTGGGATTATGAAATCGTCCATCTGCAGCCTCGTTTAAAAGTGCATCAAAGTGATGAAACCATCCGGCCAAAATCTGGAACTTCTCTGTGATCATGGAGCCGTCTTCGTTTCGACATAATCGAATCCTTGGTTTGAATGATGTCCTACTCTCATTCACCGCCTTGTAGAATGCCCTTGATTTATTGTCTCCTTTGCTATCCCATCTCCTCTAGCTGTCGTCTTTCCCATTCCCTCTTCTTTCGTCTATGTAGTCTCTTCTCCTCCGTCCTTCTGTCTGTATACTCCTGTGTGGCTCTCCTCGTGTGCCACTTCTGAAGCATGTTTTTGTAGGCTTTATTTTTTACATTTGTAGAAACTGCACACTTTACATCAAACCATGGGGACCTAACTTTTTGTTTCTCTATCCCTACAACTTCGTTTGCAGTTTCTTTAACGATTCGGGATAGGGTGCTCCACTATTATTCTGCAGGGCCCTCCGACAAGCCTGTACCTGTCACCCTTTCATCCAACGTTCGGCAGCGTTCACTGACTTCTGGATCCTTACGCTTGGATGTCGCTGTTAAGGTAGAAAGAATTCTACCTTCTTTCTTCTGGTTTTTCTTGCGTTGGATATTCTGGCTCTGATCATAGATATCACCAGATAGTGGTCGGTATCCATGTTGGCTCCTCGGTAGGATCTGCAACTTATATATGCAATGTTTTTGCCAGGGAAGAGCGTGCTGCCGACAACCAGGTTCTTGGATGCAGCAAAGTGTATTAGCATTCGGCCATTCCCATTTGTGTTATTATGGAGATTGTGCATTCCAATAGTTCCTTGCCAACCTTTGCATTAAAGTCTCCTATGATGATCTTTACATCACTTTTAGGGCAACTGTCGAGGGTCCTGTCTAACTGATCATAGAATGCCTCCTTCTCATCATCAGGATACCCTTACGTGGGGTATCCTGATGATGAGAGAGTAGCAGCTGAGGAATGTATAATTATGAAACCTCGAAAGACAAGTGGTAGTACTTACAGGGATGAAATTTATTACCAGATTCCTGGCTCTTCCCCTTACTAAAAAGTCCGTTCCAGAGACATGAAGATGCTCGTGACCGCTATGGTGTGGAACCGTTTTGCCAGAATCATCTCAATCAACCTTAAGCAGCCACAAACTTTGTAATAGGCATTTAACGGAAAACATTACCGGACTGATAAATCCATTTACATCGAAAATCTTGGCAATGAAGGATAAAATACATTGCTTTGTAAAAATATTCTCACTCTCCAGTATTGAATACCTGAGTTTATGACCCCAAAACAAACCCAAAACCTTCACAGTCCAAGAATCTCCATCCAGGTACAACGGAACTTCTTGACTAACCTCGGTATAATAGAAAGTACTTTTTCGGAATTGCTGGAGAACATTCTGAGTTTAAACACACCTGCTCCAAATAAGGCCATCAACTCATTATACAGATTCAGAGCCTCATCACTATTACGATCACGAGTGATTACGTTATTTATCTACATAAATCTGGTCATGGACCATGGGCAGCTTTAGGAAAATTATGGCTTTTCCCCCGAAATAACATAGAATGACTATCTGAGCAATAAAGGGTGAACATTCCAACCCAAATGGCAAGGTAACCAACTCATACTCCTGGATCGGCTGTGAAGATTCGCTTCTCCAAAAAAAAAAAGTAATAAGTTTCGGCAATGCGGATACACCTAAACATAATTTTTATATCGCATGTTAAGGTGACAGGAAAGCATCTAAAAATGGTCTATAAGTTTCGCAATATTAGTCTGGAGCTGCAGACCTGTCAAAAGCAAATCATTGAGTGAGATCAATGATTGACAACAATGTATAAATAGGTGAAATACGAATATCAGCGCGGTAATAGACTATCTTTACAAAAACTCTCATAACCTACCAGGCAATTTTCCTCCTTTAAGTACGGCAAAACATCGCTAATATGACAAAAAAAAACTATTCGATCGTGTCCGGTAGACCAAAATGTTAAGGCAACTTTCCAAATTTTAATTAAAGAAAGGCAAATAACTCTTGTGAGTTCTTAATAGGGAACATTCAAATTATTGACAACATTCTACTTATTTAGAAAGTGGACTGTATTTTAATGGATTGGTAGGTTATACGAATTGTGCAAAAAACAGCTTACCATTTTTATGCTGGTAAAGACATCTCTTTTACCTGAGGGCGCCCTCGGAGCAGCTGTTCTCTCTCTGGCTATCTGTGCTGCAATGCGGCAGTCGTACCGAGAGCTCGTACGGATTAAATTTTATCTTTTTGATCTTCTGATGTGGCCCTCTCCCCCTCCCTACTCGCCGCAACGAGATAATTGGGAACTATCTTTGCACATGTCACTCCTTAAATATCCATCGTAAACTGATTGGTTCAATGAAAATGACGATGAAGGATAATATAAGATTTTTAAGGAAATTTGGTTAACTGCCTGGTAGCCTTGCCTGTCTCGTATTCAACTTTGTCCCGGAAAAAGTACATAGTGGCTCAGGAATTCAGACAGAAGGAAACCTATTAAACAAATCAACTCAAGTTTTGCTATTTGCGGATGACTTGTACCTTACTAGAAGATCCCACCACAGAGTGAAGGAAGTTTTTGAGGTTCTAGAAAAATATGCTGTAAGCTTGAGCCTTAAGATGAACTTTGATAAAACCAAATACCTAAGAACCCAACTACCAGAGGAAGTTGTAGAAAGGTATTTTACGATAGCTCCACATCGAATCGAAAGGGTGCAGTTTATCTACTGAGGATCCTAAGTCAATTACAAAAAGAATATGCAAAAAGAAATAGAGTAAAGAGATTCTTTTTGTGAACCACACATACTTTGCCCTACAAAGGTATATAAGAAGCAGCATATTATCCAAATCCTCTAAAACAAATTTCTATAAGATGCCTATTAGGCCTGTATTACATTTAGCTTAGATGTTGGAGGATGACTAACACCCAAGAACAAGGCCTTCTGAGATTCAAAAGGAAAGTGCTTCCCAGAATTTATGGAGGTGGGTATGAACAAGACTCTTAAAGAAGAGGAACAAATGCCAAATTAATCACAATGTATAAATACAACAATACCATTAGTTTCATGAAATTAAAACAATTCCGCTGGGCTGGTCATGTTATTAGAATGAACCAGGAAGAGATCCCATTAAAAATTTTGTCAGAGCGAGTGTATGATATAAGGTGGGCAGGATATCCCAAGCTTCCTTGGGAGAACTGTGTGTCTATGGAGTCTAGAAAACTTCTTGGTTTAAGGAATTGGAAGGCAGTGACACGCAATATGAAGGACTGACAATCCTGGAGCAAGTTATAACTTATCAAGGTCATAATACCAGATAAAAAGAATATATCACCACAAAGCCTGGATGTTGACCATTATTTTACCATTTTTTTCTGAATTTCACCTTTAACCAGATTGGTGCTGGACAATGATTTAATTGTTTCTTAAGAAACTGTTTATTTTGAGTTGATCATCTTTACTTGAAATTTTGAAAATCATTAGGCTAAGGAAATAGGCTGAAAACATATATTCTTTTATATAGATATCGTTATGCAAGATCAATATTAATGTATTAAGAACCTTTGATCACAGAGCTTTCATTAATAGAGTGTAGGTACCAAAGCTTTTTACTTTTACTTACCTACATATGTAATATATACCAAGGGAAATTATTGCGATCATGAAAATTTTCGAGAATCTGTTTCCAACAGAAATATATGTTTTGAGATTCTGCGAGTCAAAATAACCAAGTCCCGCAATATGGTCTGTGTGTAAACAGACCAGCTCAAAAACAAAAAATCGTAGGAAACTGAAATTGCGTATTAAAGTCTGTATATGACTTGGATGTGTTATGATTAATAAATCATAAATTAATCACTTTACATTGGAAGCTGATATAAAAAAATGGTTAAATATGAAAAAATTGATAATTATCTAAAGGAAAAGTAAACTAATATAATAATAGAGAGCAATGAAACCCCACTGATCAGTGGAGCTATTCAGAGCTTGACAGAAAGTTAGAATAGGCTTGTATACATCATGTGTGGTTCCATAAAGTGTTGACATTATTTAATATTTAATTGTATAGATTACAGCAATCTAAAAATTAAAATGTAGGTATATATATATTTACCAATGGTTAAACACATAACAATACCTACAATGAAATATATAAATATAAATTTAGTGGCCTTCTTGTCGACTAAAAATATTTCTTAGCACTTGGTTATTTATTATAATCAAACAAATAATTAAAACATACAACCATTAAAGATAATTATTAGCGAAAGAAATATAAGTATAATATATTAGACGGCTGAGAAAAACATACTAGTAATTAATTGTTCCAAAAAATATTTTGTACCATCTGTGATTTTTAGTTTCTCTTCCCTTTGTCTGGAAATACTTATTTCTCCTGAAAGAATGGTTGTAAGTGAAAGTTGTGTGACACCCACACAGCACAAGATTTTTTTTGTAAGTTTTATTCTAGGTAAAAAAAAAACAGTTAAATTTTTGGGATATTAATTTTGATTCAAATATAACATGCAGGTTGATTTATTTCACTTGATCATATGATTTACAGTAATTGTTTAGAGCATTCTTTTCATTGGAGAATAGAAGGTACTTAATAAGCACTTCTGCAAGAAAATCTTATAATAACAAGCAGTTGTTTTCACAGATCAACTCTGGCTGCTCGAGGATTAAATTTAAATAAAATTAATATATATGCATATTATTGAAAAGTAAATATAATCATCAATTTAATTATGGAGCTTATTTAATTTTTAAAGTCATAGTTATCAAGAGGGTTGGAACAATATCTCAACACACCTAAGTCAGATCGGTATCTCGAATCTGAAGGTGATGGTTCACTTTTGTTTACCGGGTGAATCCGAAGAATGAACTGTTGCTAAAATGGTTTGATAACATGTTAATTTCATGTCCTCTGGTCCAACAATAATGGTGAATTCTTATTTTATATTAAAGCACTGAATTGAAATCACATTTCATAACTTAAAATTTCAATCTTTTAGCTTCTAACATCCCTAAGCAAGAAAATAACTTACACCACAAATCTGTACTTACTCATCAATCATGGAGACGTTAAACAGACTAAATTTGAACAAATAATAATAATAAATTAAGAGGTTTGCAGGAATAACTAAAATAATCAGTTTTACAATGATTTTATTAATTTCTTTTTATCACTAACATATTTACACTTGTTAATTTTTTCATTTATATTAAATTTGCAATGTGCCAAGCAAAAAAAAAAGAAAAAAAAAAGAGAAAATCATCAGTGACAGTGAAAGAGCCACTATATTCTCTAATTGAGACGAAATAATAAGAACAAACAAAACATGAAGAATATTAAAATATAAAGGTCTCTTGGCAATTCTCACTCACCCTAGACCATGATCCACATTTATCTCACATATTCTTCCATTAGTCCCAGACAAATGACTCAACATTACCTACAAAAATAGATCTTGTATTTATCAAGTGTTCAACAGTCAACGATTTGAGTTTGTATATTCTGGGAAAATCACTCCAAACATCGAACACACTCAGGTATTGTTATTTACAACTACTTAGTACCACAAATTTTCTTAATGTCTAATTTCAACTGATAACACATGTCTGGTGTTACGGTATGTTCCATTCATTGTGATTTTCCTTTAATATAAGTACCAAGGATAAGTACATATCCTTAATATACATACGTCCCTACATATATATATATTTAAGAAAATTTATTGCATGTCACTAAATTCAATAATGGGTGGAATGCAACTTTACATCTTGTCAAGTCAAAGCAGGTTATAATTTTGGCAGCTTTAACCAATGCTCAGCTGCAAGATATACACTAATGTCAACAAAAAATTATGTTTGTTTATTATAAATATATAAATTTTGAATTTATATTACATTAAAAGTATTTAAACACCATAACTTAATTAAATGGCAACAAATTTTTAGATCATACATTCATAAAAAACATACTCCACTATACATTATAACAATAGTTAAAGAGATACAAATTTATTATTCTTATTTTTAAAAATAGCATTTAAATGATCCAAATAAATTTAATGATGTACTCTAACATGTTCCTGTTATGATACACAGGCATTAAAATTTGTATTCATTACCTACATAATTAATACTTTAAATAATTTTTTCGATAATTTATTAAACTCATTTTCAAACATGAAATAAAATATATCAATCCATCAAAACGTTCCGAGAACCTGTCCTATATCGTATTTCTCAAATACTAGTATTATGTATCACAGTAATAACTTATAACCTAGAATGGTTCTTCAATCGAGAAGGGCTCGCATGTTATCTTACAAGTGTCAAGTTTAAATACTGCTTCTAATAATCACTACACAAAAATCTAAATAAAATTAAGCCACATTCTTGATGTTATATAAAAATAGTAATTTAATTATAGATATGTATTTCATATGATTTAGTCAACACAAATATTCCAATATTGAAAAAAAAAAAAACACAAACATAATACATTAGCATAAGAAAAACAATTTATCGACTTATGTTCCTAAATTATTACTACTATATACACAATGGCACTTGCTCCTGACATTCAAGTACATAAGAAAAATTCAAAAATAAACCTACATATATGTAAAAGTAAATAAGAGAAATAAGTACAAAAAAAAAAAATAGTAAATTAATTTTAGTAATTTTTCTCAATTAATTTCATAGCTCTAAATAACAAATATGTAAATCAACATTAGTATTAATTAAAGTATAAAGTATTAATCTCATAACTGTGATCTATACAATAAGAATAAATAGTGTTACTAAATCATATAAAATCAATCCTTGCAATCATTATCACCTTTTCTATATAACATAATATTGCTGTATTCTATAATATTTATTGTAAAGATATACATATGGTATTGTTATGTACAATTAAATAAAGTTTTGCTAAAAAAAAAATCATATACATGGTTAATAAAAGGTTATTTAGTGGTATATAAATACAAATTAATACACATTTTATTAACTTAAAAACAAACAACTAAACACTGAAAGTCATGAGGTACTTGGGTCTTAGCTATACAGCTTAATGGTTGCTGCTATATATTAAGTGTAATTCATGTTAGTGAATATTCACAACTTTAAAAAATCAATTTAAAACAATTTGGTAAATAAGAAAATTTACATTTTTCAATAAATATATTTTATTTTCCATACTACGATTCTAAAAAAATTATTTCTGGTAATATACATTTGAACTATTTGAATTTATACTATATTAATTTTACTATTGAAACTAATTAATGAATATCAGCCTGCTAAGTACGAATAAAAAATACTTAATCTAATAACAATTTAATTTGTTTATTACCCTCCTCATTAACTAGAACATTTCATTTAAAATCCGATGAATATTAATCTGATTATAATTCATTACACTTTAAAGGCCACACTCTTTCAAGATCTTAATATAACATGGTAATATACAATAATCATTTTACAAGACAGTATATTTTTTTTTATAGAAGAACTCTTCTTTAATTGACTATCTTAGTTTGTAAATCTTATGGGGTTAAATCTTAAAAGGGCTCTTTGAACTATTAATAATATGACATCATATACACTTTACAATTAACGAAACTTTATATGAAAAATCCTAAAACTATAGGACTGACAAAAAGCTTTTCCGTTCAATATAGTCACTAGTTGGCTTTACAAAACAGATTCAATCTGTTTGATTTCCAGTGATGAAGAAGTCGGTCCTGGTGAAGGCGCTGTTTCGATTATCTCAGGTATATCATCCTCACCTTCTTCATCATCCTCATCTATTGGGGTGAGAGCATCCAATAAAACTGGAGGGCCGTCATCAGCAGGGACACAACTTTTCATACATGGTGCCATGAAAGATGTGATGGTAGATAACAGGAAGAGGAACCCAGCCATATAAAATGGAATGGAATAACTTTTGGTAGCATCGTAGATCATTCCAGCAAGTGGAGAGCCGAAAATTGCTGCAGCGCCACGGAAAAGAATGAGCAAGCCGAAAGCATTGGTGAGTTTATCCAGACCCAAAAGATCAACCAAAATGATGGAGGTGAGAGAGATGTAAGCAGCTGAAACAATACAAAAATGAGTTAAAAATAAACAATGATAATTTATTTCATATCAGTATCTTGTAAGTATATGACACAATGTTAAATTTCCTTATCATTAGAACAATAGAAAAGTTTTGAATGTATCTCCTCTTAGAACTAGTATTGGACAGGTTTTTTTTTTTTTTTTTTTTTTTTTTGTTCTTCCCTACCTCGCCTTTTAGGCTATACGGGATTTTCCCGGGCCCGGGGGAGAGGGCGAGGAATTTAAAATCCTCTCCGGCACCGGGACGTGAACTCGTACTTTTTATATCATCTCAAATCTCTGTTATCCGGTTGCCAGGCAATTAGCGGTGCTGTTACACACGCTTTAGCCTATTCGGCCACCCCGCCCTCCACCAGTATTGGACAGGTGTGCCCAACCTTTCTATATAATAAGTACATGGCACAACCAACAGTTTCTTATACTAAGGATTGCCATGACTGTCCATTTTCTTCCCATATAAACTGCCATCTTCACAATAATTACCTTTTATTATTTTTAATTTGTTATTAAATTTTTTATTTAAGTAGGCTTGTTTCCAAACATTTCTTTTTTGCAAGATTTCAAGAATATACCTTTTTTTTTGTTTTTTTTGTTCTCCCTTTCCTTGCCTTTTAGGCTATACTGAGTTTTCCCGGGCCAGGGATGAAGATGGGGATTAATGCCAGAGTTAAAAGCCTCCCTCAGCACCATTCAAGCATATAACTATGTGAAAACAGCTAATCAACAATATTTGTACACTGGAATAGTAATTTTATTACTTATTAGTACAAAATACCCTTTCACTCCAGGAAGAGACCTTGAATGTTTTTTTAAAACAAAATTTAGAGTAAACAATTCAAAAACTTACTGGTTATTACTAAATTCATGTGCCTCGAATTTGGCACTCCTGGTTTAGTTATCAGTATCTCTGGGTAAAGCAAATAAACGTTGAAGTGTTAAAAATAGACAAAGATACTACAGCCGGAAGTACATGTTAAAATAACGAATGTGAAACAATGGGCAGGTTAACATTCGTTATTTTAACATGGTGCCGATGATATATAATAAAAACATTAAAGTAGTTCTAATTTATAATTTTAAACAATAATCATAATCATAGCTAGCACGACAACCAATCACAGGATGAAGTTCACATTTAAAAGGTATATCAGTCAAATTGTCTCTATGCAAACGGCCCTTGAACTGCCATAGTTATAAACAAAACATTGATATCATCCAAACATTTATAAAAAGTTTATAAATATATAAATTCTGTGTTGAACATCTCTGAAAGGTAAAATTCCACATAATACCCTTACATCTTAACTTCCTTTTTAAATATCAGTTTAAGTATTTTTTATCAATGGTCCTATTAGATAGAAGGATTATTTAGATCCATGAGGTTAATTAGTTAGCTTTATGGATCTATATAATCCCCATTTTAGCCTAGCCCAAAAACAAAATATCCTATAATGATAAAAATAAATTAACGATTGATTATGACAATTATGTTAAATTGATACAAATATATCCCCTTCTGCTGGAAAAAAAAAATGTTAAGATAAAAAATTTAAAATGATTCACTTACAAATTGCCAACCCGAAGAATATAGCCATTATGACGTATGCTGTAAATGATTTACAGAATGGTGTAGCAGTGACTGCAATTGTAGAAACAACAAGGCTCATATTGTTAAGAAAAAGGGAGTTCACTGAAGGAAAATCAGCAATATACCCACAGGCGACACGTCCGATGGTGTTTGTTATACCGATAATAGAGAGGAGCATAGATGCAGTTGAGCGCTCGATCCCCTAAAATAATTGTAATTTTATAAATGATTCAAAATTTTTTTATTTTACCATAATTTGTTTATAATGACAATAGCCAAGAAAAAAAATAATCATGTTTTCAACAATGAAAACCTACAACACACTAAAATAAAATATTAATACTTAAGAAATTATTTCATAGTTGAAATTGTAAGTTTTATTTTTTTTTTTCTCATGAGTCTGTTGCATTAGTATATTTATAAGAAAGTATAGATTTTTATAAAATAGAACATTTTGTTAGCATGCATTTTTTATTTCAAATGTCTTTACTAAGCAATGTATTGAGACGCTATTAACCAAATTTTATTTTATAAATTTAATGATAATCAGATATAATTGCATCTGCTATTATTATATTATACTGTTTTGCTAATTTCAATCAAGTCACAACAACAAAAAAAGCTCACCTCTTCCACAGCATAGTCAACAAGGTATACAAAAGGTATGTACAATCCAGCCATTCCAAAAACATTACTTATTCCAATTAAAAGAAAAACAGGATTTTTTAGCAGTGAAAAATCCAACATTGTTGCTAAGGCTGACTTAAAGGATTCAGGAAGTGTGCAGCATGGACATAAATCCGCTAAAAAAAATTAAAAATGTGAAAACAAATTATATATTATTTATAATATCAATAGCATATTAAGTGAATTACTCACGAGGTTCAATAACTTCTCCGTCAGGCCCTCTGTGATACTTTGGAAGTGAAACAACACTTTGTCTATAACCTACAATAGATCTCTGAGACTGGTATTCAGGAAGATTGACTACAGAGCCAGAGTAGAATATATCTTTTCGGGAGAGAGGGCGGATGAGTTCCTTCCGTGCTGTCATGCTTATCTTACTAGTAGCAAAGCAAACGCTTTCAACATCAATCTAGAAAAAAAAAAACAATAATTTTTTGAAAATGGAATCTATAAATTAGTTCTGGTTTTTGATTTTCACTGTTTTGTACAATTCAAATGACATAAAGAGAAGGTTCTGAGAATATATTTTGATTTAAGTAACTATTTCTTAAAAAAAGAATTATTTCTAGTTTAAAATTTTTACTTAAACAAAAATACTTAAGTTAAAAATATAATATCTTTGAATGTTATAGGTTTTATTTAAATAAAAATCATAAAATTCTTGTCCAAATTAAATTATTTAATTTAAATAATATATTCAGTTTTAAATATTAAATTCAGAGAATTTAGAGTTTTAACTCGATATAATAATTTTTTAAATTTAATTTTTAAACTTTGGGTGACTAATGTTACTCTTTATCCTCTTCAAACACATATAAAATAGGAAAAGAAGATAGTAGCTAGAAGTACCCTAAAAGCTTGATATGGTAAACATATGTTTATGTCTATAGATTAATATACCTAAATGAAAACATTAACAGATGAACTTTATTCATTTCCTAAAATATATTACATATAAAGTATTAATATAAATATCTGTAAATAAATATATTCATTTATTTATCTAAATAACTAAGTACATTACACATATATTGTTCATCCAACTGAAGAAAGGAAGCTAATTTCTATATGTGAATTCTACAATACAAATACCACTTACATCTGTTTTAGACCACATATCATCAGCATTGTTATTTTTATTGGTCGTTCCACTGACTATTGAAGCATTTGACAGCCTAAGATGCATTGAGCGCCTAACGTCACCATTTGAGCTGATATTTGGTCTCGAAACCTTGATAGCCTGCAAAGTCGGTTTGAACCTTTCTCCTGTGCTGGGCTTTCTGAGTCTGTCAAAAAATGGAACTGATCCATTTTTAGGGAGACCCTGAAATTTCCACATTAGTTTTACAAATTCATCATTGACCAGAAAAAAAAAGAGGAAAGACAAATAAATATTAGGATATAGAAACTAACTTGTACTTGAGTCGAAAATGCTGGTTGGGAAGCATTGCGAGGGAGAGATGTTTTAGATGTTTCCAGTTTTTTAACTTCTTCTTTTTCACCAGTTTTGCTGTGATCTTTTATCTTCAGTTCAGTTGCACTACCTGTATGTAATTGATGTTTAGGAATGATTAAATAATTTTAAAAAGTAATATGTGATCCCTAATAAAAGAGGTAGTTGATAAAATAGCGTTTTTCTTACTAATTTAAAAATAATTTTATGTTAATCTAATTTTTGAAATATTCAGAGTGGGACCGTTGTTAGTTGCCATTTTGGTTGTTCATGCTAAGAAAGAAATCTGAAGGAAAGATATTGATGAATCTATACTGTAAAATTAGTCAATTTTAATTTTTCTTAGCTTACTTATTCTCTGTTCTATATAAAATGATAGACATATAACAAACCAATAAGTGAGTAAATTAAAAAAAAAAAGTGAAATATAAAAAAAAACTAAACAAAGATTAATAAAAAAAATAATACTCTAGGCTTTCATTTTTATTTGGTCTAGTTCACTATCGGACCAATGGTGCTATAGTGAAAGCAAACCAGCATAAATGATTGAATTATGGTAATTGAAGAGAAGAATGTTTGCGGTGATCAGTCAAATAAAAAAATAATTATATTTATTTTAAATAAAAATAGGATTTATTGATATACAGTGATAGAAGTTTTTCGTTCTAACAGCAGATTCATTTTATTTGTTAGCCAATAACCAAACATTTTTAAGTAGGTAAGTTTTTGTTAATTTTTTTTTTAAAGATGTAAAAAAATTATCCAAAACATGGGACAGGTGTCCGTTGAGGTGTGGGTGAGTTAGTGTCCGTGTTCCGAACTTGGGACAAATGAGAAAAAATAATTATGCTTGGATTTTCAAAATAAGCTTACTAAGGTTTATAGACGAGAGACTCACCCAACTTTTGGTGTATATATCTATATTCTGCTAAACATAGATATATAACCAAGTTTTTAATGACATTTGAAATGGAAAATTGTTACAACTATGGGGACTTGATTGCATTGAAAATTGATTATGTGTGATATTTATTTTTGGTTCATAATAATCATCATAATCATAATTTGTGGTTCATCAGTAATTATAATTTTTTAGCCTTAATATCAAAATAATTTTTCTTTTTGCTTTCTCACTACTGAAGGTAGGAGAGCATTGTGTTTGTGCAAGAGGTTAAAAAAAATTGTGTGCTCAGAATCGAAAATTTCTTACTTGCGATTTTAGCTTTACGTGCATCAAGAATCAAATTTGGTTCGGTGTCTGTATGTCTGTAGTCAAATCGATGTGACCAGCATATCAGCTGGTACCGTTCATCTGATTTTCATGAAATTTTCAGGGATTATGCGAAAGAGCTCGTTTTGTGATTATATATGTTTTTTAAAAGTTTATGGAATTTCCTAAAAAAAATTCGTTAAAATCAAACAATTAGGAGCAAAGATATGCTCTCAAACATATATATATATATACATATATATATATGGGGCTAGGATAGCGTTATGGGCTAAGGCGCTTGCAATAGGTAATCAAAGTTAAGCAACGTCTAGCGTGGTTAGTATTTGGATGGGTAACCGTCGACCAGGGAAAGCCATGCTGCCCGAGTCTCTCCCCTTCCTCTGGGTTGTGAGGCCCATCAGCCTACTGGAGGCAACTCACACCGACCAGGCATGGGACTGATGACCCTACCCTGTGTACTTAAATTGGGAATCGAGATGTTGTCTACCAGGATGTTAGTAGCTCCCCTGAGGTTTGGTCCATGGATGGACTGTTTCGGGGAAAGAAATATAGGTCCTCGTGCGCCTGCTGACTCTGAGCAGCAGTAATCCATGGATTTAGACCAATTTGTCACTGTCCTTGAACCCAAGTGAGTCGGTGGGAAGGACACTGACAGATTGGCCACAAAGGGATCGGCTATGGAGCTACGGATGGCCTGCCGCTGCACTATGGAGACCATGGTTCATAGCAACATGAGGTTGGGTGACCCCCTCCAGGCTATCTGAGAGCCCACAAGTGGCCAAAGATCTTCATGGTCTGTAGTGCCAACCGAAAAAAAAAAAATATATATATATATCTTTTGTTTTGGTTTTTAAATTTTGAATGTGTTACTGAAGTAATGCTATTTTTTTTAGCATATTACTAATGATTAAAAAAAAGGTTAGTCCAATAATTGGAATCACCTTTTATTTATTTTTCTTTATAACTAGGAAAGTAATGTTACTTTAGATGTATAATTGTTTGGATTAATAATAAACCATTGTGAAATAATTTGCAGTAGTTTTTTTTCTAACTAATTATCGTTATATATATATGAAAAAAAATCTTTCGATCTGAAGCGCCCTCCCTAAAATTAAATCTGGATCTGCTAGTGTATATCATTACTATTAGTGCAAAAGGTCGTATGTAAAAATTTTCAACTTTTATTCTATTTGTATTAAAGGTGACATTTTGTAGTCTGCAACTGATATAAGTAGTCTGCTACTATGGAAAATAGCAGATGACAATAAAATATGAAATTATACTAATAAAGCATAAAGAAATAATATACACTCTTGTAAAACAATAAATTTTTACATAAGACCTTTTGCACTAACAGTATTGAAATTCATGTTCAGTATGTATTTTTTTTTATTAAGGATAATCAAATATGGAATCTTCAAATACGGCATTCTTTTGTTGAATTTAGAAGGGTAACTGTATTTGCAAATTGGCTCCTCCCAGAGATTTTATTCTCATACCAAAAATTGTATACCTTGTAATATATAATGAAAACGGCGAGGAAGCTATACTGACATTACTTGGTAGACATTTTTTTTTTTACTGAACACCCCAACCAACTTCTTCATTCATTGTAGTCAACCATCAATCCATTATTACAATAGTTTTGAAAATAAAAATTTATAAAACATCCAACATTTTTCAAAAGATCTTGATGATTCTAGAAATGGCACCAGTTTTCATCCAATGGGATTCAAGGGAACGGTATAACGCAGCCTAGAAAGTTCCATCCAAAAAACTGGCAGAAAATTGACTAAAGAAAGAAGGGTACCTTTAAGACTTTTTATTTATTTATTTTTATTATACTATGTCAGAGTGATAATTCTGACTTCAGTTTATTTTTTATCCTTCAGGAACCATTTATTTAGTAACTAACTTGATACTTACCGGAACTTGAACTACCAGAACTGCCACTCTGCTCAGGAATTTTCGCTTCAGTTATAGTTGGTAGGACTGGCATTGTTGGAACTGGTGTGATTGGAGTGCCTGGTACCAATTCATTCAAGTTGAAACTTGAATGTACCTGCATCATTATTATTGTTAGTTCTCACGACTAAAGTAAAATGAAAACAAATCTTATAAACTTTTATTAATCAATGATAGATTAATATAAGTTATAATAGGTTAGAAATCAATAATAGATAATTAATGATAAATAATCAATAATAGACAAAAAATGCATAAAAAAATATGACTGAAATGGTACTCAAGTATTATCACACACCTTATACATCCTTCAACTGATAAAACATTACTTTTTTGAAGTTCTAGGAAAGGATTAGCTGTCTATTGTAAGTAAATGTTACTTATAATACACAGCAATACTTCATTGTTTGTAATTTCATTGGAAAATTGTTATATATATTTAAAACAAAATTATATGACTTATGAACTCATTATAAACAGAAAATATAATTATTTTAAGAAAAGTAATACTCCAAGAAATTTTTTTAATTCATTTCAATGTAAAATTCTCTTGAATTACAATTTCAAAACATGGAGTATACATGGATGTTCTTTTAAATGTTCCAAACAGATTTATGGTAACATTTTGTTTTTCTTAGATATGTGATAAAAGTAATAATTAAGTTTAACAGATAGTTCTATTCATAAACTATAGTTTAGTGAATAAAATTATTCCTTAAATCTTCTACTAAAATTTAATGGTTACTATTAAGTTCAGCCACTTACAGCCAGATTAAGTTTACCAAAGAAATTACAAAAAACATTTTCAGTATAGAACCTTGAACGAAAAATTTCATTAAATGCAGTCAAATCTCAAGTTAAAGGGGAGGGGTTATAGGTAGGAAAAGAACTTTATGAGAACTGACATTTTTATTGTTGGCCAATTATATATCTCGAATCGAGATTCGTTATTCCTTTATAAAATTCGGTATCTTTCGGCACATCATTTATCAAAATCTTTTTCTGTTGAGAGGTGGAAAAGAGGCTTGTACTGCATGTAACATACTTTAAACAAAACTAACTCAGTAGAATAGACACCCATAATGTTGAAATATTGAAAATCATGTTTACCTTCAGTACCAATTTCTAGCCATCGGGAGATTACCGATTTTGTTTGCAGCAAGTGACCTACATCAAATAAGTTGGTAATCAATCTACGCAAAATTTGATGGTCTACAACTTTGATTCTATGAGTTATTCCTCTTAGGGAACTCATTTCCAAGTTACATGGCCATTTATAATAAATTCTCTCAGTTTTTGGCAAATTTGGTAAAACTCAACGTTGGTTGACCGTGGTTTTATGCCTTACCGCGTAACCAAATTTTATAGTTTATGTACTCGTTTGACGAAAAATTTAATGTTATTTAATTTATTAAAGAATACACTTTGTTTTGATGCCTCGTTTAGGAGTTATAGATGAAAAGCCCAAAAAATATCGAAAAAATTTGACTTTTTGGCTGTAAAAAGTTTTTCCTTGGTGGCCTGCGTTAGCAATTTTGTTTTTTACATGTCTAAACCCATGTATACAAGTTAAAATAATAGAAACTTTTCTCACATTTTTCGCAATGGATATCGTTTCAATCCTCAAATTATTGCCCTAATATTACTTAAATCAGCTGCCATTTTTGAAAGCAGCGGCTCCGGAACGGCAGACAAGATTTTTTTTACTCAGAATAACATACACTTTCGTAATTTACAATCAAACTTTTGCCTGCGATCAGGTCAATTTTTGGGCCCTGGCTCTAGGGCTATAGTCGTTTCAATCTGGTATGGGGTAGAAAGTTAAAGTTTGATAATTATATTATTATAATCAATAATAATACATTTAAATAATTAAATGTTAAGTATATCAATATCACTTTTAGCTAAAAATTTTTGACTTCTTGGCTAAAATTAACTTTAAGGGATGATCCTTAATTTCAAAGTTAAATAATTTGTTTTTATGAGAGATTTAAAAACACGTCTCTTGAATTATCTTTCTTCATTTTGTATAGAACATTTTTAAACTTGAAAAAATACGTCATTTATTTACAGATTTTCCTTCTCAATTTTTTCGTATGTGAAATCCCTTTTAGCATGAAATTATTTAATTGCATTTTATGTCCATTTTCCATTGTAAAAAAATTATTAAAAAATGTTTCTTGAAAAATCATAGCAAATAAATGTAACTGGAGATTATGTCGAATTGTTTCTATTTGATTAAAAATCATTATTTTAACAGAATAAGTAATAAAATAATTTTTCCTATTTTTAATTTTTAAACAAGAATTTAAAAGTAGAGAACTATTATTACTTCAAATTTTATTTCTGCTTCTGGAAGGTGACAAGCCAGGAGAATAAACCTTTAAATAAATATAATCAGTATTAGAGACCTTAACGAAGTGATTAGTATCATAAAAATAAAATATTCATGAAACAGAAACCTATTATGAATGAAATATTTCTTTCCTTCCCAAATAAACAACAACAAAAAAATTACTAGTTGATAATTACCCCAGGATCTATGTTGATAGGCATTTTCATTCTTTTCTCCATTGAGCCATCTGGTAGTTGAACGATGAAATATGATCCACCAATTGACCCTCTTTCCATTTGGAATCTTTTTTCATCTGCCATCCTCTGGAGCAACGGTTTGCAAGATGGACCTTTTGGAAATTCTAAAGGACGCATCAAAGCTCCAAAAACCTGAAACATTTTTTGTTTTTAATCAAATTTAAAAACATTCTTTTCAATAACAAAAATGTGCTGATTTTCACATTAATGACAGGTATGGATAAAGATTTAAAAAGAAAAAATATATAAGAAAATTTTACATACAATAAAAAGTCTGTTCAGAAATATATTAATACTTAATTAAATTTTGGATTGATGGTAGCGAAGTATTGAAGAGAAGAATTTATTTTTACTTTTTTTTTTTTTATTGTTCACCCTAACCATTCTTCTCAGCAATTAATTAAATTGATTGTTAACAATTTAAAATACAACATTTTAAAATTAAATAAATACATAATATGCTACTGATCAAAATTAAACTTTTTTTTTTAAGCGAAAATTTTATTTAATAAAATAAATGAAATTTATTCGTGCTTATGAATCAGAAATATTTAAATCTAGTTCAAAATAGGAATTTATACTACTCTTAAACCCATTTGAAATGGAATTTATTAAACGATCACTTTTTGTGTTTGTTCCTAGTAATTCAGTTTCAAGGCAGCTTTAAGTTTCACCAGGTGAGATTAAATACTAATGAAACTGTAATCTAAATTTTATAAATTAAATTATAAATTTCAATCAGGACCCAGATGAATTTAAATTGTTTTAAATAAATAAAATAATGTATATATATATATATATATATATATATATATATATATATATATATATATATATATATATATATATATATATATGTATATGTATATATATATATATATGTATATATATATATATGTATATATATATATATGTATATATATATATATATATATATATATATATATATATATAAAGTCCCATCGGTAGAGGACAATTTTTTTTTTTAGTAATAGTAGACTTTAAGAGCTACAAAAATTTTTTTTATAAACAATGGACCAATTTTCAGTAGGAGAGTAGAAAATTCAAATTTTGTGTATTTTTAAGTATGTCATATTTTTTTTGTTGAATAGGAAATAATAATTGAAGAAATATTTAATTTAAGTAATCAAAAATTTTCTCATTGTAAATTAGACAAAATTTACTTCAAATGTAAATAAAGTTGATCATTATAAAGAGCACTTTTGAGCGACTAAACTAAGCTAAGTTTTGTTTAAAAAAAAACAAAAATTATTTGTCATTTTTTTTTTATCATTATCTAACTGTAGACATCAATGCATACTATAACTACAGATACTACTAGAAAAACTTTCTCGTTTGATAAACTTCAAGTCCATATTAATTAAATTGAGGTTCATTAGGCAAATACTTGAGATTCACCTCAAGTTTGTAAATAAATTAAGTGATTTTCTATCCAGTCACCTAAAAGTACTAGTGTTTTTAACTAAAATTATTACAATTAACTGTTGCCAAGCTTTTATTTGTTATTTTTCCATGATCTGGGATGTATTGTAATTAACATAATATTTTCAAATATTTTTCAAGTAAATTGGTTATGAAATTGTGTTTTTCTCCCATATTTCTGGCATAGGAATTGTTATGTATTTATATGTGACAAACTTTATGTTTCTAGCCCTATATTTACGTTTTCATGAAATAAATTCAAGCAATAAGTAGGTTTCTTCATTTTAAACATAAATTTAACTAAAACTTAAGTTTGCGATTGATAAATACGGATCGATTTCTATGACAGGAATTAAGAAGAAAAACATAGTTTTATAACCACATTACATGAAAAATATTTGAAAAATAATTATTTTTAAATTTTCTATTGTTATAAATAAAATTTGTACAAAGGAAATTATGTTTATTACAATGTATCCCAGATCATAGAAAAAAAAAGAGATAAAAGCTCTGCAACAGTTAATAGTAGTCTCATTTTTACTGAAAACAAGAATACTTTTAAGTGACTGTATAGAAAGTTATATCATTTCTTTACATAATTGGTTTATGGCTGGAAACTTCAACTTAATTAATACAAGACACTCTATATATATGTTTATAAATTAAGAAAAAATAAAGAAAAGGGGAGAGAAATAAGTATAAATAATTCCATGCATTACATAAAAACAAAGGAACGTAATTTTCATGAGATCATATTGATTTGTTTTGAAATATTTGATAAAACTTATTCATTTTTAATAAGGAAGATACAAACAACATAACTGTTATACCAACTATTTGTTAATAAGAACACTCACAGCACAGTTGAGAATAAGTCCTGCTAATATAAGGTTTGCCCCTTTCCAATCATAATATTCAAGAAGTAAAGTGGCAAAAGGTGCAAAAGCAAATGTTCCAAATCCTGAACCACATACAGCAATACCTGTGGCTAAAGATCTCTTGGTCTCAAAGTAATAGCCAACACAGACTACAGCAGGTAGGTAAATCAGGCCGAATCCGATACCTAGAAAAGGAAACCAAAAACCAAACATTATTGACAACATATTTTGACTCTCAGAGCATAAGCGATCAATTTATATCTTGATGAAAAAAATTGATACTCAACATTTTCATTAAATGTAAACTTCTAGATTTTTTCTAGTTAATTTCGAAGATAGTACAGAAATGTTATTATTCTTGCTTGGTTTTTATTGTTAGATAACATAGTTGTTAATAAATCAAATCTTTTTCTCTTACTGCACTATATAAAAGCTAGACAATTATGAACAATTTGGAATAATAAATCCAATAATATTATACAATTTATGATTGTTATGTAAAAAGAACATTAAAAAAGAAAAGAAAAATGGATGAGTTTTTAGTTCATGCAAGAGAATTGTTTCTTCATATATTATTTGATAATTGATAGTATTTAGTAAGAAAGAGTTATAATAGCTTTAGCTATATTTAATAAAAATTGTTTTCTCTTCCTTGTTAATTTTATATATTTACTTTTTTCAACGTTTTGGGTTATTCGCCAATCATCAAGGACAATCTAAAACTGTTAATATAGTTATTTCATCCATCTTATTATTATATATTGCACGTTAAAAACATTTTTCCTTATTATATTATTTAAGTTTCAAATAAAATAATTTCTTTCGTCTTTAAGAAAGATGTTTTTCATTGACACATTTTATTGATATGGCAGTTTCAACCCCAGTGAAATGTGATAATGAAAAAAATCCATCTTAGAGAGAAAAAATGTATTTTATTTTAATATTGAATATTTAATAGTTGACCCTTGCATTATAAAGGAAGGAGATGATCCAGGGTGGGGGTCATAAATAGGCTAAATAGTGGTAAAACTATTTTATTGAAAGCCGACGTTTCGACCCGACTTTGCAGGTCTTCTTCAGGGAGGTGTGTTCAGTTAGGAGTTTCACTTAGAACACAGTTCCTTCCTGAAGAAGACCTGCAAAGTCGGGTCGAAACGTCGGCTTTGAATAAAATAGTTTTACCACTATGTAGCCTATTTATGACCGCCACCACGGACCATCTCCTTTCTTTATTTTATTTTAAACTTAAATAATATAATATAATAAGGACAAATGTTTTTAATATACATCCAATACATAGCAATAAGATGGATGGAATACCTACTAACAGTTTAAAATTGTCCTTGACAATAGGTGAGTAACACAAAACATTGGACAAAAGTAAATAAATAAAATTAACACGGAAGAGAAAAAAATTTTTCATTAAATATATCTAAAAGAGAATTGTTATTTCATCAATTAATTATTTAAAACTGAGAAAATATTAATAGTATGGGTACCATTATACTTTATATGGTGACATTTACTCACCTCCCATAATACCATATGTAATCATAAGCATGTTGACATCTGGAGAGAAAGTGCTGAGAACAAAAGCTGCACAACCAATTATGCTTCCAGAGATGCAGACAGTCCGGCATCCAAATTTATTTGTGAGTGCGCTAACAAGCGGACCTGTAGGAAAAGAAAACTTCAAGAGCTTATGCAACAGTCACTCTCAGGCTTAGAATAATATTATAAATAAACTTTACTGCATTCGACTCATACATGGTTGTAAGCTAACTGAATTTGAGTCTTACATAAATTTGTATATATGAAAATATACAGGGCGTATGAAGCTACAGAAAAATCAAAGGCAACGATTTTAGACTGAATATTAAAACAAAAGTTAATTTAATAAACCAATCATAATAGAATAAAACATATTCGAATACCATATAGTGGAATAATTTCCTCAGTTCAAATCGAATCAAGTCAAGAGTATTGGTTTGTACAAGAAGAAAATAGAGACTGTAAAATTAGCGGAAAAGTCTGATACATCACTTTATGGTATTATTAAGATTTTGTACATATTTTATAAATTTTAAACTATTAATTCATCATTAGAACTTTAGATTGATTTATATATTAATTGTGAAAACCAACTGGATAATAACAAATCAGTTCACCTCCACATAAGGCGAATTAATAAAATTTTCTAAAAAGGGTTATATATAGTGTAAATTGAGCAGCTACTTATCCATAAAAAAAAAAACAGGTATGGTATCACTCATACAGTAGTTTACCTAGACAATTTATAGCAGAGTAGGATTTATTTTTTATAAAAACGACCATTTTTTTATTGAAACAATAAGTTCTTGCCTGATTAAAAAAAAAGTTATTTTTCTTGCAGTTAATTTATGATTAAAATAATCCCCCATCATGAGGTATGGCTTAGTAAGTGTGGCTCGTGTTCCATGCATCCCTTCTGCCCATCCTGCAAACTCCTTAGAAGTAACTTACAGTCAGTTTCCAGCCATGACTTTTCTTTAGTTACCATTCTCAAGTACGAAAATCAATTATTTGTATGACTATCTTAGCTATTTAAAACAAGAATATAATTGTTGAATCATGTAAGACATTCTGACATTGAGAATCACAGCCACTACCTTCAAGATCCACAAAGGAAGTCCAATCCAAAGGAAAACAGGTTTTCCTGTGGCAATTCAAGGATAAACTAGATATAGCCAGCCTTGGAGTATAAGGGGTTTATTCTATTGCAGCTGTTTGCCTGGAGACTCATGAAATGTGAAGAAATTATTTCTTAATTCTTATTCAGATTTGTCAACTTTTAAATTGATTTATAAACACTGTAATTATTTTTAACGAAATATATGTTTTGGTTAAATAGCAGTGTAAAATTGTTATTTGTATCAGCAATCGGAATTAGGCACAAGTTGAATAATTACACCGATTTCTAAGAGAGAGAGAGGGGAGAAGGGGGGGCGTGTGGCACTGCTCCAGGGCAATTCTTACCTAGCCACGCTGTTATATCAATCCAATGTTTAAACAATCTCCCTCAAGCTCCGCCTTATAAATAGGTGAAAACTTATATTTCAATTATTTTAGCAGCAGCTTTTGTAACTATTTTTTTTTTTTTATAAAATGGCTCCTCTTTATATAAGTTTATGTTGAATTTTTGTTATATCAATTAACGAGGTAGAATTGTGATAAAGTGTGTACTAGGAAATTTAGATTTGACAGGGTCGAACCTCCGACATCGCTAAGCGAATTAGCTTTACTAATCTAAAACATTTAGATAAATAAATATCAGATGAGTAAACCTCGTTCCCAATCCTCCATTTTTTCAATTTTATGTCTGTCATCCACGTTTCTACAAAAGGCTTCTACTAACTGGCCAAAGTATTGATAAGAAAATCGTTGATTTCACCAAATAAATACTGAATATTAAAATACAAACTAGTTCGTCCATGCGAATAATTCGCTAAGTATATTGATCATTAAACAAACGACAAAATAATGTAACGTGACACAAGATGGAGGATTAACTCTTATTTTCTTGGTTACTGTAATCGATCAAGAAAAAAAAATTTAAAAATTGGATTCATGTTTTAAACCGACATGTCTAGAAATTACAATCAGCTGTATCCTTGCCAATGGTCCGCTTTCGATGATTCTTTTGTGCCCAGAAGGAGATTTTTATGGCGCAAGTTGCGCCATCAAACTTTTTAAGGGTTTATGAATTTTCGGAATGAAAAGTTTCAGAATAAGGAACTAAAAGAAAACAGGAGACAGACAGCAACAAGAGTAATTGTGTATGGGGGGCGGGGTGGTCGAATGGGCAAACGCGTATGCACAACACCGCGAGTCGCCCAGCAACTAGATAACCGAAGTTAATGAGAGTTAAAAAAAAAGTACGAGTTCGCGTCCTGGTGCTGCAGGAGATATTAAATTCCCCGGCCAGGGAAAACTCCGTATAGCCTAAATGGAGAGGTAGAAAAGAACAGAAAAAAAAATTGTAATTGTGTATGATCTACGATTTTTCTAATTCTATTTTCCCTTACTCTGTTATAATAAAAAGGTGAGCAATAAAATATCTTGGGAGAGAGAGGGGGGTAGATTCTTGCATTATCGACGTTAGGGGGAATGGGTACCCCATTTGTAGGGAATTTAGTAATCTTTGAGATAATCGTGGGCGCAATCTACAATAAAATGTTTGAATTATTCACAAATGAAGTTTCTTTTCCTTCATATTTTTTTTCCTGAAATTTTAGGGAGATGTGACTATTTTCCCCACCTGAAGGAGATACAAATCTTCAAAATGAGGGATCGATCATTGGATTTGATGAAGAATTAACGAAAATATGAGGTATCGACAAAATATATGAAGATAAAAGAGTTTTTTTACGAAGCCTAGAATACTTAATCAAATCATTCTATATTACTACGAATACATAATTTTAAGAAATAAATTAAATAATAAAATATTAAGAAGGCATGATATTTAAAATTTCAAAAAATGGGGAAAAGCAAATAATATTTTCGATTTTTTTTTTTCCCACAGAACAATTAAATGTTTGGCTTTAATAATTTTACGCAGCGAGTGCACGGTTTCCGAGTCTCGTTTAACACTATTCATAATATAACGGCGAATTTGTTTCTTACTCATATTTGTAAAATATATCTTAGATATATGGAGGAAATCAAATGAAATATATTTCGTTAGAGTGTTAGGATGTGTTAAAAGTAAAGTAGACAAAAATTGCACAAACAATATTAAACTGCTTTGATATGTTTGTGGCCGATATTGAGCTAAAAGGATTGTCGTGTACGTCACACAAGACCCCGTCATCAAGGGCTGTTAATAAGACCAAAGGGACCAAATATTAGGACACGTGGACCTTAATATTAAGTCCCTTAGGCACTAGTCGGGTAATGCTCGAGGGCGTTTCTTTTCATATAGGTGTATACTTGCGTTTCCATTAATTTTATTATTAAGCCTAAAGAATTTCACTGTCGTAAAATAACAACTGACATTTCGATGAAATTCAATTTTATTTCCACATATTTATATCTATATATTAAAATAATTATGGTAATGCAATGGTTTGCGCCGTAAAGAACTCAGGCCTGGTAGAAATCGAACTTTTCTGAAATTACTTAATTAAAAGGAATTAGAAATTTTATCTATAATTTGAAATGTGCTATACGAATAGTTAAAAAAACAACAACATATTTACGAGAAATCGCGTTCTTAGGCCACAAACGTAAACAGCAGCCATCCCTACCCACTCATCAAGGTAAAAGGTAAGGTTTATGACCTATAAACGAAATAAAGTCATAAGGCTCGGAGGCATTATGGGGAAAATCAATTCATCAGATTAAAAGTCTTCCTTTACTGCTTAGTAATAAAATAATAAAAAAAAAATATAATAAAGGTCATCTGAACTGTAAAGCTTTTTAAGAGTTTAAGAATACAATTAGGAAATTTTTAGATGCTAAAAGAATTTTATTTTATTTTAATTTTTAGATCCTCACCACCGAAGGAAAATTGTATCCATAGGTCAACATTTTTTTTTTTTTAAGTTATAGAAACCCAGGAAGAAATTCGGTTCCGGCGAATTCATGTGACGGGCATATTAACAACTACCGTTAATTAGTTTTGTCCAAAATTGGACCAATACCAAGGCCGCCTAATTGTTGCAAGATTAGGACTGGTAAAAAAAAAATCGATTTTTAAAATAAAAATCAAGGCAAAATAGCTACTAATACTTGACTATCTTAGTTACTATGTGTTAATAATTAGTATAACCAATAAACTTTTGCATTTAACTCCTCTAATTTTTCATTTGGACTTAGTTAGGTTTCTCCTATTTAAAAAGATACAGTAATAGGCTACTGAGTAACTGCAAGACTGTTGCGAGACTCTTGCGCAAGACCAAGACCATGACGAAGACTGAGTTTGCAGGACCAAACCAAGACTCGTCTCGATGTCGCATTTGGGCAACACTACCGTTAATCAGATTTTCATGAAATTTTTAGAGATTATTCAGGTTAGTAGATAGACTGTACAATATAAATTCCATTAAATCCCATCCAATACTTTTAAAAACTGACTGACTCCAGGTTTTCACTGACTGATACGCAAACATGTTTTCCTTAATACGGTTATATTTATTTTTTTTCAAAAGTCGGGGATCAGTGAAAAATCAAGCTGTATCAATTTCATCTACTTCTCCTCCTTAGATAAGAAAATGATCAAATATGTTAATGTTATGAGATTAAAAAAAAAGTTCTATGTATCTTAAAAAATAAAAACCAATATGGTGTAGGATGTTGACTTTTGTTTACTTGCTCGATCCCAATAATTAATCACGAAAATAATGAACAAAACAATAAATAAATAAATAATGGTTGGATAACTAGGATGTCACAAAATTACAAGTATGTCTCCTAAAAAACAAAATATTTTTGTCTCTCGCTACATATTTATCTGAAAATATTATTCCTGTCCCGTTATTCTTTTATATTTTTCATTTATTTTCAATGATTCTATTTTAAATCATAGCGTTAATTTTTTTATTATTATCTTAATAAATAAATTTTGGCAAAAATCGACTACTAATGTAAAAATAGCCACAGTATATTTCATTTAGCAGTCTGATAACAAATATGAAATTGAACTTTAGAAGAGATGAAGATAAATACTGTATATAGTTTCCCTGTGTTGTTCTAAAACATCTCACACCGGTAGAAGGCCGGTAGAAGATCCCGACAGATCACAATTACTCGTACTACAACGAATTCATTTTTGGATGGAAAATTACAATAAGACAGAAGAAAAAGGAGGAGACTTAAGGATATAGATAAGAAGACACCTACGAAGAACATAAAGCCAAGGTGCTAATGGATAACGTATGAATACCGTCTAGTTTCCAACACCCGCGCGTTGGGGAGTCATACTATGAAATGAAATGAAAATAGATTTTTATTATCCTGGGACTGTTGTCGCTTTAGGACAAATTACAGATACAGAGGAAATGCCTTTGTGGCCATGAAATTATATTAAATATTTTCAATTCACATTAAAATTCAAATACTGGAAGAAAAATAAAATATATATATAATACAAATATATGAAAATAAATTAATATAAGTAAACAAAATCATTTCTGGGGAACTTAAAAAGGAGAGATTTAAATGAGGAAACTGATTGCGCATGTCGGATATCGGGAGGGACGGTATTCCAGATGGAGACAGCTTGAATTATAAAGGATTTGTCAAACGCAGCAGTTCGGTGAGGAGGTGGATAGAGGTCAGAAGTACGGGATCTAGTGGGATGGGATTGAATGGAAAATTTGAATTGTAGGCTGTTAAAAAAAAATAGGAAGATCTCTGAGTTCTGATGGCTTGGTATAGAAAGGTAGCAAGGAAGTACAGACGGCGGTTGGATGGATAGAGCCACTTCAACTTGGTGTAATAATAATAATGCTTTATTTATTCTGGGACGAGTCCGTTTAGAATAATACAGAAAAACAAAAATATGGGCTAAGGAGCCTCAGAGATACATAAACAAAAAATATAGAGTAAGTAAATAGTCAAATTAAAAAAAAATAATAAAGTAAATTATAAGTTACTTTCTAATTTAAATCAGTTAATAATAACAAAAAAATGAAAAATTGAAAATAAACATAAAGTAAAAATAATGAGGAACGATATGATAATTTATATACATATTTACAGAACTATTTACAATTTCATGGGGACTGGATGGATAAGAAATGGTTGAACAGGCGGGTTTTAAAGGTAGGAAGAGTTTTGGATTGAAGCATGTCGGGAGGGATCGAGTTCCATAGGGATAATAATAATAATAATAATAAGGCTTAGCGAACCCGAAGGTTCGATGCCGACACCAGCAATCGCTTGTTACACACCTCCCTCCACCGTTCGCCGTCCAAACCCAGTCCCTTCAGATCGGCTTTAATGCAATCCTCCCATCTTCGCTGCGGTCTACCCCTCGGACGCTTACCATTCGGCACAGCAAATATTAACCTTTTAGGAATTCTCTCGTTACTAAGCCCAACAACTTTACAAGCCCATTTGATTCGCCGCGATGAAATTACCTCAATTATATTACCCGGATACATCTCACGCAAATCGGCGTTGTGTAACCGTCTGAACTCTCCGGTTAACTCATCCTTTTTCGGTCCGAATATTCTACGCAATACTTTATTTTCAAAAACCTTAAGACGCTGCTCATCCCTTAATGTAAGCGGCCAAGTTTCGCATCCATAAAGAACTGTAGGTAAGATAATTGTTTTATAGATTCTAATTTTTAAGTTTCGGGACAAGAGGCGCGAACTAAGTAGTTTTGTCACAGAAAAATAACAAGCGTTCCCCGCCTTCAGTCTAACCTTAATCTCTTCTTCAATTTCGTTTTTTCTAGTTATCGTAGAACCTAGATACCTAAATTTATCTACCTGTTCAAACATATTACCATCTATATCAATATCACCAGTAGTATCGCCATTTTTGCAGCTAACCATATATTTTGTTTTATCCACGTTTATTTCAAGTCCTAGTTCTTTCCCGGCTTTCATTAACGTTGTCGTATTCTCCATAGGGATAAGGATCGGATAATGAAAGATCTGTCGAAAGCAGCGGTTCGATGGGCCCTTATGTATAAATCAGAAGACCGGGAACGAACAAAATATTTGAATTGAAGGAGCTCGGAGATGTATGAAGGACGGCGAGATCGGACGACATGAAAGAAGAAGGATGCCAGGAAATACTTACGACAGTAGGAAGGATAAAGCCACTTTAACTCCGCATAAAAATGGGAAACAGAGGCGTCCCTTGGGATCCCGAAGATGAATCGTACAAAGCAATTTATCAAATGTTTTAATTTTGCCTCAAAATCCCTAGAGACGCCCCCATATACCGTACAGCAATAGTCAAAGTGGGGAAATATTAAGGAAGTTACAAGGAGCCTACGGGTTTCAAAAGGAAATAGGTGACGGGAGTAATTTAGACGTTTTATAAGGAGGATTAGGTACGGCGGGAGATGTTGGATACATGTTTTTTCCAGGAAAGTGTTTGATCGAAGGTTATTTCAAGGTTTTTGACGGTGGGGTAAAATTTGATGGGATTATCATGCAGGAACAGAGTTGGAATATTAGGAACAGTTTTAAGGAGGTAATTGGAGCCTATTAAGATTGCCTTCGTCTTTTCTGCATTCAAATTCAACTTGTTAGCTCTCGTCAAATCACAAATCCTATCGAAGTCTTCTTGAAATTCTTCTGTGGCTGATAAAAGGTCGGTGGGTGGGAAGGACAGATATATTTGGAAATCATCTGCATAGATATGGTATTGGGAGTGATGGATCAGGAGAGGAAGGTCATTAATGTGAATAGCAAACGGAGTAGGAGATAAAGAGGAACCTTGAGGGACACCACAGGAGAGGGGGAGGGTTTTAGATGGAGGTTGACCTGGGACAACTACTTACTGGGACCGATTTGAAAGGAAGGATTTGAACCAATATAGGAAGGATACTGTTGCTGGGTGATATATGCGTATCTCTTGAGATTCCAAAGACAAAACGTATTGCGCAGTTCATTAGGCGTTTAAGTTTGGCCTCGAATTCTCCCAAGAGTCCGCCGTACACCAGACACCTATAGTCAAAGTGAGGAAACCAGGAGTTGTCGGGGTTTAAATGGGAGGAGATAGCGGATACGGTTAAACTACTGGAAGATTCCAAAATAAAAGATACATATGCATGTTTACTATGATGCCTTGATAGCAATATCCTACATGTACTATTTAAACATCAGAATTGATACATACCAGCAGAGAGGTACATGCCAGAGAGGAGGGAGCCGACCCAGGCTATCTTGCCCTTCCCCTCGCCGTAGTAGTTGACGAACTCGCCGAGGAACACGCCGAATGTGTAGGCGATGCCGTCGACGATCATGTTGCACATGAAGGAGGCGATAACGATGACCCAGCCGTAGCCGCCATCCGGGGGCGGGGGGATGTCGTGGACCTCGCAGTAGCTGAGCCCGTCCGCGTCCTCCCCAGGGCTAACGTCATCCTCCGTCAATCGCCCGTCCTCCCCGCCGCCGCGGTCCGACCCCTCGCTCTCAGTCTGAAACACAATAAGAACATAATGAATATATAATAATAATAATAATAATAATAATGGTAAACATCATCATGCTGCAAGACAAGCAAAGAAGAAGATAGAATGGTTTCCACTGCGTTGTGTAGGTGGAAAAATCTGCTTTTTTGTTCAGCAGGTAACCTGTTATAGCTCACATCCTAAATGAAAACTAAAAAGACTAATCTGAAAACTGACTGAATTAATTCAACATCAAATCAAATGGAAAATTAGTAAATAATAACGGAGGAATTTCAGAAATGCCGATTGGCACTTCTCGCAGAACGAAGATACGTCTGAATTGAAGGGCATGTAATGGTACACAAATTCAGAGGAAAAATGTATTTTTATTTCTGTTTAAGATAGCCTCACTCAATGTTTAACATCTAAAAACTTGAAAACTTATGTTTTAACAAAATTAAATAAAGTTTAACAAAATAATAATATAATATAATAATATAAGCTTCCTAAATATCCAATAAAACTACAAAAATTAACGTGAAGTGGTTGAAGTTAATTCTTCCTCACTCCAGGAAAATACCTTTTTTTTAAGTGATAAAAAATAAAGAATAATAATAATAACAGGCTTAGCGAACCCGAAGGTAATCGCTTGTTACACACCTCCCTCCACCGTTCGCCGTCCAAACCCAGTCCCTTCAGATCGGCTTTAATGCAATCTTCCCACCTTCGCTTCGGTCTACTCCTCGGACGTTTACCATTCGGTACAGAAAATATTAACCTTTTAGGAATTCTCCCGTTACTAAGCCCAACAACTTTACAAGCCCATTTGGTTCGCCGCGATGAAATTGCCTCAATTATATTACCCGGATACAGTTCACGCAATTCGGCGTTGTGGAACCATCTGAACTCTCCGGTTAACTCATCCTTCTTCGGTCCGAATATTCTACGCAATACTTTATTTTCAAAAACCTTAAGACGCTGCTCATCCCTTAATGTAAGCGGCCAAGTTTCGCATCCATAAACAACTGTAGGTAAGACAATGGTTTTATAGATTCTAATTTTTAAGTTCCGGGACAAGAGGCGCGAGCTAACTAGTTTTGTCACAGAAAAATAACAAGCATTTCCCGCCTTCAGTCTAACCTTAATCTCTTCTTCAATTTCGTTTTTCTAGTTATTGTAGAACCTAGATACCTAAATTTCTCTATCTGTTCAAACATATAACCATCTATATCGATATCATCAGCAGTATCGACATTTTTGCAGCTAACCATATATTTTGTTTTATCCGCGTTTATTTCGAGTCCTAGTTCTTTACCGGCTTTCATTAACGTTGTCGTATTTAGTTTTATAGTTTCCACGCCTTCGCTTAACAGTACCAGATCATCAGCATAGCCCAGCACGGATGTTGTCCCACCTAGATCCAACCTTTTTCGGTACGCATTACCTCCCTAATGGCATGTTCTAATGCCAAATTGAACAGGATAGGCGAAAGGGAATCCCTCTGTTTTAAACCCGAACAAACCTCAAATTTTTCGGACAGATTATTACCGATTCTAACTAAATAAAGTATAACATATATAGGAAAATTTAAAATATTTTAAAAGTGAAAATAATATTTTTTTTTTCACGTATTCTCACAAAATCTTTTCTACTTGCTCTACGATTCAGATGAAGTAAATAAACTACACTGAACAAATCTCTGAAAAAAGTTATCAATTTTGAATAAATTTATGATTCATATTTTAAATTTTGAAAATAATCCTTGAATTTTCGAGAAAAAAAACAGGTCCCTGTTTATATGATTTTTCTAATATTTATAACTCATAACTGAAAACCTATTAATCTATTCAAATTTCAAAAATACCATTAAATTATCATAAAAATATTGAAATAAATAAATTACGATTTCATTTTAGTGCCTAAAGATGTTCATCGAACTACACGAAATTTCTTATAATTCAATTCTGTAGTTTTTGAAAATAATTCGATATTTGGAAATGATTAAAAACAAAAGGTTAGTATCAAAGTTTCCCTTTACGCCATGTTTATCACACAGTCGCTTATATGTCTACCTGTTGTAGAGATAGGATATCGAAGGCCCGATATAAATATTATTATCGACCTATAACTATTGATACCATCAAAATAGTGGTCAGTAGAAAATATCAATATAAATATTGATTCACTAGCACATAGGTTCCCTCCTCTTAAAATTAATTAATGGATATATTTAGTGTGAGTGTGTTCAAATCTCACTATAAATATAGTCCACGTGACAGATTATTATATTTCTAAATAAAAAAAAATGGAATCTATCAATTCTTCTACCCTCCTTAGTAAAATTCATTTTCTATTTCCTGCCTATCTTCGTATTTCTCAGTTATTTTTTCCCAGAAATTTCCATTCAACCAAATATACCTTCCATTGGTCCATATATCGCATTCAGCGAAATGATTATGAAACAGGCAAGATGAGTATATATTTTTTCTAACGATCAGGTTCATATCTCGACCAGCTCTTTCCGAAAAAGGTAGTTATAATTTTCATTTTCAAATTAAAATATCGAAGTGACGAAATCTAAAGTAGATAATATCGAAGTAGATGACCATCCCTAAACCTGTTGTAGTCTGTGGACCAGACCCCTCTATCGTGCACCTCCCCTCCCCACAGATCCCTATAAATTGCATATCGCTGTGTTCCTTGTAACTACTTATTTAAAAAAAAGCCAATCTTCCCACAAAAAAAGTGAACGCACTGCCCCAAAGATGGCGGATTGACGACTTTGACTTTAGTTAGTCTTTTGGTCACTGAGAATCTGCACTTGGCTTAATTTCTTTATGGTTGGTCTTTTATTAAAGCTGAATAGTCAGAGAATAATAAAAAATGAACAAATATTAAAAAAATAATTGTTTTAGGAAATAAAAAACAACAGTAAAGTCAAATATTTTAACCAAACAATTTTCATGTTGAAAATAAAGCGTCGTTTGTAATTAAACTGCCAACAATAATGCAAAATGTACTGAAATAAAACATCTGGAGAGTATATTTCTCTTTCTAAAACACTGATTACTTTTTAAAATATTTGAAGCAGTTCCGTTAGAAAATGCACTTATGCGGAAGAAAAGCGGTGCCGGCGTAGGTGCCTACAAGCCTCTACCACACAATTCTGTACACATAAATGGCTTAGTTATAGTGAATATAATAACGTTTTTGGTATTGGTAATAACATATTTAATATTGTTTTTATTAACGAACAAATATTAATTTAATCATTTAATTGTCAAAAAAAATCAAACAATTTTTTTTCCTAATTTATTATTTAATTTTATTTTTTTATTTAACTTACTTTATTCTATATGGAGGTCGTTTAAGTAGACATCTATTGTAAAAATGATATTATTATAATAATGATATATAATATAATAATAAAACTTAATTAAAAAATACTTTGCTGAATATCTTGAATTTGTTATTTAACGTTTGCAATTTAACACTTTGTTTTGCATATTTACTGGTTCTTAGAGGTAATTTAAATTCAGAATACTTTTTAGAAAATGAGTCCTATCAATACCTGTTTTATAAACTAAAATAATATACACCTAACCTGAATTACATCTACATGTAATCAATAGTTGCCGGGTTGTTTAGTAAAACTTATTTTTATGAAATTGCGGAATAAATTGTTCGGAAGTTGGACCATATCATAAAAAAAAAATAGGAAATTTAAATATTGAATGCATTATTCCCTCTGCACAAATAAAGATGGAAAGGGTGGAACTATAAGTTCTTCTAGTAACCAAAAATGAATGTTTGGATTTGGTCTCAAAATGAGGGAAAACGCAAAATTGAACCCAAAAATCGGAAAGATTCACTAAGCGAACGAGAAAGGAAGTGCCGAAACCTCGGAAAAGAAAAAAAGGACCAGTTTCAATTATATGGCCAAACGAATGTATAGTAGACAGATGAACAGAATATTTCAAGATGCTGCTAAAAGGGTGTCAAATGCATTTTGGCAGTTTGACATGATATTAAGTGGACGATGGAGGTTTATTATGTTGAAGACCACTCTATTTTCGATTGCTACTGAAGGTGCACATTGGGACTATCTTCACTTCGAAGCTATCTTCTTTCTTGCTGATTAAATGGTCTTCACCATAATAAACCTGCATCGCCCCCTTAAGATCGTCCAAACTTCTCCAGCATTTGACTCCTCTATATATATATATATATATATATATATATATATATATATATATATATATATATATATATATAGGGGTCAAAGCTATTATATATATATATGATATTAATTTTAAACGACTAAAGTTCCCCATCAGGTGTCTGAATCAGTATAGGGTTTGTAAATACGCGACCGGGATCTTCTGTGTTTCTAATCTTGTCCCTTTTGATTCTGCTATCCAAGTTCATCAGGTACCGCATTCATCATGTAAATTGTAATATACAACTATGTATGTTATATCATTTAAAGAATTTTCCACAGGATCTATTTAAAAAAATATATATAACAACAATGACACAGTGATATGAAAAGAGCAGACACATATAATCCTTTCAAGTTTTTAACACCGGCTGTAAGTAATATATAATAATAAATATTAGGGTTAGATGTAACCTTTGGCAGCGTACATAGCGGAGCATGACGGGATAACATTGGGAAGAAGGTCAGAGGTTTTGGCAACAGATGCAGGCTCCCGCGCGGCCTGTTGCGAAGGCAATATATCACCGCTTAAATATACACCTGACATTGAATGTTGAAAGATATACAGAGGTCGTGTATAAAAAGTAATATCTTCAAAGAGATATTTCCACATATATTGAGAACGAAAGATTCCGGTAAAAGATTAACTTTTATAACAAGGATTTATATTTAAAAAAAATTAATAATGATAATAGTGATGTAAATAAATAAATTTTGACCGCAGGCCCAACCATAATTTGAATTAAAATAATCCTGCATAATATTTTGGAAAAAATGTTTTTTTCTTTTTAATCTAAATGTTCAAGATG